TGCTGAAGGAAGAAACATCCTCACATGAGTTTTCATGCATGCCCCACCCCAATTATGCCAAGAGCGGGGAGATCTTGTTGGATGCACACACACCCCTCCCATAATGTGCTTTGAAGGTGAAAGGTAAAGGACCCCTGGACGGTTAAGTCCAGTCAAAGGTGACTATGGGGTTGTGGCGCTCATTTCGCTTTCAGGCCAAGGGAACTGGCGTTTTGTCCACAGACAGCTTTCAGGGTCATGTGCCCAGCAGGACTAAACCGCTTCTGATGCAACAGGACACTGTGACAAGTGCCAGAGCGCATGGAAACACCATTTACCTTCCCGCCGCAGCGGTACCTATTTATCTGCTCGCACTGGCGTGCTTTGGAACTGGTAGGTTGGCAGGAGCTGGGACGGAGCAGCGGGAGTTCACCCCGTTGTGGAGATTCAAACTGCCGACCTTTCGATCAGCAAGCCCAAGCAGCTCAATGGTTTAGACCACAGAGCCACCCGCGTCCCTATGCTTTGAAGGTACGGGAGCAACCTTCATTTTGTTGTTGTTTTTGTGGTTGTTTAGTCGTTTAGTCGTGTCCGACTCTTCGTGACCCCATGGACCAGAGCACGCCAGGTACTCCTGTCTTCCACTGCCTCCCGCAGTTTCATTAAATTCATGTTGGTAGTTTCAAGAACATTGTCCAACCATCTCGTCCTCTGTCGTCCCCTTCTCCTTGTGCCCTCAATCTTTCCCAACATTACCTTAAGTCCTCCTAGATGGACTTAAAAAGACAACTCACCTAACTGTGCCCATGACGCGTTTCTCACGTTACCCTAGTTTTTAACCAACTTGCGTTAATGCTTTCAGACAAACATTTAACCAATGTAAGCAGCCATATGCAGTCACATGTACCATCTCAAGAGAGCAGGTAGGGAGCGACATGTTGGAATGTCAACTTCTAAATCTCTTTGCACGTGGATACCAGGAAGTGCAGACTCTCCTAGTGTCCCTATCTTCCAGGGACAGTCCCAGATTTACAGCAGCCATCCCAGTTTCTAATTTGATCCCGGAATGTTGGAAGACGCCCAGAGTGGCTGGGGCAGATGGGTGGGGTATAAATAATACCAAAGATATGGTACTACTACGGTATGCTTGTGAAACGTGAACCACTTATAAATGCCATCTCCAACTTCTCAAAAGATTCCATCAACGGTGTCTCCAAAAAAATTTACACTTCACCTGGGAAGACAGGCGAACTAATGTCAGTATAGTGGAAGAAGCAAAGATAACCCGTGTCAAAACGATGATTCTTCAACATCAACTTCGTTGGACTGGTTATGTTGTGCGGATGCCTGATTATCATCTTCCAAAGCAACTACTCTATTCCAAACCTTAAAATGGTAAGCATAAAGCTGGTGGTCAACAAAAGAGGTTTAAAGACACTCTCAAAGCAAATCAATAAAAATGTAGTATAAACACCGAAAACTGGGAAACACTGGCCTGTGAGCGCTCCAATTGGAGAATAGCCTTTACTAAAGTTGTCATGGGTTTTGAAGACGCTCAAACTCAGGACGAAAGGGAGAAATGTGCTAAGAGGAAGGCACGCTTGGAAAACCCTCACCATGATCAACTCCTGCCCGGAAACCAATGTGCCCACTGTGGAAGGATGTGTGGATCCAGAATTGGCCTCCACAGTCACTTATGGACTAACTGTTAAAACCGTATTCATGGAAGACAATCTTACTTGGCTACGAGTGGAAGAAGAAGAAGAAGAAGAAGAAGAAGAAGAAGAAGAAGAAGAAGAAGAAGAAGAAGAAGAAGAAGAATGCTGATGCTGGAATTGGACATCCCTATTTTCATTGGAGAAATATTGGAGGGTATGGAAGTGGTCGTCCCATCTTCTCCCTATATGCAGTCCTTCAACAGAAGGGTGAAGCAGTACAGTCCCAAGAACTCTGTATAGGTGACTTTTCTGCCTGTGGAGATCAGCTTTCCATGTGATCAGTTTTCCAACCTCATCAGATTTGTACTGTGGAAGTATTTCTAATCAGACATAAGGGAGGCAGGCCCTGAAGAGTATTTTTCTTAAGAAACTTTCAGTAAGAGGCTTTGAAACTCCGTTTGGGCTTTGAAACTCTGGGCATAGTACTCTATATCACCAGCTTCACAGTTGAATAGTTTGAAACAATTGAAGGACATTGGTAGAATTTTTATTATGTTGCCTTTAGGAGACGTCATCTTTTTTTATTCTTATTGCTATCTAATAACCTGCCAGCTTTGTGATCAATGCATTAATACCTCGCAGCTAATTATTTCAAACCTGAAAGATGGCAAAAATTCTAAAGATATTTAGAAGCAAATTAACCAGGCCTCTGGTTTACTAAGCAGTTTAGGCAAAACATTTCCCTGCAACTGCAAAACACTATAATAAAGGAAGGAGCTGCAAACAAACCTGAATTGTTTGGAGGAAATGCCTATAATTTGTCTTTTAAAAGTGACATTTTGAAGTCTAATTATTGTTCTCTATCAAATCACCATAAAAACAGCATTAAAGCCTCATGCCAGGAATAATTGGTACTTTTGATTCTCGGGGGAGTTGCACCTTTTTATTCAGATCATCCAACTGCAGTCTTGCCAACACTGAAGCGGCAAAGAATCATTTAATGAAATTGTATTCCTTGGGAACTCGGGCGGCTTAATGAGGACTTGGAATTTTCCTGTCAACGACCAACATTTCCATGGATTTCCTGGATTGTGACAAAGAACAGCTATTCCCACGCCCCCTCCCTTTCTTAAGTTCTGAACTAGTTAGAAATAAGTTCAGGCAGTAGTCCCAGACACAATTACCTGGCAGGAAGTCCCATTCAGCTCAGTGGGACCTACTACTCAATGGGCGTTTACTATATTTGCATTCTTCCCCACCCATCTCAACTGGTTCCGCCACAGTGGACACCAAGCCCATGGGGCGTCACAACTATGACGTAGTGAATTGAGTAGAATGGAAGGCCAGAGGCGCCGAATTTTGGGCTCGCCGCAGAAGTTTGAAAGAGCAACGTCTGCCCCTGTGGTTGATTTCTTTGTGGACATCCTAATTCTGTCCTGCACCTTGTTCCAGCATCTATTCCTGCTCCTTGTTCCAGCATCCTGTGCTGTGGAGATTAGGCCACTGCACTACATCTAGTCCAGAAGATGTAGATAACCTATCATTTGAGAAAACACAAGGGACTGGGTTGGGGAATAGTCACTTGTGTGCTACTCTGTACTGGGAAACACTGGCCTGCGAGCGCTCCAGTTGGAGGACAGCCTTTACCAAGATCTTATGGGCACTTGAACTCAGGACGAAAGGGAGAAACGTGCTAAGAGGAAGGCACGCTTGGCAAACCCTCACCATGACCAACTCCCACCTGGAAATCTATGCCCCCACTCTGGGGGGACATGTAGATCCAGAATTGGCCTCCACAGTCACTTACAGACTCATGGTTAAAACCGTGTTTATGGAAGACAATCTTACTCGGCTACGAGTGATTGCCAAAGAAAAAGATGGCTTTGTATTGGCCAACTTCCAGTCTTCCACAAGTGACTAGATCATGTGGTAAACAACAAGGCACCTGCATACCCTCCCAACATTTCTCCGATGAAAACAGGGCCATCTTATTCTTTTATTTTGGCCATGGGTGGCACTGTGGTCTAAACCACAGAGCCTAGGGCTTGCTGATCAAAAGGTCGGCAGTACGAATCCCTGTGACTGGGTGAGCTCCCGTTGCTCGGTCCCTGCTCCTGTCAACCTAGCAGCTTGAAAGCATGCCAGTGCAAGTAGATAAATAGGTACCGTTGCAGCGGGGAGGTAAACGGTGTTTCTGTGCGCTGCTCTGGTTTTGCCAGAAGCGGCTTAGTAATGCTGGCCACATGACCCGGAAAAACTGTCTGCAGACAAAACACCGGCTCCCTCGGCCTGTAAAGCGAGATGAGCGCCGCAACCCCAGAGTCATTTGCGACTGGACTTAACTGTCAGGGGTCCCTTTACCTTTACCTTTTATTCATTTATTATTTCATTATTCCCAGCCCATTTCACTGGGTTGCCCCAGCCACTCTTGGGTGGCTTCCAACAGATATTAAAACAGAAAAAAAATTACACATTTAAAAACTTCCCTATATAAGGCTGCCTTCAGTTGTCTTCTAAAGGTTGTATCTCCTTGGCTCGGGGGGGGGGCGGTCCGCATAACTCCATACGCGCCAACATTTCTCTGATGCAAACAGGGATGTCCTAAGGAAAAGCAGGACATTCCAAGATCAAATCAGAAACCGGGACGGCTTCTGTAAATCCGGGACTGCCCCTGGAAAACAGAGACACCTGGATGGGCTACATCTGTTCACACTAAGGAATGGAAGAGCAGATCAGCTTGATACAGCCACATTGGTTTAAGTTTAAGCTTCCAGGGTTGTGGTAAGTTTTACTGAATAAGGATGCGTACTAACTTGAGAGAGCTGTAACATATATACCTTATGAGCCATTGTGGCAGTGGATCTGTTCTTAGAACCAGTTGACTTTAAATGTTTCTTGAATCCCAAAGAGCAGTTTAGGATCTCGTCACCTGTCCTTTACTTATTCATTTTGTCCTCCACCTGCCTCCTGTCTTGAAGCAATCCCTAGCTCTCCAAGCAGTCAAGAACAAGAAGAATTACTGGAGACAAACTTAATTAGGCAGAATTCTCAGCAGCATCTAACTGGCTCACTCCATTCTTCTTTGCATTTGAACTCCGGCAAATATCCCCCAACTGCTGTGCTAAATGGAAAAATCTGGGGTCAGGGATGCCCCTTGCTGATCACCAAAAACACCCCAGATTTATTTATTTATTCACAGTTAATGTAACGGTTGTGTCATTAGATTTATACCTCTATTATAACTGACGGCTGAAGGGGAGGTGTTTTTTTTTTAGTGAAATCAATTGCACTTCATTTTTAAGACATCGTAAGGAAATCCACTTGCTAAAAAACAGTGCCCAGTGGCGAATCAATACAAGGAATGCCTGGGAGATATTTTCGATACTTTATTTTTCTAGACTATTGCTTCAAGAATTCACAATGGTCAGTGAAGCTTCTACATTCAGAAATAAACCCAACACTTTACCACTCTAGTACTGACAGCTGAGATTTCTGTTAAATCACAGCTGAAGAGATAGTTTTGACAATGACTCTAATTTCATGTGAAAAATTTGAAATGTATGAGCTTAGTAAGACAGAGATGGTATCTATCACAAGAAAAAGCTTAGATGCCTTCCTTGTTCATTCCCAAGTGGTGTCAACAACCATGTACAAAATAAAACACAGTATTAACACTTCCTTGATTATACCAAAACTCAAAGGCATTTAACTCCATTAACTTTTCTTCTTAGTTTCCCTGCATCATTTCCGGATCAGTTCCTTATCCCCCAAATTTCCTCCCTCACTTAACTGTCCCTTCTGCTCCCCAACCAAGGAGATGAAAAATCTCCATTTTTCTCATTCAAGCCAACTCTGTTTCCTTCCAGTCTTTAATGCACAAAATTGATGGTCCCCATTTTTCACTCAGTTCAATGCTAGGCTCAGCAAGCTCTTCCTTTCTCCAACCCAAACATTCAAGCTTAAGGAGGCAGGAGAACAAAAGAATGCAATTTAAAATGAGTATTTAGTGTTCAACCAGCAGGCACTAGCCAGCCTGCCTCTGCCCTGCTATACCACACCGTGCAACCTGCTGGAACTTCCACCCATTTTTTCTTTAAAAAAAATTATCAACCTGAGCATGCACTGAAATGTATAGCCAAATGTATTAGTTAATACATGTTGATCTACCACACTTTTTGTCCGTTTTCAAAGCAGCAGGTATTGGTGTGCCTTGCACCCTCATAAATTTTTATATGTCTTTTTTCCACCTGCAATCAGTGCAGACTTACTTCAAAACAAAACCTCAGGATACCGACATTTTAAGTCTTAGTCGCTTTGCTTTATAATGTACAGGATAGACACGTGTAACAACTACCCCAACTGCATATAAATATCTACTTTTGCATTGTCAAAACGTCCTATCTAGTCCTAGGAAAGGGTCTTCCTAGGCTGAGTTTACAAATTACATTTAACCATATTAAGTCTATAACTTAACATTAACAATGCACTTAAGGGATTAAAAATGAATTTGTAACATGTCCTGGAAAGCTGGACGCTACGCACATAACTACAGTCAAGCACCAGAAATTTGTTTTAAAGAGTGTGTTTTAGGATGCACCCACATCATTACTTAAACTCACTAAAAATAAAGGGAGACAGTAACTGTATTATGGTTCAAACTACACAGATTATGAATGCTCATGGGCTGGCACCAGAAGCTGCCAAGACCCATTAAGGGCTCCACAGACTGCACTACCATCTTGGCTCCCTTGGCATAGGGCATACAATATTTTGCTACATAAACTGAACCCAACGAAAACAAGCAATCTGGGTCTCAACTGCTGGTGCAAGGGATTTCTCAATATACATGCCCGATAGGCCTCCATCTCTAAGGAGCGGTGGTCTGTTTCTTTCTCACCAACTGAACCTCCCCAGAATGCTGAAGTAAGCCCTGAGAAGGCCTTACATTGTTCCCCAATTATTCTGCAAAGCACCGGGATTTAGCAAGAGATGTATATGATCTACAACCATTTCCCAATTCGTGTTGAGGGCGGTGGGAGGGAAGGGGGGAAATCCAACACAAAGAGAGAAAATGGCCAGTTGAGTCGAACAGCGTCAAGCCTCTCCACTTGTGCAAGAGTCACACAGTTCTGATGGCAGTGACAAACTGCTGCCAACTTCTTCAGCCATGGGTCAGGATACACAAAGGGCTTGAATGAGGAATGTCAAAACCGGTTCAAATATATTTTAGCACTGAAGGGAGCCGACATCACACCCATCAGAACAAATGCAGACATCTTGCAAATGAAACAGCCCTGGGGCTATTTTTTTACATCTCCGGCTTTCATGAGAGCCTTAATAGCCCTGGCTCGCATCTCAAGCTCCAGGAGTTCCAGCTGCTGTGCTGATGGCTGGACATCATCTGTTGGAGGAACCGCCAAAGTTGCTGCCTTTGGCTCCTTTGGGGAGGATTCTGCAAGCCCCAGGATCTCGTTCACGCTTTTCTCAATGTCCTTCTGGAGGTCGTCTATTGGACCATCTCCACTTCTGACAGTCCTTTCCAGCCCATCTGAATGATCTTCCTCATTGCATGGGCCTTCAATGTCACTGTCGTATGCATCTGCGTTGATGCTGAGAACATCGCTGTCTTCTCCTTTGCCTGTAACACAAAATTAACAGAAAGGAAGAATTCAGAAGCCCTTTAAAAATAAAATAAAATTGGCTTTTCATCTTGTGAAACATTTCCTCTGCATACAAATACTCCTTTGCATAGATTTAAGGTATAGGAAAGGTCATCTATAAATTAAAATCAACAGTTTCTCTCTTTCCTCCCCTCCCCCAGCTTTAAGACTGATCTAATTTAGACAAGTTTTAATGCATTTTTATTCCAATTTAGGAGAACATGCAGTAGACCAGAGCAGCAGCGCTTGGAAAATTTATTCCATCGTATGGAATTGCATGATCTATTTTCCTAATTAAAATGTCATAAGGTTTTATATCACAAGGACGCCTCTGCATTACAAAATGAAAGTTGATGTGGGGAGCCTTTGGGGCTGACTGCTGTTTATTATTTTAGAAGTGAATTTAATTCCTGAAGTGCAGTTTAAAAATACTCCTAAAATTCTTGTGTACATTGCAACAAAATAAAATGAGGGTACAGATATCAGCGTGGCAATACACTTATTAAGAGATATCTGTGCAAAGACTTTTAATGAAGTGTTTCAATTTAAGTTATCTCAAAAACAATTACAGCGTTCCTATTTGTTCAATTATGATTAAAAACATGGGCCGAGATCCAAAGAACTACTTTGGACGTGACCTCAAGGTTTGAGAATTTTAAAAGGCCCTTTGAATGCCAAAGCTGCATTCTGCAGTAGATCACTGGGCTTTTGAAATCCCAGGAGTTCCAAGGGAAAATAAATCATGGAAGATGGTGAACTAGGGTTCTAGAAACACAAGCCCCAAACTCCCTGAGGTGCACAGAACTAGGGTTCCTCTTCTCTGGACCCAGGCAATGGTCTTCAGGAAAATGTAACAGAACATGATGCAAGGAAACGAGTTTGAATCTGACATGACAAATACTCATAATAAAGCATATATTTCTTTTGACATCTTGTCCTCAGGTACTATGTACATGTGATCATTTATCTCTGGAAGTTCTCCATTAACACTACTTCTATTTGTTAAATGCACAATAAGCCATTACAAAATGTAAAAAGTGTTAAACTTATCTGATATGGAGAAATGTGTCTGATAGCACCCTAAGATGAAATTTTAATAAGCTGTTTATTACAAAATGGCATGTATATTTCCTTGAGGAACATAAAATCTGGGGTGTGACTATGAAAAAAATTACTGAAACTGAATTGTATCAAATCAATGGAACTGATCTACCAAGGACTGTCTCTCTCTCTCTCTCTCTCTCTCTCTCACACACACACACACACACACACACATTCATTGCTCAATGGCTCTAGCATCAAATTATTTACTCAATATGTGAAGATGTCATCGCAGAGCCAACAATATGGACACAGGTGCCACCACCTCACCCCATCCACACAGTGTTTTCTAATGGAGTCAGTTCACACATATTCAAATGAGGACACGTCAAATTACACACATGCACCTAGAAGCAACCATGTCATCAGGCTACAGTAGAGGAGAAATGGGACTTCAGAACCTCTCCGTCAGCTGAGCTGAGGCATCAGCAACATTCAGCTCCTCCTCTCTCCTTGAATGCTCTCCATTCCAGGTGGCCATTTCAAGAGTTCTACAACTAAGTACTGCTCGGGTTTCCTTTTTTCCTCCTCCCTCCCAATCCCTTTCCTTTTTTAGTTGCGTCCTTTAGACTGCAAGCTTGAAGACAGGGATTTATGGGTATCTGTAAGCCGTTCAATGAGCTTCCCCCCTTCTTTTTGCTGAACAGCAGAGAAAATACTTTAAATGTATGAACCAGCCCTTGTTCAATGTATGGAGGCATAACACATTCGCTGTGACACATCCCAACCGACAATTATAGCCTAGGCAAAATTCAGAATTCACTACCTATATTAAAAAGCTGGATTCAAAGACTACTTACCCATTGGTACCTCTTAAAGGACATATGGCCTATTATGGTAAAGATCAATATGCTGCTCTTTGGGAGATTCTTTACGTGCAATGTTTTTAAAGAGACAATGAGAAAACCTTGTCAAGAATTTACACGCAGCCTGGCAACAGCAAAGTGATAAAACACACAACTGTTCATTTGCGCAATTTACTGCAGGAGGCCATGGCATTACGTTCCTCTGGAATATGCACATTCTCTGTAATCCTTACAGTTTACGGCCTTGATACACAGATTTGGAGTTGGTTAGGCTGAAGGTTTACACTTGCCCATTTTTATCCATTCTGCCTACAATATAAATGTCACTAATAGCCTCCACAATTATCAATGAAACCTCAAGAGTATTAAATTGATGTGTGAATTAAAACACAAGATAGCTTTTCAGCTCACTCTGAAAAGTCTAAAGTAACGTGGCATTCATTTGAGAGCTCTTATATGCCATTTATGATAATAAAAGGATAGCAGTAGATTAGAACACTCTGAAATAATTAATGTGTTTATCAATACTCTGCTGTCATTTTCTTCTTGGAGATTCTGGTTTTTAATTAGCCCTTCCCCACTTGGTCCCAAATATTTTCTTTTACTGGACGGCTTTTGCAGAACTTAGCAGTTTCCCCTCTTCTACCCTCTCCTTTCAAATCTCCAAGGCTTGAAGTGTTATTGATCTGGTACTATTGCTCATCAGCACCACAGTCACTGATATACTGGAAACCAATACAAAGCGGCCTCTGAATCGCGGTTCCCGAGGATCAAATAACCCCAGCCCTAGTAAAGCTCTGTTTATAAAGGGAATGCTGGTTAATCAGATAACAAAAAATTAAACCTTGGTATCCTTAAAATTAGGGGTGGTTGATTTGACTCTCAAATTTTAATCAAGATGTGATATAATCAGCTGCACAGAAAGAATGGATTCTTTGGACATTTCACATGACTTTTACTATATTGCTAACATATCTGTTAGGGAAAAGCAAAATGCCATTGCCCATCTGCTTGTTCCCCCAGGGATCTTTCAGGAACCACATTAATTTCTTTAGCTCCCCCACCTACAAAAAGGCAATGGCAATGGTTCCACCCAGTATCTTCTGCTTTGTCAATGTGAAGATAGATGATGCCAACTTTTATTACAGGGTGGATAGTTCTGACCCCTGAGCCACTTTGTGCAGAATGAAGTAGCCCCTAAGAATCTGGAAGCAGGTTACTCCAGCCTTTCATAACCATCAGTTGCAGCAAGTACGTTGTAAGTAACAGGTGCAGCAGGGATCCATGGCAGTTTGGGGAAGAATCAGGGGTCCTGTGGACCTTGTTCTAGGGGTATCAGGGTTCATTTTCCTTCCATCCAATGAATGAACTCCATGTATTTCCAGGCAGGGGCTCCATGCATCACAAACTGAGCCCCCCGCCACTAACTGCCTACTCCTTGGTCACCAATGGAGCAGGTGCATGGGGCTGCAATTCAGACCACAGTGTGCATCTGTGTGCTGCAAAGATGTCCCTCATTTTTAGTGCACAGAGACATTTTGTGGGATGGATCATGAGGAGGAGATGGTGAGACAAAGACGCATGGTGAGGACTGAGAGAGAGGGATCTTGGTTCAGGGAACTGAACAGCCCAATCCCATACTTTGATCTTGACCTCGGACACTTGCATGAATGGTTGGCAACCACTAAGTCATAAACAAGAACCATGATCCAGAGAAATTATGCAACAATGTCTGTCTGCCAAGACTCCCACAGCACCCAGAATGTCATAGATTTGTGATGTGTCCATACCATATTTGGCAACAGAACTGTATTGTTGATATTGCCAGGCTTTTCACAAATTGCTAATAGGCAAATTTTCATTTTTGCAAAAGTCCCAAGAGGATTATTCACCATTCTTTGGCCTTATAATGAGAATGACAACAAAGAACTAGAAATACATGTGCTGGCCTCTGCTTATCATGAAAGTTTCTAGATTCTAGAGGCGTGTTGCTGTGCTGTTAAATATTTCAGCGCCTTTGGCTATAATAGTATACTGTATCACAAGGCTAGCTACATGGATGTGAGGGTTTATTTTGGAAAATGGGATGGAGAGTAGTAAAAACCTCTCCATACACATAAAAGGCAATATTCTCTGCTTGATCTTTATACTGGGTACTTTCCATTCTCAGCAAGTCCTCTACAAAGACTGAGCAGCAGAATACATACTACTGAAATTAATCTGTGCTGGTTCCAAAATGAGTTGAAGGAAGACTAGTTTTCCTCTCAAGACAAAAGTAGGAGGAAAGGCTTTAGAAATTCTAGCCTGGCTTTTAAATCTTTTTAGAAAGAAGTATCACAACTTTCTTTGTGTGTGTATGGGTCTTGTGTTTATGAGCAAGGAAGAAAATCTTTAGAAAAGCATATTTTCTTTGACTTTTTATGATATAACTGGTATCTGGAGGGGGAAGAAAAATCAATACCGAACACTAAGAGAAATGTATAATAAATGTTCTTCCTCTGCAAAATAGGAGGCAGCTTTCCATAAAGTAACTAGAAAGTAAACCATTCCACATGTAGCAGTTTTACAAATATTAGAAATATACATAGACAATTGTAGCCTGTAAATATATTATGAGGAAATCAGCAAAACCCATGCTTTTAAAAAACACATACAGAATAACACAACTGATTCAAGAAAATGTGAGAACAAAGCCAAGCTAACCTTTAATCGTGTACTATATTATTGCATAAGAGCCTGACCAACTTAAGAGTTATTAAGTATGCTGTATGTTTGCAAAATCAGATCAACTGAACACAGCATTGATCTGATGAGCTTTAAAATGCACACAACAACAAAAGGTGAAAGAAGTTAGATTACATTAGTCTAATTATGAGGCAGATGGTCAAGGCTATAAAACTCTAAGTCAAACGGCCACAGTTGGGGTTTCTTGTTCCTCTGACAAGTCTACCAAGACCTATGAAACAATGGTTTTAAAAGCAGCTGTTAGAAACTTATGCAAAATATGTCATCACCACAGTCTTCTGAGAAGTTCTCAAAAACAATCAAATAGTGAACTTTGATCCGCAAGGCGTTGTTTTTACTCTTCACCACACATTGCCTACAATAAGGCAGGCATGAACTCAAAACATCTTCCAACTGCTTTTAACTTGCCAGAGAAGTGTGTGAAAGATCAAAGAAATGGGAATCAATAGGATTAAGGAATGGAAATTCTTTTGCTTTGCTGCCGGGCACTAGTCCATATTTACTTAATGCATTGTTCAAGTGAACAGAACATCTCCAAAGTGAGAATACATTCTCAACGGAATAAGCCTGGTTCAAAGTTCAGACGCAATGTTCCAGCACGCTCCTCTCCTGTTGCCAAAGGCCAACGGATCCAAGTGAAAGGGCACTGACCCGAGGGAATGAGACAAAAGTATTTTTTATAGAAATCATTTATCCTTCTGCTGAAGAATAAGAAGTTACCTAAACCAGGCTTAAAGGTACAATCAGCCTGGGCTCTCTACAGAGTTGAAATCTCCATGGAAGTACAATGCACAATAATCACATAGCCCTACTGCCCTAACAAATGTTTAATTAGCTGAACCGCTTCATTTCCCCCCTTTCTTTTGCAGCTGTAATTTTACATAGTAATAAAAGTCTCTGATGGCATTTTTCTCATTATCTTTTTCATTTTGATAACTTGTATTTATTCTTTCAACTAGGATTGCGAAATTCATTTCCAGGCACTTAATTTCTCTTTCTTAACCACTTTTCACTCATTTCTGCTTACCCCTTGGCTCTCGTACTTTTCATCTTCAGCATCACAGACTGCAGTGTGGAGGAAGAACAGTTACTAAGTTTTACCATTTATGCCTGCGCAGTCTCAAAAAAGCTCTTTAAAAGCTAACATCCTGACTAGCACTGTTGTCATTGCCCAGAGCCATCACGAAACCAGTGGCTGATAAAGTCATAAAAAGGACAAAGAAGCAATCACCTGCAACAGTCATCAATTCCCTCTGATAGCAGAGAAGGAAGAGAGGAAGTCTGCAGGAGACATGTCAATTCAGAGGTCATTCCAGAGAGTGCAACAAGCAATATTTAAAGCAGTCTTCACAAAGTCACAGCATCCTGCTAATCGCTTGGCTGCCTTATGAGACCATTTTAATCAAGTTCAATTCCCCCTATTAGCTATTTTTACCATCTTTAAGGAAGAATGGGGCACTTCTTTCTAAAGAGATGTAAGTAATTACTGGGGATATTTCCTGTGGCAATAAGATACAGAATGATCCTTCCCCGTGGCTTGCAGCATGCCTGTCATCACTAGGCAAAGAGGTGAAAACGTTGGCAGGCACAAACCCACACAATACATTAGGACCTCACTATTTGGGTTCACACTGGTGTTTCGCTGATGGGTTAAACCCAGACAACCAACAAAACAACTCCTTTTGTTCCCTGTGTGATCCTAAGTCCACTCTCTTCTCCTTTCAACCTTCTTGCTCCTGGGCGAACAGCAGAGATGGAGTGCGAATTTTGCCCTCATCCCAATAGTTTCCTTAAGTACCGCACCTTTTTCTTATAGGAACAAAGGACAATCTTTCACTTACACGAAAGGAAGTAAAGGGGTATACTCAGGGGCACCAGTATGGATAGTGATTAAATCTGCCCTTGGTATGGAGAAATAGGAGCAGCTCCTTCCCATCATGTTGACGGAAGCTTGGTTACTTTGTGCAATGGGAGCTCCTGCTATATACTGCACCAAATAAACAATGCTCTAAATCTGGGACCCTATTGCACTATATCTCCCAGAGTCAAAGGGGAAAGGCTTGAGCCTCCCCACATGAAACAGCTCATAAAAGACGGGCCCCCTGACATTCCTCCACACACTCTTGTGTACCTCCAAAGAGGGCACAGCTATGAAAATAGGCAGCTTGATTCTGAGAGGTCGTTGTATGGTTTGGAAAAAGACACCTTACTCCCACCCCTTGCTCAGATGGTAAAACAAGATGTCAGAGGTGGATGGTATGCTAGGGAAGACGTATCAAGAAGAGGAGAAACAGGTTTGGGGAAAAGTCAGGAACTCTAGATTGGATCACTACTCCTATCAAATATGACAACAAGTACAAATAACACCCAGAGATGGATTCAATCTTCGTTACAGTCTAGAATGACTAAAAAACATAATCCACAGCCAAAGATGTAAAGAAGAACTGGCATCACAAAGTTATGTTTAGTGAAAATGTAAAAAAAAAAAAAGCACAACCCAAATGCTTGCCCAAAATGCTGACAAACTCCTGGGTTTCATTTGACAACTAGCTAGAGAAGGGGCTCCTAATGTCTGAAATTCAATTATAGCTTCCAAAGAAAGTTATTCTATCATGCATCATTGTTTCATTTGCAATCTATTATGTAGTATTTGCAGAGATGACCCAGAGCATTTGTTTCGAGGCAAGTAACATTACATTATTGCTACTGCTCTGTTCACAATGCCAAACGCAGAGGCGGCAACATTTAAAGCCTTCTGCAGTTCCTACCTTGCTTTGAGTCCAAAGCTTCCAGTTTGTTGTCTTCCTTCAAAGAAGAAGTAGAATCTATGCTATTGTCTTGCCTGAGAACAAACAATAATACATTTCAGTTAGTATACTTTTTATGTTTATAAAAAGAAGCATTTCATATCCATACTCTCGTGCCCCCACATTTCATTGTTTGCTTTATTTTGTGAAGCAGGCCTTGCTTATTTAGGCAGTAGTACTGATAATTTCCTTTCTTCTCAAGTTTCATAGGGCTGCCTGGAATGCTCTTCCCCAAAGATATAGGGCTAGTCCAGTTAATGTAATTATATCACTTTACAGGGTAAGCAGTGCCTGCCCAGTTGGGGACACAACTATAGGAATATGTCAATTTTTCTCAATCAGAAATCAGTTTTAACTGCACCCAAGAAGAGTAAACAGAACAGAAACTGAGTGTTACAGAAAACCTTGTTTTGAGGACAAGAAAACATCTCTGGCTAGCCCAATACACAACTCACCAGACCACCAAAGCTATACCAATATTTCCCCTACCATGTGACAAGATCTTGTTTTTATCAAAGGCAGAGCAAAATAACTCCACGAAGCCCGAGAAGAAAATTCAACTAATTCCTCCATTGTGGACTCAGGCAGTATGCATTCGTAAATAAACCATAAATCCTAAAGACAAAAAAACCCCTACAAGTGTCGATTTTACTTTTCCCCTCAGTGTGGTGGAGCAATCCAAATTAGACATGTTCTAAGGCAAGGAACATGTCTAATTTTTTACCTTTAAGGCAAGGAAAACATCCTCTTCTGAAATGCCAGCCTAACTCCTGCCTTCCAATGAGAAGAACCACCTAGTTGGAGTTGTCTGATCAAGCCGGTAACCTACAGAGATATGCTGAATTAAGGTGACAAGAGCTGGAGCTACAAGTTCCAGGTTCAAATCTTGGCTCTGTCAAGAACTCCATTGTTTATTTCACACAGCTCACCCCCTAAAGATTAATAAGGAATCTGCTTTGCAGGATAGTTGTAAGGATTACTGAGATAAAAGTTATGTTAAATGCTTTGAAAACTTGGAAAGTACACTGTATTAACAGTATTGTATCCCCAGAGCTGCCTTATACCAAACCAGACCACTGGCTCATCCAAGTTTTCCTACAGGATTATCACCAGTAGATGTCAAACCCAAGACCACCTTAATGCAAAGCATGTGGTTTACTGCTGAGCTACAGTGCCAAAAAACGATGCATTTCTTGTCCATTTCCCCAGAATTGCCACCGCTGTTTTTCCAAAAGAAGAACCTCGCTGAAGAACAAGAAAGAAAAAGACAACCCCCAAACACCCCTGAAAACATCTGTGCTTGTGAAAGATACAGAACATCAACAACAGAGACCCTAACTGTGAAGTATCTTTGGCTGATGCCACTGCTATCAGGGGAAGAATCTGGAGAGCAAGTTCTTTGAAAAACATCAATAGGAGGAAAGAGCTCCCCAGTAAGGCAACTGCAGAAACACACAAAGAAAACCTGTGGACGATAGGGGAACTGGGCACAGAAGCCCTGCCGAGGGATTACACGTAGGAATTTGCCCCACAAAACAGCAGATCCTAACTCTACTTACAGTGTTCATCAACACTGCTGCACAGCAATGTATTTATAACTGCTGAGATTAATACTACAACCACACTACTGAGAATTAATTTTAAAAGTAATCTAGTCTCTGACAGAAAAGGGGAAAAGGTATTTTCAGACATGAACCCACTGGATCATTAAGAAAGAAGAGCAAGGCAAGGATGCAACCTGCAAAACCGCAAGGTGCTGCCAAACTCCCAGACTTAAGAGGGCAAATCTTCAAAACAGCCTTGCGTATTACACAATCTGCACAAAAATGATAAAAAGATCACTGAACCCACATTTTGGGGTGGGATGGTGTTATGCTGGTTTAGCTATTTCAAAACGTTCTCACCAAAATTTGACACATTGCTTTCTGTTTCAAAGGATGGGGAAATAACTCAGAAAGTGCTAAAAAGGATGACATTTCATCTGCCATCTCGCCATGATGTTCAACTGTCTTTATACAAAGCATGAAAGCAAATGAAAGATTGTAAGACACACTTGAGGAAACAGGATACAGCTCTCCACAGGATTTCAAAATCATGGAAGGCAAGTCCAATTGTTGAGTTTAATGAGCATTTTAGCCATAAAATTATTTTATATTCATCTAACCAATTTCATACCTCAGCTACTTTGTCTAAAATTTGTAATGTACGTATTATGTTAATATGCACACAATCAAAGCATCCAGCTTGCAGGGAGGAGTTAAATTTAACATTACAAGGTTAGTGTCATCCTAACTTACATTTCAGAGGTTTAGCTCTAATGGCGTGTGTCCGCCTCTGTTAAGTATTGTAACTAAACTATGATTAAAGATAATTTTTTAAAATGGGGGTGCATATATAAGTGATTCATTTTTAACCAGATCCCTGAAAAATAATCTATCTGTCCACAAAGAGGAAACCTTTTTCCTGATGCCCCTGTATTTGTCTCCACAAGCCTCCTTGACTAACTTAATACGGAAGCTGCCAAATATTCCAATGGGCTCCTCTCATCTCAATTCACTTCTGTTCAGTACCAGGTGCTGCTACAGATTCAGCCCTCAAGGCAAAGTTTTCCTATTGAACCCCCAAACCTATGAAATTATTACAGATATTAAGACATTTACGCAGAACATATAGATGTGTGCGTGTGTGCAGGGCAGCAATCATTTCATGATTATGAAGGAGAAAATTGATACTGGGTTCAGAATGAAACATTGGCTTCCATTCAAAAAACAACAACAGCAACTAAACTTCAAGCCTTTAAGGTTTCAGAGGTAAATTTCAAACCTATGAGGAGAAGCAGAGTCATGAAAGAGCACCAAATGTGGGGAAATAAGTTGGATTTAGGCTACAGCAAGCATTTTGGCCAGAAGGCTATATTCACCCTTGGCCAACTCACTGGGAAAATACATGATGAGCAGAGCGGAAGAGGAAACTCTCCTCCCACAGCTGATGGGGATGCAAACTGGCCTCTCCTTGTTCATCAAATCAATCATTGGATGAATGAGGAGGAATTGGTTTGCATCCCCACCTGGGTGCTGGGCTGGGCAGACAGGCTGAAACTTCCTTGGCACAAAATTTTATTTATCCCGATCCAGAATATCTGAAGCTGTTTGGCGCAAGGTGTGTACAACCCTGAGCATCGATACAGACCCAGCACCCTACAGGAAAAGGAACCTGGCAATCATGTCCCTGGCATTCGTACCCCTCATTCCTAACCAACCACAGGATGAAGACATCAGCTCCTAAATGAGTGATAATGCTGTTATCAAGTATTGCTCATTGGCAAACGGGGATGATCTGGCACAGTCATCTGGTTTGCAGAAGGAAAATGTATCAAAGGATATCTGCTCTAGGATAATAAAGCTCCTGCTGTCCGGAGTCGTCCTGCCAAATTTCGTTCAGGAATCAGGATTGCTCATTTGGCAAGAGCCTTAACAACAAGTTCTTGATTTCCAATTATGCAGCTTATTTTAAATACTGGTCATGGAAATGGTGATTTTCAACATATGAGCTGTACCAAGTTTTCTGACCCCTGAACAGTGCACTGCAAAACTAGCAGCAGAAACTATGTGGTACCTGCTTGATATCAACCACTTCGGTAGAAAGGTACACATACTAATACAGACAATCTGCTGTCCAAAACACTTTGTCACTGAGCAATTCTTATGCTGTCATAAAAAGGCTTCTTGATGTAATGGCGCAACTCTTAAGTTTAATACACATGCATTTTCTGCCATCTTGTGGCCAAATGTTGCATAGATTAGATGCTCTTTTTCAGATGCTTAGTATTAACCGAATGAACTAGCTGATATGCGAGTTACTTAGTACATCTTGTTCACACTGACAACACAATCACATGGATTTCTACTCAGAAGTAATCCCCACTGAGCTCAATGGGGTTTACTCCCAGGCAACTGTAAAAACTGCCGTTTAAATGTTGATTCCCACCAAGAAGAACCCATACTATGCTACTAACAAGCAGTCACCGAAAAGAGGCTTGGTAACCCAAGAACTTCTGCCTTCTCCCAACCCTATTACATAACAAAATGAATCAAAATTCTCCACGCTGTTTTAACCCTAGCAATTAACAGCCAACCTAAAACGAAAAGATCCTATTTGCAGCCATGGGATGGGCAACAAGCTGATTACAGGCAACTCCCATTTTGCACACGTTCAAAGCAAGCACGACCCTGAACATGTGTGACATTTTCAGACCAGGAAGAGCATGGAACAGGCTACATCAGCACACACAATTACCCAAATGCAACCCCCCCCCCCCAAATCAGGGGTTGCCTGTATGCAAACAGTCTTGGATTTGGTTGGTTTTCCTACTTTATGCTGTGATTTAAGAGCAGCTGTATACATACCTTTGTACCGTAGGATCTGATGGAGGATACAATTAGGATTCTCTGTTCAAGGCACTTTGGGCTTCAGAAGATTCTGCCAATTTAACTAACATTTCAACGGGATCTTACGAAGGCTCACTGGGTTTTTACAAATGCTCAGCAAGGTTCACGAAAGTTTCACCTGAAGTTTCATTTCACTAATGTTTTGCAAATTTTCCCCAGAGTTTTTGCAGCGGTTCAGCCAAGATTTCACCATGGGTTTATCTGGGATTTCACCAACACTTCAAAACGAAATTGTCAGCACAAACTTTTAAATAGACTCTCAGAGGACAGTTAAATTAAATTTGCTCATTACAATTACTTACTGGCTGATAGATTCAACTGCTGTCTTCTCTTCCCCACCATTAGCCTCTTCATCACTGTCGGAGTCATTTTCATTCTCACCTTGAAATATAACGTCAATGTGAGATGCTATACAGTGTGGCAGCATTTTTCTGCCTCATTAATACATGCATCAGTAAATACTGTTATGACTGTCAAATGAAGAGACACAGCCCACCTGCCTGACTAAGGTACTCAACAGAAACCATTTGGAGCTGTAGTCTGTGAGGGAGACAGTGGCCTGAGTTTTGAAGATGGCTGGCGGTAAGGAACCATAGCACGTCCCAAGGCTATATTGTTTGGAGAGCCTGGGGTACGGGGGATACGATGCTTCAACGAGCAGCAATAAGTGTCTGGCTGCTTCTCTGCACCTCCATGCTTAACTTGGTATCTTTGCAAGCAAACAACTATTACAAACACAGAGTAAGTCTTCAGTACTTTCACCACAAGGAAAAAGAATTCATGTAAAAGGTTTCCCCAGGAAATTTCTGTCACTCGGGTAAGAGAAAAAAATGCCACCCAGCTCAAGAGTCTTTGCCAAAGGAATAATATAAAATTAACCCTATCTTCTCTTACAACACAGCCATTTATATTAAACTATTGTAGGAGCATTTGTACAGAAAACAGGTATTCCTTTTTCTTATGCAAACACACATACACACAAATATGTAATACAGGCCACAGAGTCTGTTCTCATACTAAAGCTCTGAGTAGTCTATAGATAAAACATATATTCAGCAACACATTTAAAAACGTTGGGCAACTTCTGTAACAGAAGTTCAGGACTAAAGCTAAAAGGGTAGCTAACAAGGAGTTAAAACTATTCTAAAAAATTAAGCAATGCTCATTAATGTAGATAACTGATGGAAAGCTTATGGGGGCTGGTTTTCCAGTCCTCAGAGCAAAAAGGAAAGCCTAATACCACAAGTAGATCTCTTGTGAGCAGCTCCTCTGAATGCTGTAGCCATTAATTTTAAGTCTCTCTATAACAGGGTTCCAAGTCATAACTGCCCTCATTTGCTCAAAGCTTCTCTTCCAATCTATCTTCTAGGTAATGGCCATGCTTCTCTGCTACATACCGTATTTTTTGCTCTATAAGACTCACTTTTCCCCTCCTAAAAAGGGGAAATGTGTGTGCGTCGTATGGAGCGAATGCAGGCTGCACGGCTATCACAGAAGCCAGAACAGCAAGAGGGATTGCTGCTTTCACTGCGCAGCGATCCCTCTTGCTATTCTGGCTTCTGAGATTCAGAATTTTTTTTTTCTTGTTTTCCTCCTCCAAAAACTAGGTGCGTCTTGTGGTGTGGTGCGTCTTATAGAGTGAAACATACGGTATACAATCAAGCATCCATGTACTTGGTGTTCATTAGGAGCTCCAATATGATACAGTATTGCCTACCTTCAAGAATTCTCAATAACTTCTTCTCAGACAGGAGCTCCAACTGTTCAAGACAAAGCCTTTTGATTTCTTCTATCGAACAGCCCTACAGAAAGAGAGGTGGGACTGTTATAAACGGTGCCTGCAATTAGCCAGATGCCATGCGCATTTTGTACCTGACTATCAGCCACTTGCAACCAAGCAATCCTGGTTTAAGGTGCCATTTGGCACCTAGCTTTTATATGTGAGCTTCTAACACTAGTTACGCACTAAGGGCCAGATTCAACTAGTTGAGCTAGCAGGAGCAACAGGATGAGTCCTGTCTCTGGAAGAGTTGGGAGAACTTCCAAAATGAGAGGTTGGGGAAGAGGGGAGACCACTCCGTTCAGTGGCAGGTCATCTCTTTAGTGCTTGTTTGAATTTCACCTTTCTTTCTTTTTAATAAAGACGACAACAACATAATAATAACATCATCATCATCAGTTTTTTATTTGTACCCCGCCCTCCCCGGCCAGGTACATACAATCTGGACACCAAACCGAAACTTAAAACATTATGATCTGAATTAGAAATTTTATTAAGACGGTTTTGCAAAAAGACAATGTTAAGGAAGTAGCAAAGTATGCCAGATCTGAACCCTGGCTTTCTTCTTAGGTTTCGCAAGGCAGGCATTGCAGCCAGTTGTGCCTCTCCTCTGATGGAAGGCACTGTAATCCAGCAGGGGCGTATGTTGGCATAAAGGGTAGCCCCCTGTGCACACACCCCAATCTGCTCAAGAGCGCTGGCGGACCCTTTGAATGGTGTGGCAAGCGCAGCAGGGGATTGCAGGAGAAAGGAAGAAACTGCAAAAATTACCTCTCCCCTCTTTTTCACCTCATGGACGTTTCTGCTGGATCAAACAGCCTTCTGTCAGTGGGGGCATACAATTAAATACAACCCAAGGGCACTTCTCAAATTCCCTAATGCTGGCAGTTGGATATGGATTATTCCAGCCACTGTTTCTCATTAGTATTGCTTGAGTAAAAAGAAGAAGAAGAAATACAACTTTCTGAAAAATATCACTCTCACCCTAATAAGGCTTTCGGTATCTATGTTTTCACTCCCGGTAGGTAACTGTGTTAAGTCTGCTACAGCAAAAGAAAAGTCTTGTGCCATAAGACTCTTCAACCTTTAATACATTCTTTTTCATAAAAATCATTCAGAAGACTTCTTGTTCGTACTTTACACTTGACAGAGAATTTTAGTGGACCAGCCCATGAAAAATTATACAGGTAGTTTAAACCTTAATTATGAGAAACGGAGCTAATACAGATATAATGTAACAAGTGTTATGAGGCACCAGCCTTGGAAACACACTTTCTTGTAACACTACCCCTTCCTGGAATTAAATTTTATCATTTGCCAGCATCAAATTAACTGTGATTAAGGCTAACCAAGGTTTCCCTTACCCTAAGATTTAAACCCACTTCAAACTCTTGTATGATTTATTAAAATGTGCTTCCCTTTTCTTTCTTTTTTTGGAAGAGTTAAGTGAAGAGAAAATAAAATTCAACCAGTAAGTTTTGTTGATGTTCCTGAGAAGATCTGAGAAGTTAGAACAATGAAGTACCAGGCTCCTTCCCCGATGCAGGCTGGCTTTTCCAAGAAGCATAGCATTGCAGATCAATGTTCTGTTTTGAATTACCTTATCCAGCTGTTAGTGGTCCCTCAAAAAAGCAGTATGTCACATTTATTAATCCCTCATTTGCCTTTGACTCCATTGATCGGCATCATCAATAAGAGGAGCAGCTAATTTTTTGCAGGCCAAGGAACGTATTGACTTATGACCAACCTTCCCAGGTCTGCAGCACAAAAGTGGACACAGCCAACTGGTTGATATTTCCTACCATGAGACCCATGATGTAATTTCTGCTAAAGATGCCTAAATGGACTTTGAACATGTAAAGAATTCCAAGTCTTCACTCTGGTACATTAAAATTGATTCTGATCACAAAAAGTGTTACTTTCCTGCAGGAATTAATCCCCCCCCCCCATTAGACATGCATTTACCCAGTTCAGATTTTGAACTATGTACACAGAACAGCTGACCAGTAAATTATTTAATAAGCCAACATATGACCATCTTTCTGTATGTTGATCAGGCCAGATTGAAGAAATTGTGTGTTGTATTTTTTATTGCCCCTATACAATCCACCTAGGAAGATTCCTCTATTCATTCAAAGTTTTTTTAAGAAGGTCAATCAGATTATTTCAAAAACATAGGGCTGCAAGCTGATGTATACAACTTTGTAATCTAAAGGATAACATTCTCACTACCTGCACATGTAGAGCTATGGGCTACGTTACAGATCCAAAGCAGTGTTGACTCTACCAAGGAGATTTTTAAAAATCTAAATTATCTGGGGAGGGTTATAATTTTAAGTTTCAATCATTTGCAGTTCTAAAATTTGAAATGTTTTAAACTTATCTTGAATTGTCTTTCTGTGTGTGTGATTGATATTGTAATAGACACTGGCTGCATACAACAAAAATCTGACTGAGTTAACAGTGTTTTAGCATTTCCAGCAATTCCCATCTTCCCGAACTCCTTGCCTGATGGAGTCAAGATTCTACATAATCCCATATCTATGGTAGACTTGTAAACAGCCACTTGTCTGATTACTTCCAAGTAGGCTGAGAAGTTCCTACAAATTTCTCTTCACGGGCTTTTAAGGCCATGAACATGGGAACATGGGAGAACAAGGACTAACTAAAACATTTGGGAGGTAGCAACATTTCCAAGGCTGCTCTATGGAGTCTACCAGGGCCAGCCCACCCATGAGGCAAGGTGGGTCAACTGCCTCAGGTGGTAGCAAACCCTCCAAGTGTCCCTATTTTCCAGGGCCAGTCCCAGATTTAGAGAACCCTCCCTGGTTTCTGATTTGATCTGTCCTGTTTTCCCTTGAGACATTCCTATTTTCATCTGAGAAATGTTGGAAGGTATTGGAGTTATGTGAACCCGAGCCAAGGAGATATACATACTCCCTTGGAAGGCATCTAAAGGCAACCCTGTATAAGGAAGGTTTTTTTAATGTTTAATGTTTTATATATGTTGGAAGCCACCCAGAGTGGCTGGGGCAACTCAGTCAGATGGATGGGGTATAAATAAATTGATATTAATATTAATAGGACATCCCTGTTTTCACTTGAGAAATGTTGAGAGGGTATGTAGTAGAGGGCAGCAAATCTAGCTTCCAAGCAATGCATAGCCCGCTGCCGCAGTAACAGCAATGGCTGTAGCACATTCCTTGGAAGCCAGATCTGTTCTCTCCTCTGTAGCCCTGCTATGCCGCCTATACAGCAGCCTCTCTGCCCTGGAGGGGGGAGGTGCCGTTTTGTAGTTTTCCTCAGGTGCCAAAATGTATTAGGCCAGACCTGGTGTCTGCAGTGGAAGAGGAGCTCAGTGTAGCTGGCAGGCAAAGTGTTGCTATGGAATCTGCTCTGCAGCCCTAGGGATGAACTACAAGAAAAACAGCATGGTTAAGGGAGCGTTTCTGTTCCCAGTCCAAATTTTACAAAATCTTTTTCTCCAGAAATGTTGAGACAAGATTAGTATATCATAAAAATGAACATACGTGCTTTTCTTGCCAACCGGAGCATTCTATGATATTCTTATAAATAGCCAGAATACTTATTGTGTGGTTTTTACTTTATTTTTAAATCCTGCCTGCCCCCAACTTCAAGTTGCTTTATTTTCAAGCAAGGATGTCTTAAGTCTGTTGGGAGTAGTGTTCTTTTTTAATTATAAATTACTTATTTATAAACTGCCAGGCTGCCACACTCATCTCTGATGGTGTTATGTCCAATTAAAGAAAAATTTCAACATCCCTGTGGAAATGCTATAATTATATACTACATTATTCCATATGCCACAGTAATTAAGGTTATTTACATTTGCAGCCTGCTTCATTCCGAGGGCTCTACAACAGTATTTATTAAAACACACACATACACAAATATATAAACTCTGAAAGCCTTTGTAGCAGTCTGATCTCAGTACTTGCTGAACTAGCTTGTAAGTGCATAGGATACACACTGAATAGAGCTGCAAGTTTTAATTGGCAAGTTAATCAATTAAAGCTTAGGTTGATTTATCAGTGCAATACCATTTCAATATGCAAGAGTACATTTTAATTGGTGGGGTTTTGAGGGCACATGCCCATTTTTAAGGCTATTCAAATTCTCCTGTGCTACTGTAACACTCAAAGAAAAATGGACTCACATGTTTCCTTTCAACAATGTGAAGCAGCTTTTGTTTATTACAATGTTTCATAAACCAATGGTAGCTGAGACATACTCAGCTACTTAACCCAAAACTTAACCCAAATGAAACACTAATAATAAGTAGCACTTACCAGTGGAGGAACCCACTCTCTATGGGAGTCACTTTCTCAGTGTGCCTTCTGGTTGGGAAAATGCAGCCCCTAATTAGTGACTCATGCAGAGAATTGAGGTGCTACCTCTTCTGTGGCAAGAAGGGTGGCATTTCTCTAATGCATTACACAGGGCAAATTAGAAGTGCTCTTGAACAACAGAATTTAGGAATTCCTGAGTTACTAAATTATAAAATTATCATACTCCACTTTCAGTTTCTTAGAAAGATACCTACATTAAATGTTGTTAAACTGCAAATCGTTTTAGCAATAATCAATCAACCAACCCATTAAAAAAAGAAGATGCATCAACTAAAAATTCTCTAGTTAGTTGATAGTCCCAACGTGGAAAATTGTGCCATTCTAAAACGTAAGCCATGGCATTATGCTGGCGAAAGCCGATATTTAAACATCAAATTTGGATATAGGTTCCTTCTTTACGGCAATGTAGTGTGACACATGTATGTATGTATTTGTTTGTTTGTTTGTTTGTTATTGGATATTCTACCCTTCTTTCCCTGAGCTGTTTCCACACTACGTGGAACTACTTTGTGACTTTAAGAATGGGTGCTGATTTTTCTCTTCCCTCCTTATTCCCTTTCCCTTTTGTGTCATGTCTTGTAGAGTGTAAGCCTGCAGGAAGGCTTGTTTTTATTGATCTTACATAAACTCTGGGAGCCTGTACAGTTAAAGAGCAGGATAATAACACCTTCCATAAATATTTAAAATATAAATACAAGCATGGCTCCTTAAAAAGTAAATCTGACCCCTTTATACAGTGGTGCCCCGCAAGACGAATGCCTCGCAAGATGAAAAACTCGCTAGACAAAAGGGTTTTGCGTTTTTTGAGTCGTTCCGCAAGACGAATTTCCCTATGGGCTTGCTTCGCAAGACGAAACGTCTTGCGAGTTCTTGCAAGTTTGTTTCCTTTTTCTTAAAGCCGCTAAGCTGTTAATAGCCGCTAAGCCGCTAAGCCGTTAATAGCCGCTAAGCCGCTAATAGCCGTGCTTCGCAAGACGGAAAAAACCGCAAGACGAAGAGACTTGCGGAACGGATTAATTTCGTCTTGCGAAGCACCACTGTATTTTTAATTGAATCTATGCATGTACAGTCGTACCTTGGTTCTGAAATGCCTTGCGACTCGAACGTTTTGGCTCCCGAACGCCACAAACCCAGAAGTGAGTATTCTGGTTTGTGAACGTTTTCTGGAAGCTGAACGTCTGACACGGCTTCCGTGACTTCCGATTGAGTGCAGGGAGCTCCTGCAGCCAATCGGAAGGTGCACCTTGGTTTTTGAACGTTTTTGGAAGTTGAACGGACTTCCAGAACAGATTCCGTTGGAGAACCAAGGTACGACTGAATATACATCCAGTATCATAGCCATAATTAAAGAAAAAATAAAATGATCAAGGAAATAACCATAGCAATGTTCTAATTAAAATTAAGGATTTCAGTGCGTAACAGAAATGTCCCATTTCCAATGAAGCACCAAAACCTTTCAGAGTTTCCTTACTATCTCAAAAGCTAGCCAATTGCACATGTCAGGGTAATAAATTTATAATAAATATATACTGTTTAATTTCTACTGTACAGATGTCCACAGAAGGATAATGACTATTACACTACGTGCAGTTAAGCTACTGAAAACCCACTGAATGGAATTTAAGCAACCTCTATGGAGCCAACAGGGCAGCACACCTTTAATTTTTGAAATATTTTTTCAATCCTGATAAAAGAGTATATTTTAACTGTAGAATGAAGAAGCAGGGTTAGATGGTATCAGAGTGGTTATAAATAAATAAAAGCCAGAGCTTATAGCAAGAGGCTTAACCTTTGTTATAGAGCATTCAGATCACTCCTATTCCTGATAAATGCTGAAACGGTTCAGCTTTCTCCAAAATTTGCCAGAATAGATATATTTCAGTACCTTTAAGACATCAGGCAGCATTTTCTGCACTTTCTTCTCTCCTATGATACAAAAGCACTGGTGTAGCATTTCCTTCTTATCTGTGATGTAGAAACTAACTGGCTTCAATTGCACGCTGAGATCTAATCCACCTTCTTCTAGGTCACTGGATTCTTCTTCCACATCCTCATTTTCTGGAATTTGTGTAGTACATTTTGTTTCCTAAATGATGACACAGAAAACTGATTAAATCATGACCCAACACAAAACACTTGCTTATGTCGTAATATCGGCAACTAAGCTTTGACTACAGAAGGAACAGTGCAAGCCATTTCATGTCTACTCAGAAGTAAGTCCCACAAGGTTAGATGGGTCTTACTCCCAGGATATAGGATTACAGCCTGAATCAATGAAGCTTCTTATATAGGCTCCTAATACTGCAGTCTAAAATACAAATGCAATGTTTAAGATGCTCCATAAAGCTGGTGTTCAGTTTTGCATTTTGAAGTTACTTGAAAGATCATATAGTCAGCAAATAAGTTTACAGGTGAATGCTGCAAAAGGAAATCCACGGGGATAGTTCTCTCTCAAAATATTATGCCACCCAGTAAAAGGAACTGAGAATACATTCGGGGGGGCAGGGGGGATGAAACAACACATTCAAAGCACTTTGGTTACTATCTCTGTTCTTCTCACACCAGCCCTGTAAAGCAGGCTGGTACTGTCATCACAATTACAGGCAAGAGGTTTAACTCAAGATATAGCAGTCTGGCCTGTGGACACCTTTTGAATTCATGGCTGTGAAATTTGAGTATCTGGGTCATATTTTTAAAGTTGCAAACCTACTTGGGAGTAAGCCTTAATTCAAAGTAAACATGCATAGGACTGGTCAGAAAGCTGCTCCCTAACGCCAGATCTTAAGAAGGTTCATGTAGCATACAATTAATGTACTAATAACTTACTTGCAAAAAATAGTGATTCCTTCTAACTTAAAAAAGATCTTTTAACAAATTCATGATGCAGGTTAGGTCTGTCAGTGGCTCTTAATCAGGACAACTAAAAGCAGAACCATATTGAGAAGCGGACAGTCACGTTTGTGATTATAAGTTACTGGAGTAAAAAAAAAACATGGGGATGATTATGCTCCACAGTTAAGCTGTCCAGAGTGGCTGGGGAAACCCCCCAGATGGGTGGAGTATAAATAATATATTAATAATAATAATAGTAATAGTTACGGTAGTTGGAGACAAAACTGTTAACCTTGCTAGGCTGTTAGTCAAATTGATCAAAGCAATTCATTATTTTACCACCACCACTCAAATTTTCAATATAAACGTTTTTGGTAGTTCTTATTTGATTTTTGTAAAGCTCCCCCCCCCCTATTTTGGGTTTCCACCTTGTGATGTGCTTTATACAGATTCTGTATAAAGCTGGGTTACTCTAGAACCAAAACTGGGTCGCAAACAAGTAAACGGAACAGCTGTTCATAGGAAATGGACACAAGTCCAGGAATATGGGGGACGTTGCTTCAAAAATCTCATGAAGCTGAATCCAAACGTAATATAAAATAAAATAATAATAAGTGCCATCCACGTAAGCTGTGCTTTACAAATACTGAAAGGTCCACTCCCAGGGCTTTTAGAAAACGACTATAAGAAGCGCGCGGGGGGGCGTGGTCGCCAAGGCACCTTGCGCATGCGCATACCGGCTCCGCCTTCCCTCAGGGAGGCCCAGGCGGCGGTTACCTCGGCCAGGCCTTGAAGCGGCTCGATGCTCCGGCGTTTCCTCTCGCTGCCTCCGCCTTCTTCCTCCAGGCAGCCCAGGCGGGAGCGGTGCCGCTTCTTCTCCTTGGGAAACTTGCGCCCCGTCATGACGGCGACCCGAGTCGGCCGCGCCCTCTTCCCGCGAGCCTCTCGTCACAGAGCGAGCGAGCGAGCGGGGCGTCGGTGGCGTAATATATCAGCGGCCCGACGACGCCTTCACCCGCCGTGCGTCCGTGCGTCGCGCTTTGACGACGTCACCCGCGCCGCCCAGCCAACGTAGAGCTAGTGAAGAGAGGTAGAATCAGAGTGGCCAGTTGTGGAGAGTCCGGAGGTTCCGGTTCCAGCTGGTCCAGAGAGGGAGAGATTGGGGCAGAAGTGGAGGCAGGTGGAGTTCGAATCTGCCTTTATTGCATGTGGGAAATAAGTGATAAACGATAAAATGATAAAATAAAAATACCCGTCTTGTTTCATCTGGAAAAGAGGATACTTTAGATTTCAATAAAATATATAATGTAATATAATGTAATGTAATATAAATAAAATAAAAATACCCGGGTTATTTCATGTGGAAAATAGGATCCTTTGGATTTCAATATAATAATATAATATAATAATATAATATAATAATATAATATAATATAATATAATATAATAATATAAATAAAAATACCCACCTTGTTTCATGTGGAAAATAGAATCCTTTAGGTTTCAATAAAATAAAACATATAATATAATGTAATATAATATCATAAAAATACTCACCTTATTTCATGTGGAAAAGAAGGCCCTTTAGATCTGAATAATATAAAATATATAATATAATATAAATATAATTAATATAATACCATAAATAAAATAAAAAACCTGTATTATTTCATGTGAAAAATTGGATCCTTTAGACTTCTATAAAATAAAATGAAAATACCCATCCTACCTATATATCACATGTTCCCATGTTGCAAGCTCTTAAAAACTGCTTAATGCTGCAGCCCAGGTTGGTCAGGACTTCCAGCCCAAAGTCTTCTGTAAAACCTTCAGGTTGCAATCAAAATTCAGCCTCCGCTCGACTCAGATTTCATAGAATCATAGTGTTGGAAGGGACACGACCTGAGGGTTATCCAGTCCAACCCCCTGCAATGCAGGAATTGCAACCAAAGCACCCAGGGGACAGATGGCCAGCCAACCTCCAAGGAAGGAGAGTCCACAAACTCCCTAAAATATCACCATATACTGTGTGTGTGGTGCCTACATTATGCATGGACTGTTTGCATGGCAACATGTGCAAATGGCTTTAGATACCTATTAGATCCATAAATTACCATATAGCATATGTTCAGCAGAAAAACAGCGACAATTTGCTGTTGACAAAGGGCAGCTGGACATATACTGAGAGCCTTCTCGGTGGTGGCGCCCACCCTGTGGAATGCCCTCCTATCAGATGTCAAGGCAATAAACAACTATCTGACTTTTAAAAGATATCTGAAGGCAGCCCTATTTAGGGAAGTTTTTAATGTTTGGTGCTTTATCATGTTTTCAATATTCTGTTGGGAGCCACCCAGAGTGGCTGGGGAAACCCAGCCAGATGGGCAAGTATAAGCAATAAACTATTATTATCTCTTTTTTGATACAATTTATTAGACAATGTCTAGGAACACAGGGAAAACAAGCGACTTCGTTACACTTTGAAATGTTGCAGAGCTTTCAGCAGGTGTGTTGTAATAATTTGCCCCTATGGCAAAGGTTCGTCTAGCCCAGGGTTTCTTAAAGGGGGTTGATACTTAACCCCCTTAGGGGGTCTAAGGGACTGGGCAGGAGGTGAATAAAGACCTGGGGTGGAAATGCCCGGACTCTGAGGTCCACCTCAGGGACATCTGAAGGCAGCCCTGTTTAGGGAAGTTTTTAATGTTTGGCATTTTATTGTGTTTTTAATATTCGGTTGGGAGCTCTCCAGAGTGGCTGGGGAAACCCAGCTAGATGGGTGAGGTATAAACAATATTATATTATTATTATTATTATTATTATTATTATTATTATTATGTAAAGGGCCCCATTAGTAGCTTAGGGCCTCATCAAACCTAAATCCGGTCCTGTGTGGGGCTCATGTGCTCTTGCAGGTTTCTCAAAGGCATCTGGTGGGTCCCGTGAGAAGAGCAAAGCTATACTTATGTTCTCTGGCCGTTCTCAAGACAACTCATCCGCAATGTCTCAGCCTATATGGTTCTTTTGCCAAGGAATTATTCGCACGTTGCAGGAAAATATATCCTTCAAACCCCACCCACCCACTTGTCTTCTTCACCTGTCTACTCGGATGCAAGTTTTTACTTTTCAAAGACAATTCTTTACACAGCTCAAAGTGCCTGTTTATTTTTATCTGAGCTATTTCAGTTCCAGACAGGTTTTATTTATTTATTTTTTAAAAAGGAACATGCGTTGTCCACTTGGTTGAGCACACTTTAGCAGCAGTGTTTGAATACGGTCAGAAACGGGTGACCTTATTCGGTGGAACAAAATGTAATTTGTCCAGACCGAAGCTTATTATCCTTACATGTTTAGCCAAGTTCGGAAATGCATCAAAGGAGAAAGCGATAGGGGGAGTTTTACAACATTAGCAGACTCCAACTTTGGTTATCGAGTGAGGTGTTGCTATCAGAAGGGGGGATTCCCCAGAATAACATTTAACATCGCTTGTTTGAATTTCCCAAAATAAAACGGTACGTTCTGATCTCAAAATACTTATTTGCATATTTAGTATTATTGCAGCTGTATTTCTAACTGGACAAGGACAAAAAAAAAAGGATAAACGCATGAGCTGCATGTGTCTGATAAGGAACTAAGAAAAAATGCTGACATTTAGGTATAAGGGATTAGACTCTAGAATGAACATCTCATCAATATGAATGAGACAGCTCAAACTTGGCAGCAATATTATTGCACTCTGGCTGGCTTCAGATAACATTGCACTTCCTTCAGCATTGGGAAGGTTATCGCCGAATCCCAAGAAAGATAAAACCATATATATATATATATATATATATATATATATATATTCCAAAGGAACATTTTACAGAGGGTCGAAAAAACAAAAAAGCCTGCACCACACACCAGAAAACTCAAAGTATATGTTTCCTGGCATACTAGACATTATCAGATAAAGTGGTTTTTTAAAAAAAACTATGTGAAAATTAAAAACGTTTGCATTATTCTGTTCCACAAGAAATCAGGACCATGTTAGGCAGCGGTGCCTCACCATCTAAAAGCTGGAACAATGAGTGTAGGTACTATAACTTAAAATGCTGTGGTTGTACACTGATGTGCTTTCTTTTAAAATATGACATGAAAAACAAAGCTAAGATAGCTCGTTCTTAAAACTGTCTCGGTCAATCAAGACTGCTTTGTTGATTTCTGTTGACATTTAATTCCAAACACTCAAAAGCTACTGCAGACTGACTCCCATGCATTGCAGCTTTGAAGGACAACAAATTCCGTATCAGTGCAAAAAAAGATTTTATTTAGGTTTTTTCACTTAATGTCCAGATAGTTAACCCACAGTATTTCTTCTCTCCATTGTTGTAAAATATGAAAAAGTTTATCTTCAGCATAGCCATAGACTTTCAAGTGCTTTTTTAAAAAACGAAACGGTTAGAGCAAGTTAAGCACCAACCTACAGCATTCGTTTACCTTAGCCGGTTCCGATACAGAGGAATATTTCTTAATTTGAGAATCAACCCCCAGAGACTTAGCTAACTGTACAGCATCTGAATCACCACTGATCAATGTCCCAAGAGCCACAAGTAGTCTAAAGATAGCTTCGAGGTCTTGCACAATTTCCATGACTGTGCTGATCACTGATAAGCACTGAGCTTTCCCCTCAATGTTATTAATTTTATGTAAACAGACAGCGTAGTTCAGAGCCAGGGTGGCTAATGCAATGTGAATGTTCTTATTGCTGCTTATTTTCAGCTCTATTGCCTGTGACATTATCAAGTCCCCCTGTGACATCATGAGCTTCTGGCCAACTGGGTGGATAAAACAGTTGCAGAAAATTCTAAGGGCCAGCATCTGGTTGGCTTGCTTTCCTTCGGGGTTCAGGAATTGGATCAGGTGGCTGCTGAACTGTAGGCCATCCTTCTCGCTGCAGAAGCTTTCGTTCACGCTGGGATGCCTGATGGATAACCGAAGAATATCGAGTGCTGGAAAGACAATGTCTAGGAACACAGGGAAAACAAGCGACCTCATTACACTTTGAAATGTTGCAGAGCTTTCAGCAGGTCTGTTGTAATAACCCCTATGGGAAAGGTTCGTCTAGCCCAGGGTTTCTTAAAGGGGTTGATACTTGTCCCCTTAGGGGGTCTAAGGGACTAGGAAGGGGGTGAATAAGGACCTGGGGTGGCAACGCCTGGACACTGAGGTCTGGCTCCGAGGGCCTTCTGGCGGTTCCCTCTCTGCAACAAGTGAGGTTACAGAGAACAAGGCAGAGGGCCTTCTCGGTGGTAGCGCCCACCCTGTGGAACGCCCTCCCGTCAGATGTCAAGGAAATAAACAACTATCCAACTTCTGAAAGCAGCCCTATATAGGGAAGTTTTTAATGTTTAATGTTGGAAGCTGCCCAGAGTTGCTGGGGAAACCCAGCCAGATAGGTGGCATGCTGTTGTTATTGTTATTAATGATGTATAGTAAAAATAATATTTATGAACTCTGAAATAAAGGGCATTAAGAATGTAGAGAGTGCACCTCCCTTGCCCATTGAGGAACTTCTGTGTAGGACAACTGCATCTAACATGGAGGTTCAGTTCTGAGGGTTCTACCTATACAGTGGTGCCTTGGTTGACAAACTTAATCCGTTCTGGAAGTCCGTTCATAAACCGAAGTGTTCTTAAACTAAGGCGTGCTTTCCCATAGCAGCAGGGGACTCAATTTACAAATGGAACACACTCAACAGGAAACAAAACCATGTTCTGCTTCCAAGGCAAAGTCCACAAACCAAAACACCTACTTGTGGGTTTGCAGCGTTCTTAATCCAAGTTGTTCATAAACTAAGCTGTTCTTAAACCAAGGTACCACTGTACATGAAAATCAGCTATACACAAAACCTTGAAACAGAGCTTAAAACTCTTGCTGCTCAGGAAATGCCAAGTGGACCAGGCGCAAAGAGTTTTTAAGCTCTCCACCTTGCCTGCATTTAACTTGCGCAATTTCAAGCAGCTTTTGTCTTCAACCATGCAAAGTTGAAATCGCAGAAGTTAAATATGTTTAAGAGGCCATTGTACTGTATTTTTAAAAAGACAATTCCACAATATAATGGTATTCTCAGACCGTGGTGCTGTACGAACAGAGAAGCAGGCTAAACAGCGAAGAACATGGTGACTCAAGACTCACAAAACCTACAGCCCAATATTCATATGCTTGTTAAAAGCCCATTAGGCCCATCCATCTCATTAGAGAAGATTTTTAAAAAAGTTATTATTTTCACTCGTTTTTCTTTTTTATTTACATTTTATCAATTGCCATTGCCGGGAATCAAAATTAATAAATTACAGTATTACATATTGATTATTTCTTAAACTTTTTCATTTATAGTCCTAAGAATTTGGGTTGGGGCTGATGACAGTTTTATGAACTCAGCAGTTTGGGAACTGATCTAGCCTGAATTACATCTCTCTATTTTAGGAAAATAATGGAATCCTTAGCATATTTATGTAACTCAGACAACTGAATTACAAATGTCATTGCTATTAAAATAAGCTGGTGTGCGGGGGCGGTAAGTAGGATAGTCTTAAGATTAAACTTCAGAACTCTAATCAGCATAAAATCTTCACCCTATAGGCAATGGAACAGCATCCCCATCAGCCACTAATATATTAAACTGCCAATCACCAATACAAAGAAATAAAATTATTTGTGGTATAAAAACTGGTGTATCTAAAAAGGTAAAGGTAAAGGACCCCTGATAGTTAAGTCCAGTCGCAGATGACTCTGGGGTTGTGGCGCTCATCTCACTTTACAGGCCGAGGGAGCCGCCGTTTGTCCGCAGACAGTTTTTCCAGGTCATGTGGCCAGTAGGACTAAGCAGCTTCTGGCAAAACCAGAGCAACACACGGAAACGCTGTTTACCTTCCCGTTGGAGCGGTACCTATTTATCTACTTGCACTTTGATGTGCTTTCGAACTGCTAAGTTGGCAGGAGCTGGGACCAAACAACGGGAGCTCACCCCGTCGTGGGGATTTGAACTGCCGATGTTCTTATTGGTAAACCCAAGAGGCTGAGTGGTTTAGACCACAGCGCCACCGGCGTCCGGTGTATCTAACAAGATGTGAAATAAGGTGAACTTTTCTAACTGCTACCCACCCATCTAATTTGCTGGACCTACTAGATGTCCCCAACAACAATTCCATACCATTTGGCCAGTTAATTGCCTTCCACAAAGTTTGCAGTTGCTGGGCTGTGGGAGCTTCAGAGGAGGTGTTGCAGGTTATAGAGAGCATCTTCTCCAGAAGATCTAAATCATCTTCAGTTAACTGCTGTTCAGCAGGGGCACTTCTGTTAAGTTCTTTCAGTTTGCCTGTGAGACAAATGGGAGATAGTTTGAAATGCTCTATTTGAACCTCTTCACGTTATGAATACGAAAATGAATTCTCGATCCAGTTCAATTCTATTGTTGCCTGTTGGCATATTTCATGTTAACCTAGTTGCCTAGTGGGCAAATCCCCATTGAAAAAACAATTTTGCTTCATCTCAAATGTGCTCCAAAACCTGATTTGCATTATGCATAAACAGTGCGCTCTCTAGGATTTGTACAGGAAATATTTCCATGGCATTGCTTCACAATTGTCTTATGTTCCTTTCACCACACAAATGTTAAGATGTTAACCACACAAATGTTAAATGTTAAGTGAGAGTCTGGAAAAAGTTGTAGAATGAAAGGGAATGTATGAAACATATGATCTGTAGTCCAAAACAATTTAAGATTTAAACCTCAAATCATGAGACAGAGGCTGCAGTCCCAAGGTGTACTTACCAGGAAGAAAGCACCACTAAATTCAGTGTAAAGTACTCCCAAGTAAACCTATTGAAGTTTGGTGTGGAAGATGAGAACCAGGTGTTTACAATAAATTCAAAAGCATTTGTAATTGCTTTGAGCTTCTGAAAACGAAACTACAGCGGTACCTTGGGCTAAGTACTTAATTCGTTCCAGAGGTCCATACTTAACCTGAAACTGTTCTTAACCTGAAGCACCACTTTAGCTAATGGGGCCTCCTGCTGCTGCCGCGCCACAGGAGCACAATTTCTGTTCTCATCCTGAAGCAAAGTTCTTAACCTGAAGCACTATTTCTGGGTTAGCAGAGTCTGTAACCTGAAGCATATGTAACCTGAAGCGTATGTAACCTGAGGTACCACTGTTATAGCCCAATGGGAGAGGGAGAGAGAGAGCATGTGAACAGCGTGCCGAAGTTCTCATTTTCAGACCCTCCAGGATGAAGATATTTGCACAAGACACCCAGGAGAGCCGCTGCTCAGCAGAGCAGACATTGCTGGCATAGACAGTCAGCCTGACTTGGTATAAGGCTGCTTCGTGTGTACCTCATTCTTGAGACTTGTAAGTCTCTGCCCTATCGATGCTTCCTATGAGGACTCCCAGCCTGCTCTTAATTTTGAAAGTCTTACGAACTCTGAAAATCATGAAAGGTGAGAGGCTCACTAAGTAACCGGTGCCAAAGACAGTACTGCTTGCCTTAAAAAAATAAACATTAAACTAGGTTCCAGTTTTGGGGTTCCAGAACAGTGACCCAACTTACATGGCAGAGGAACAGGTAAGTACCCCTTCACTACATGCCTGAAAGAACATGCAGTGGGGGGGGGGGCAGTTGTATAAGTTGATTGGCAGCGCAGCGTTGTGGCACCGGCTGGGTGCGGAGAATGAACAAAACTTACCACGCCAGCAGAGCTGCGCTGCACTGCCTGCCTGTCCACACAAGGGGGAGGCCAGCAAGATGAAACAACCCTTGGCGGACAAATCCCCCCCCCCCCACGCTGGCCAGGTGGCCATTCAGCAAGGGGGCAGGGGTTGTGGCAGCAAGGCCAGAGACCCCCAGCGGCAGGCAGGCAGGCGGGATGGGGATCCCTGCATGGGAGCGCCCGGCTCACACCCCCTTGAAATTGTGTGCCTGAGGCTGGGCCCCCTGCCCCCTCTGCTATGCCCCTGAATGCACAAATTGAGGATGACATGTAAAATTGCACCCCTCGCATTATCTGAAGCACACAGTGGAGAAGAGAGCCTGCAGAACCCATGGCAGATTGCGGCATGAGTGTTGTGTCAGCAGCAGGCTTGGGTTACACTAGCACAGGGGTCAGCAAACCTTTTCAGCAGGGGGCCAGTCCACTGTCCTTCAGACCTTGTGTGGGGCTGGACTATATTTGGGGGGAGGGGGAATGAATGAATTCCTATGCCCCACAAATAACCCAGAGATGCATTTTAAATAAAAGCACATATTCTACTCATGTAAAAACACGCTGATTCCCAGACTGCCGTGGACAGGATTTAGAAGGCGATTGGGCCGGATCCAGCCCCCGGGCCTTAGTTTGCCTACCCATGCACTAGCATCTCAGATGATTTCAGGAGTCTGTTTCAATATCCTTGCAAGACATTAATCACGTAATACAAATCAATAAGCTTGAAACTAACCTTCCTTTTTAATGCCTTAAGAACATAAAAAGGTTTGTACTGTACAGCTTTGCACAAAAGTCCATTTGCCACAAAAGCAGATCCACTGATTATGTTGCTGCTCATTGCTTGTACCCCTTGTCATCTATTCCAGCTGCATAGAAAGGGGAAAGTAGGCAGTGCTTTTAATGCTCCCAGCTATCCAGGGAGGACTGCGGTCAACTGAATACCACAGGGGCAAAATGGCAAGTACATTCGATATATTTAGCAATTGCTCCAGTCCTTACGATGTATCAAAACATTCACTTCTTCTCAACAGGGGAAGATAAGCAATACTGGAATGAGCCTGACCTGCAATATTTCTAATTCGCAAGACGCAAGTGGCTGCTTTATTATATTAAAAACACAAATCTTTTGAGTAATCCAACCTTCCTATGTTTTATTTCTCAGAAGTAAAAATAGGCTGAAAATAGTTTCAGGGGAGTAAAATAAAACGTTTTACGGGACTGATGTGTTTGAAGGATAATTGCTCACCCCAATCATCATTTAACAAACCGTATAAATACACTCACCCATTATTTGTGTAGGGTTGGCCTGATCAAAAGCAACAGCTTCCTTCTTTGGAAAATAAATATTTTCATTTTTAGGTATAGTTAATTTGTAGGCACCCGTCCCTAAAAGGGAGAAATAAATTCTTAGAAACTTAACAGTATAGCTTTGCACCCTATAGCAGGGAAAAAACATTAGCTTAATTGTCACATATTATGTAGCTATTTAAAAGATTGCTAAACCGTAATTTAAATTATTCCATGTCTACATGTTTTTTATAAAAATAATGCTTTGTTCACTGTGTGGCCTTGACCAAGTAATTTAATCCAAGGGTACCTCAAACACCTCTCTGCACTCCTGGGAGAAAGCATGGGATAAAATCTAACGAATTAACTCCTACAGAAAAAATGGTTACATAAACAGCACTTCATATCCTGAGCGTTTCAGCTTTTTAATTAGCTAACACATTTCAGAGACTTAAGTGGCCTCCAAAATTTAGTTCAAAGGGAGCCCAGTATAATTAATTTTATTAACTCCATTTGTGTTTATCCATGCGCTATTACAAAAGCCAGTAGCCACATTTCACACCCTTCTGAGAACAGGGATGGAGAATCTTTTGCAAAAAAATAAAAATAATTAAAGATTTTCTTGTGTAACAGACAAATACAGGAAAGGACACATAGTGTGTCTCTACTTTCAATTCACACAAGTCTTTTGCACAGTTCATTTGCATTTGGTATGAGACACTGTTGTCATATGTGGTTCGGGGAGGAAAGAGTTGAGTTTATCTAGGCTTTCTTGTCTTTTTGAATAGCTTCTCTTCTAAGATTGTTGCAGCTTCATGGCGAACAGGAAGGAAAGGAGCTTTTCAAGGCAAAAGGCAGGCAGGTGAAAAACTCTGAGAGTTTTAGCGATACGACAACTGATAAGTTTCAAGGAGGGAAGCTTTTAGCATTGGTCACCTGTGAGATTTTTGAAAGCTCTCTCGGGTTCAGTAAACCAAAAAAACGTGCGCATTAATAAAATTAACAGCTTAAAACAGATTTGATAGAAAAATTTCCCCGGAGTCTTAATTTACTTGCTACAGTTTTATCTTACTCTTCCTCCAAGGAGCTTAGGGTGGTATCCATGGTTTTCCTTCTTCTCCATTTGGCCTCTCCTGTTTTATCCCAAACAACGGATGCTTCACTCGCCACTGCCCCAAACACACACCTCTGGGCTGCTCACCCCATCTCTCCTTTCCTTGCCCTACCTCACCTTACTTCCACCCCAACTTTCCCTTTATCTGCATTTCTGCCATCTGAACTGCAACCAACTTATCCACAAGCATGAATAAGTGGAGAGGTCAGCTATTATAATAAGTGTGGTCAGCTATTATAAGACTGTGCTTGGTTTCTCTAGTTAGAAGCAGCACAAAGCCTAGCTGGAGTGAAGTGGCAACAAGATGGCGGGCAGTGGGGATTTTGTTATTTTGGGGGAGGAGGAGGGCAGATGTAAGTGACCAGCACGGAGCTTTGGCATAAGTTTTCAAAACTGTGAGACGAATGGTTTACTTACCTGTAAATGGATCAGCTCCGCTTGCAGGAGCTGCAGGTTCAGATGCTGAACCTGGGACGTAGCGACCTGTACCTAGAGAAAAACAGGAACAAAATTGCATTCACATTGCTTAAACGTCCACAGTATGAAGTGTTTGGGTTTAAATAATCATAAATAAACAGCAACAGCAAGCCCACACACCATTTTTGTAGCTCCCATATTTGGATCCCAACATCTTTGCTAAGCACCAATGGGTTCTACACGGTTTTTACTTCTATTATTTCCAATGTGTGTATACATTTTTTCCCTAAAGAAAGCGCACGGGATTGGAGCCTTAAGTTCCCTGTGTGAGAGAGCCCAGGATTGAGTCTCGCAGGAATCATGATCATAACCCCTTGGCAATCATTACGTGCAAGTGCAATTCGTGTCTCAATTTCTATTCTGAACCTCAAACTCGGTCTTGAAGACTGTAAGCAGCTGGCTCCTGGAGGATGCTATGACTCATCCACCACAGATGCCTTAGCGCCCAGATGTATGGTCGCCATTGAAACCAAAGCCCTCAATTTCCTTGCCAAGGAAACGCCTTGCCAAGTGCGATCATCTCCCCCCCCCCCCCCGAGATGCAAAGTTTTGTGAAACTCCTCTACAACACCCATACTCATCTGAATCAATCAGTACCAAATGATCATTCTTTCAAGACACACCTGTAAAAAAAAAGGTTTTGCAAAAAAAAAACAAAAAAACAAGCTACGACATGTTTCTGGTCCAAACTTGCATTTAAATGTCGCGCCTTTGCTTCTAGAAATGTGGTGCTTTTTCTGTATAACAAGGGCTGAACATTCTAGGGCTCTCCTGGGTGAATACTAGATTACCCTTCCAACTCTACAATTCTATGATTCTAAAGCACATTTTTAAATAAGAAATAAAACGATTCTGAGCCAACATCATAGCTTTGCTCCCTGCCTTGTCCATCCGGAATTCCAATCAGCTCCATTTCACCACACCAACTGTAAACCCAAAACTTTACATTTATTCTCCCAGAAGGGAGAATAAAAACAACTCTGCCATCATCGACACAGTACCTGTAAACGGATCTGCAGCTGGGAGCCCTTCCCTGGACTCCGAGGAAGAACCTGGAACATAGCGGCCACCGCCTATGAAAAGATAAACCAAGGAAAAGAATGTGATCCAATGCACTCTTATTATTAAAACATGGAGGGGAAACACCCCATTAACTTTGCTCCTTAATGAAGTGCCCATACTTTTAAGAACACTCCACTTCATCTGCTGCAATCAGAAATGAAAATTATTATCATTTCTTACATTTATATGCCGCCCGCAGGTCTCAGGGCTGTTCACAAGATAAAATTACAATATAAAGACACAAAAGACATAATCAGTGTTCCGCAGTATGGCCAGGGGCAAAAGAACTCTGGCACGCTATTCAGCCACATATTTAACAAGGAGCGAGGTAGCAAATTTACGGCAGCTTGGAGCTCTTTATTACCTGTGAAAGGATCTGAAAATTCCGCATTCGTGGGTCCCAGCGTTTGCCCTTTGGTGTTATCTATTATGAATTTGGCCACCTGGTCCAGGAACATTGGATTTAGATCATTCTTCTGCAGGAAGTTGTATGCCGTCAGCCAGGGATCATCACTGATGTTGTAGGGCAGCTTGTGAGAGGGCCCGCCTTCATTCACATCAATAGTAAAAACATAGTCGTATTCCTTTTTTAAGGAAAGGGAAACGGCGAGAGTGATTTATTCTTATATATACCATTCCAGTGCACACAGCCCAACAATAGGTTGGGCTGCCAGGGTTTAATTACTAAACGTTAGGGGTGAAAAATTACTTACCCTTCCTTCAAATAAAACCTTTCCAGATGTCTGCTGTGTGGCTCCTGATGAACCGACAACATCCCCGATCTTCATCCACCTCCCTTCGCCAGCGCTCCACTGATAAGCTTCAACTTTCCCATTACTTTTAATAAGTCTCGTTTGTCCATCTCTTGTACCTTAAAACACAGAGAGGAGAAAATCAGCTGCGGGCCTGGAGAAAATGGTTTTAGTTCAGGGGTCAGCAAAGTTTTTGGGCCTTGGGCCGGTTCACAGTCCCGCAGACACGCATGCGAAAACGCTATTTCTGGCGCTCCTTCCGGCACAGAGGAGGCGTGCGCGGAAGTCTCTGCAGCCAATCAGAAGCAGCAGAAGCCCCGTCAGACGTTCGGCTTCCAAAAGTAGTTCACAAACCGGAACAGTTTGCGACGTTCGGGAGCCAAAACGTTTGGGGAACTAAGCAATTCAACTTCCAATGTACGACTGTAATCCCTAAACAAAAGGGTGGCAATCCATTTAGGGGGCAGAGGACCATAACAACCCCCAGCCAACTCCCTGGGGCTGAAGTGTACAAGTGAACATGCCAAGAACTACATTTCTGAAGATGCTATCCAAAAGGGGAACAATGGGTAAGACAGGGTTTGTTTTACAAAAAATATAGAAAGATGACACACCTGGGAGGCCTTGGAGACCACAAAAAACCTAAAAATGTTTGAGAGCAGAGTATAATAATAATATTACAGGCTGAGGGAGCTGTCAGTTAAGAAAAAAATCTTAACTGAAAAAGATGGACAGTTTGTAGAGTCTTGGCATCACAAGAAAACCTTGGTGGGGAGGGGCAGATATAGCCTGTGGATTAGTCACTCCTGCCCTAAACCTTTTCTTTACCAGGACAGAATAGATGAGGAGGGATGCATGTTTGCCGGATAAATTTAAAATTATACCTGGTTCGTCCAAATGCTCTCTCCCAGGAAGCTCATCAACACTGATGTCCCCTAAATCAGCAGTTTGAGGATCAATTTTTGCTTGAGAAAGTTCATTTTCAAAAGCCTGGATCTCCTCCAGATTTGCTGTGCGCTCCAAAGACTCAGTGAACACTCTGATAATGCCATCACTGAAAGAGGAAAAATAATAATTTCATTATCTAGGAAAGCGGTCCCCTGCCCCTACACATCCTATTTCCTTTCTTACTGCTGTTCCCGTCCCCACCCCTCTCTAAGAAAGAAATCCAGATTGCTGACCAGGTTTTATATCATAAGATTGATGCCTCATCTTCAAACCGATCTTCCCCAGGAAGCAAGGTAATTAATTTTAGAATAATCCAGTGAAATGCATCAAGTTGAGGACCTACTTCAAACTTGTGCGGTCTACATCTTTTTTAACCCTAGTGTTCATTTCAGTCACTGATCAGGTACAAAACAAGAATGCATGGCCAAACTGTACTGAAGGTTAAGACATAAATGATCGGTGTTAACTGATACCGAGTATATAGTCCTGGTCAGGGGTCAGCAAACCTTTTTCAGCAGGGGGCCGGTGCACTGTCCCTCAGACATTCTGGGGGGCCAGACTATATATATTTTTTTGGGGGGGGGATGAACGAATTCCTGTGCCCCACAAATAACCCAGAGATGCAGTTTAAATAAAAGCACACATTCTACTCATGTAAAAAACACGCTGATTCCTGGACTGTCCACGGACCAGATTTAGAAGGCAATTGGGCCGGATCCGGCCCCCAGGCCTTAGTTTGCCTACCCATGGTCTTGGTAATCATTCTGCCTTCCAGTATGCAAGGTTCAGTTTTGAGCTGAAGTGTTCAATAGCTATCCACCCTCCTTGACAATACAATTTGTCATGCGCCTACCTATCCCAAAAATGGAAACGAGGGCAGGATCCTGAGTCAGAGCTGCTTGTTACAACACTTGGAAGTGGTAGAAACAACTGGGCTGAGGCTGGAGAAGGAAAGCAAGCTATCTATGTTTTTCTACTTTGTGGGTAGTTTTCGAGTACAGTGGTGCCTCGCAAGACGAAATTAATTCGTTCCGCGAGTTTTTTCGTCTTGCGGTTTTTTCGTCTTGCGAAGCACGGTTTCGAAAAAGTTTTGGAAAAGCTTCAAAAATCACCAAAGTCTTCAAAAACCTCAAAAAAGGCTACCACACCGCGTGCTATGAGTTGCTCCTCGAAGTCAAGTCGCAACTGTATTAACAGTTTTAAGAAAAAGGAAACAAACTTGCAAGACGTTTCCGTCTTGTGAAGCAAGCCCATAGGGAAAATCGTCTTGCGAAGCAACTCAAAAAACCAAAAACCCTTTCGTCTTGCGAGTTTTCCGTCTTGCGAGGCATTCGTCTTGCGAGGTACCACTGTATGTGCTTTCTTTGGGTTGGTGCACAATATTCCTGTTTGGTTTTTTTTTGTAACGTATGCAAACAAAACAAACACAATAAAGATTTAACAACAACTGCTATGTATCGTCTACCAGAAATTGGCCAGGGATCCACTGGTCAAACTTCTGCCAGTTCCCAAAATGTATGATGGAACTACACGTCTTTAAAACTCTGTTTTGTTCAACAATCTCCTTTGGAGGCAATGCTGTATCATAGTTTAGCATAACAAGAATATGTATCGGGCTCACATGTTCCCCTCCTTACGCCTCTACTGCACTCCTCTAGGAGGAGTTTTTCCTCTCGTTTTTCATGCTAACTTGTAACGATAACTGAACCCTCACAAACTGGGTCCAATGTTAACTTTACTGAAAGAAGTCAGCTTCAAACCATAGCATAGGAAACTGGCTGGTTTCAATTAATCATAGAGTTTAGCCACAGTTTAAACACACTGAACTGTGGTCAATCGAAAAATGGAAGCAGAATCTTCTCTTCCATTTCCTCTCTGGCTCCGCTCCAGAGAAGAGCAAGGAAGTGTGTGAGCATGAGGCCAAATCATTCCTTCTTGCGGCACAAAAATATCTACTCGGCCTGCCTTCAGCTTTGTGCCTATTTATCTTGATGAACAGATGATAGAAAGCCGAAATCTGAATACCTTGCTCCAACGACAAGGTCCCCGTTGTCCAACACACAACAACACCAGATGGATTGAGCTGGAAGTCTGATTGTCTGTGTGCATTCCCCCTTTCTCCAGATCCTGAGCGATCGGTCTTCGCTAGTAGTAACAAAATCTAAAATAATGCAACGTTCCATTCATTAAATTGAGAAAGATGCAAATGTAAAGTCAGCTTTCTCTACACCAGTGACTCGAATTATGATCATACAAACACATTTAATACACATTACACAAACATAGCAATATATGTTATAAACTAGCTATAACTGTGGCTTTTGGAAAGGACCCCAAGGGTCATGTAGTCCAACCCCCTGCAATGCCGGAATCTCAACATGCTGTCCCCCATCCAATTTGAAACCTTACCATACCCTGCTTAGCTTTGCTAACGTGCTAGCCGTTTTATTGCTGCGCCACTAGTTTTCACTGTTCCATTGCAAGCCAATGGCTTGCATTTCAAGACTTGCCTGTGCAACTGAAAGCATTTCAGCTCACAGCCAGATGTGATTGCATGTGCAAACCCCTTCCCTTAGCAGCAGCACTTGTGCCTCAAAAATACCTCTCTCATCTTAAGAGCACCTTTGGATCAAATCCATCGGTTTGAAATAGGGGTAGGAAAAAACAAGGAGTCAAAGCCACTTGCCAATCAAGCCACTCCATGCTTAGCTAAAACAGAGGGTTATCATTATAGTTTATCTGATTGCAAAAAAAGCTGGAGAAATCTGTTATTTGTGTTTGTGAATAGAACTGACATCCTTTGACATCCTCTTCAGCCATCCATTGCAAGAATTTTCAAACTATGTTTAGGGAAATCTGGGGATTCCTTGGAATCCTAGGTTTCCTTAGCTGCCAGGTTTTATAAGAAGTAAGCAAACCTGGCCAGCTCTGCATATATACTGAATGAACCCTCAATTGCAAGTCAAAACAGGGGTACTGTGCCAGATAAATTGATGTGGAGTCTTCTATGGAAGGGAGTTTGAAAACCATTACTCTAGTGCCAGTCAAAGAATTATAACTTACTCAGTTCTAAATCTACTTTTCATTAGAAGGCACAATCCTTTTTATAGCGTGTCTTTTTTTATATATAAAAAAAGTATGTGTTGAGGACAGTTCCTTACCTTTACTTTGTGGGAAGACCGATATGCAGTATATATAATTGGTGTGGCCATAGTAAACCTCAAGACACTCTCCCGATACCTGCCACTTTCGAATGCTGGCGTCATTTGCACAAGAAAGAAACTCTGTCTCGCTTAAAATGGCTAAGCCCCTTACACAGTCTTCATGTCCTTTATGAAAGGAAAGATAGATAAAACGTAAGTCTCACTGAGAGCCTCTCCACATCTTATTGAAAGGTAATATTCTCTAGCCATGAAATGCTTTATAAAACCATGTTCTCATGTGGTGTACTGAAAAGTAGATCTCACTTTAAAATTACTAGTAGCAAGCCATGTGGTCAGGAACGGGGTCTTGCTACTCCCTGGTCAGTGAGATTGTCTCAAATATAGACCCGTTGTGTAAGTATCATTTGTGTAATTGTAGCCTCAGACTCATGACCACTACCTGAGTTCCCTCTTGAAGACAGGAAGCTACATAACAAGATGGCTCAGTTTCTGCCCAAGCACAGGCTGCGGGGAAACATTAGACTAGTGGTTCAACATGAGCATTATGCAAAAACCTAAAAGGCACTGTACCCTGTTCAAAGCATAAGAGCATGAAAAGGAATCTTTAGTGGCACTGCTTACAGCACAGGACTGTCCTTTCACCAAAGGCATTTTAATAGATTCCTTTCCTAAATTTGTTACATGTTAGGGCGGTCAAATATTTTTCAGAGGTTAATCATCCACTTTTTAACTGATCTGTTTACATGGCAGTGGGACTACATACACACAGAGCTTGAATACAAGTATTGAGCTACTGAAGGGAAAGCAAGGTACATTGTTAATGGAAAGGCAAACTTTATATTCCCCTTGCTTTTCAGAGTGCACTTTCCTTGCAAAAACTCAGAAGCCATTGGCTCTGTCACTTTGCTGTTTCAGGACATCGTCACTGCTGTGCCTGGCAAATGGCACCTCCAAAGAAAAATTACTATTAACAGTTTTCTGCTTCTGAGCAAAAAGAACTGCCCTCCCTCCCAAAATGGACTTGCTCAGTGTGTAAGCTTTGTACTTTGACCTGAGCTAAGTGTTCAGTTCCAAAAACTGCTCCAGCTAAGTGTTGACAGTTGGCTCTGCTAAGTTTCATTTCTTTACCCCTGCCTAAGTTTCTGTTCTTTGGCCACGCATTAAGTTTCATTTTCTTTTTCAACAAAAGTACTATGAATAGCTCCTGGCTCCTATCATGTGACTGGCTTGGCCCAGGTGATCTACATAACGAGAAGTAGCAGCTCCCATTTCCAGACCTTTTCACAGTGAAGAGGCAGTGAAAACCCATCAATGGGACCGTTAATGCTTTGGAATACCTTGACAGGTATATCTAAAAATTCTATCCACACACCCCAAATGTACCATATTCAGATAGCTATTATGCCAACAGCAAAAATCAGCCATAAAATAAAAACCACAAGGTCTCCAACACTTTGTAACCACAGATTTACAGTACAGTAATCCCTAAGAGCAGCATAGAAAAGTGGGGGGAGGTATTCCATACACTTTTAAAGATTGCAAGCGACAAGGCCTGGCTAATTTCATAAGCGAAAGAATTCCACGACTGCGGGGCCACCACTGGCAAGGCTCACCATTTTAATTGTCTTCGATTTACTAGCCTTTATTACATGAAGTTAGTGAACTTTACATTTTCTCTTCCTCTAAGCTTTCAAGATAAAGAACCACACTAATTTCTACAAATGGGGTGGGGAAGAAGAAAGAACCATCAAAACCCAAATCCTAGAATAAAACGCAGGCCTCTTTAATTCTCCGGGTGTGGAGGCATATTGCTAAGTTGCGTGTATACACAGAAACTGTTTCAGCCAAGTACCTACCAGTAAAAGTTCTCTCGCATCGACCTGCCTTCCACAGCTTAATAGTTTTGTCAGCCGAACCAGTCAACATTAATCCTTGTTCAGGTAATATCTTCACAGCCCATACTGCTGCAGTGTGGCCCTATAAAAGTGAACAACATGAATGCTGACGGAGACAATCTACATTTTCTGAAGTGCAAATAATCATGATCTGCTGATAATGAACTCTTGTCACCAGCAGAGTTTCTGTACCTGTAGTGTCATCATGCATTTGTCATTCAACCAGACTTTGGCTGTCGTATCCCACGAGCCACTAAGCAGGGTGCCAAACTTCCCAGAGGAGAGGCTGCAAACTAGAACAGAAGATTAAATAAACATCGCCAAAATTCACATTTAATCTACTCCCCGATTTGCGTGAGCGTTGCGTTCCAGGACACTGTGCGCTTGTGTGAAACTGGATCACCCCGTTCCTCCCTTTTAGTGACATCTTTTATGACGTTTCCAGGTCACTTCAAAGTTCAGCGGTTTGCGCATGCGTGCCACTGTGCACATATCAGTCGCGCCTAAAACAGGGGTTGTGTGTAGCTGAGTGAGAAAAGGTGTTCTGATGTGCTAGCAAAGCAAAGCTACAGATTTTGGTCTATTTTCAGATGATACGCCATAGCAAATTTCACTAACCTAATTTTCATCCTTGGAAATACATGAGGCGATGAGAAGCTACCACAAACAACTGGAAAACAGAAGCAACACTTTTGACTGAAAAAGTAAGGTTCTGTCTTCTCAGCTGTTAACAGATTGTGGAAAATATTTTTCTGTCTTGGTGACACTATCACCAGTCTTTCTTATGTCTTCATTAAACCAACTCCCAAGCCGTATCTCCTACCTCCAGGCCCATTTCCCTAGAGAACCTCTAAGGTGCTAAGAATGGTGGAGTGCTAAAGACACACCTCTTTGCCCTGGCTTTTGACACTTGAGAGGTATATTTCTAGGATGCACCTTATTTCTACAATTTCAAGGTTTTTAAAACTGTTTTTAATACTGTGCAATATTTCCTTTTACTATTAATATTGTATTTTAATTCTTGTAACCTGCCCTGTGACCATAGTGTGATGGGCAAGTAATAAATTGTAATAACAATAACAATAATAATATAATGTAACATTTCTAAAGGTCATAATGTTTCAGAAAATAATGCTAACGTCTGCTCATGATAAAACTTTACAAATCAAGTTATTTCTTAGAACACATAAAACCAAGCGACTTTGAGTCATTAAGATTCCAAAAGCGGTATGTTGAAAATAAAACTTTAAAATCTATGTATTCTTACCTGTGTTTTTATGACCCTTAAGGACGTACAGAGGTGCAGAGTTGTCCAAAGCGAAAATGCAAATGTTGTTGTCATTACTGCCGGTGGCAATTAATCCACGTGGATAAAGCTCGCTTGGAGGGATGACACACACACAAGAAACAAAATTTGAATGGCCGCTCATGCAGTGCACTTCCGTAAATCCTCTGTTGAGACTGGAGACAAAAAAGAAACCAAAGTTTTTATGTTCCTGTAGTAAGGGAATCCTACCCATTTAAAAAGCCAGGGAAAATCTATCTGGTATCTAAATGCCAATGTATGTTCTAGGCATACTGCAAATTTCAAAGGGTGAGCGCCCAATTTGCACCACTATAGCCAATTAGATTTATCATTGATCACATTAACACAAGCATTGGATTCATGCGCTCCTAACACGCCCATGCATGTCTCCCCTCAGCCAGAAGGCAGAGGTTGGAAGCTTTTGTTTCCATTTTGACTAACTGGTGTGTTATGTATGAACTCATTCAGAGAGGTAGTTAGCTTTTAACTGTATTAAATCATTGTTGTTGTTATACCATTATTACAGTGGTACCTCTAGTTGCGGACACGATCCGTTCCAGGGTGCCATTCGCACCCCGAAAAGTCTGCAACTACAGCGGTGCTTCTGCGCAAGCACAGAGCACGATAGAACGCTTCTGCACACTTTCGGGTTTGCCGCATTCGCAAGCCGAAAATACGAAACATGAACCTAATGCAACATGAGGTATGACTGTATTCTTATAGTTCTTTTGAACCTGCTAACTTCAAATCATAGTTAATAATTCTGGCTTGTTGAGACAAACTTTAGTTAAGGCCAAGCACATTCACACATAACAATGAACAAGAGAAATCTTCCAGTCTGCTCTTCATGCCTGCTGTACCAGAGAAAGGGGGAGGGAAATCATGAACAGGAAACTCACTCACATAACGCAAAACGGTGTTTTGGCATTACATCCAAATAAGCCATTGTGTTTAGACTTGGCCATGCATTAGTTGGCATGTCCAACAACTACATTCCGCCAGGGAATAACTGCAATTATTCCTTTTTCAAAACATTTGTTTTTATGCACAACCTCAGTGCCACTTCAATTCAAGGTCTCCTCTAAAACATGGCAAGCAATCTAGCTTGATAAAATTGATTAAATTCTTCAGAATGTCTTTATTTAGTCTAAAAGACTAACCTTGTTTTTGACGATAATCGTCACTTCTCTGGAAGATTAGTTGCCTTTGTTTTATTTCACTTTAGGCCAACTTAGGAATCTTTACAATAAAATGGTGTTGCAATTCTGTGCATTCTCAAGGTTGCATCCAGTGGTGACTTTGACCTAGAAGAGCCACTGCTGCTTACACCTGATTTTTCCCAATTCCTCGTATCCATTAGCTGTTCCTGAGAGCAGGAAAATGGTATAGCGGGTTTCATTCGGAAGGAGGAATTGGTAAAACCAATTGTGCTAGCCTAAGTAACTCCAGTAATTCAAATCCACCATTATGATACAATCTATATCTTGAAAAATCCCTTCCAAGTTTAAAACAATGAGTGGTACTTTATACATAGGCTCAGACTTCATCTATATCAATTTGTGAACTGGTCTTGACATTTTAGGGAGTTCATTCATGATTTTATGGCCCTGGTGAACACAGTTTGGCATATGTCAGAAAGCAACGTTTTCACACAGAAAAGTCCAAGAATGGCCTTAACAGTTATGGAGCTACATAAATAGAGCAAAGGGACATTTGATGGATTACAACAGGCACGCCCAACTGGTAGATCACTGGCTCCCCACAAAGAAGCTCAAGAAGCTTGGCTCCCCTAAAAACAACAACTTTGACCAGAACCCCGCAAAAAGGGCGTGGATCATTGCCAGTCTTTAACTCTGTGACTAGATTGCAGTTTCTTGGAAGCTGGCCACCCCTGGTTTATAATAATTTACCCTAATGACAGCCACACCAGGCCTTGACTTTTTTTGGTAAGCAAAGGTACTGGGTTTGTTCAGATGAACAGCCATTGGTGTTATAGTCTGTGATGGGAATTTCTTTCAGTAGCTGTTTTAAATTCAGTGAGGACCATCCTGTATTATAATATTTTTTTAAAAGTTTAGGGATTGTAGCCCTCACAACACTGCTGCTTGCTGAAGTCTGTATTTGCTCTCTCTTACGTTCCCACTTGTAACTCCAAGGTACTTCTCAAGCTGTTCATGTGTTTTGTCCTGCTGCTACTGAGTGTACAATACTTTTCCTGCCACATCCAGACCCCAGCGCTAGAATGTTCCATGACCAGAAGAACCTGATCTTGTCAGTCAAACTGTGGCCCAATAACTCTTGGCACAAGGACAGATAATAAATTATATGCATGTATGTACATACCATGATAAACACATAGATACACACCTGCATATTAAGCCTACACTAAAGAAGAAAATCAACAATGCGCTCAAAGTGACCTAAGCTCAAATACGTTTTTCACAAACTTATTTTTTTAGCTCGGGGTTCACAACAACTGCAGTCAAACCTCGGATCCCGAACACCTCCATTTTGGAACGCTTCAGCTCCTGGACACCTAAAGCCCGAAAGTAGATGCTCTGGTTCCCAAAGGTTTTTCGGAAGCTGAACGTCCAACACGGTTTTCGCTTGAGTGCAGGAAGCTCCTGCAACCAATCAGAAGCTGCACCTCGGTTGTCTAACATTTTCGGAAGCCGAATAGGCTTCCAGAACGGAGTACGTTCGACAACCAAAGTTTGACTGTACTCTTAAATATTTCCTTCCAAGTTACCAGGCAAAGTGCTTGGAATGTGGAAGAGCCTATTTTTTTTATTTCATTTGTCTAGGCCACTAACCTACGACAACATGGAGATGTGCTTGAAGGGAGACTAGTCTGTGGCACAGCAGGTAACTTGCGAGCACTTGAGTATTGGCCATTTGCGACCAAGTGAAGATGCCTTGGCCGGCCCCTGACATCTCCACCATCTGGAAATCCAACTAATACCACATCCTGTAGAATTCCATCCATTCTATTTTATCGGCACAATCAGAACAACTTTCAGGATCCAAAATGCTTTTTCTAAGCAGGAGCGGTTAACGTTATAGCTCATTGCTGTCGCTTGTCTTCACTTACCCCACCCCACTGCCCTGCTCACAGTTGTGAAGAATATTCCTACGTTATGAAGGTCTGTGTCACCATTAAGAAAGAGAGGTAGGAATAAGCCAGTATATATGTGGACTCTCCCTTAATATGTGGACTCTCTCTCTTAATCTAGCTCAAGGTTGTCCTCTGAACTAGCCAGATGTTTAACTAAGAATCAATCGCAGTCAGTCCATCATTTGAAAAATAAGACTTTAGAGTCATCTTGCCCAAAAATGGCATGTAGACATTACATTTTGGCAACTGCAACCTGGGTTTAAGGAGCCACTTGGCCCCCAGCTTATATATCTGAGTTTCTAACGCTACAGGTCACATAAAGAAATAAAGAGCCCATCACTTTAGAAAACCATTTAGATGTTTCAAATCACAAGCTGGCAACTTTCCTAATCTAAACAGTAACTTGTAAACATGTGGCACGATTCACAACTCTGATAACTATGGTGAGGGGGGAAAGTATTTGATCCCCCTGCTCAATTTGCCCGTTTGCCCTCTGACGATGAAATGACCAGTCCATAATTTTAATGGTAGGTTTATTGTAACTGTGAGAGACAGAATAACAACAGGAAAAACCCCAGAAACCCAGAAGACAAAAGTCAGAGATTGATGTGCATTATAATGAGTGAAATAAGTATTTGATCCCCTATCAACAAGCCACATGTCGGAGAGCAAACGGGCAAATTTAGCAGGGGATCAAATACTTTCACCCCTCACTGTAGGTGGTCCTAATCCCACTGAAATCAAATGGTCAACCCATCACACCCATCAACAGTGTGATGCAGCAGCAAAAAAACTAATGCTATTCTAGGCTGAATCAACAGAAGTCATAGTACCACTCTATTCTGCCTTGGTCAGGCCACACCTAGAATACTGTGTCCATTTATGGGCACCACGGTTTAAGAAGGATGTGTGCAGAGGAGCGCAACCAAGATGATCAAGGGTCTGGCAACCAAGCCTTATGAGGAGCGCTTGAAGGAACTGGGTATGCTTAGCCTGGAAAGGAGGAGACAGGATAGCCATCTTCAAATATCTCAAGGGCTGTCACATGGAGGAGGGAGCAAGCTTGTTTTCTCCTGCTCTGGAGGGCAGGACTCGAACCTGTGGCCTCAAGTTACAAGGAAGGAGATTCCTGACTAAACATCTGGAAGAACTTTCTGACAGCCAGAGCTGTTTGGAACAGTCTCCCTCGGGAAGTGGTGGACTCTCCTTCCTTGGGGGTTTCTAAGCAGAGGTTGGGTGGCCACCTGTCGTGGATGCTTTAGATGAAATTCCTGCCTAGCAGGGGGGTTGGGCTAGATGACCCTCAGGGGTCCCTTCCAACTCTACGATTCCTTGGAGGCTTTTAAGCAGAGGTTGGATGGCCACCTGTCATAGATTTGAAGCATTTGAAGACAGCCCTGTTTAGGGAAGTTTTCAATGACAGATGCTTTAATGCAGTGGTTCTCAACCTGTGGGTCCCCAGATGTTTTTGGACTACAACTTCCATCAACCCAGAGCTCTGGCCTTGCTAGCTAGGGGTGATGGGAGTTGTAATCCAACAACATCTGGGGACCCACAGGTTGAGAAAAGCTGCTTTAAGGTGTTTTTAATCTTTTGTTGGAAGCTGCCCAGACCGGCTGGGGAAACCCAGCCAGATGGGCGAGGTATAAATATTTAAATAACATTATTATTATTATTATTATTATTATTATTAAGATTCCTGCCTAGCAGGGGGTTGGACTAGATGACCCTCAGGTGTACCTTCCAACTCTACGATTCCTTGGGGGTTTTAAAGTAGAGGTTGCATAGCCACCTGTCCTGGATGCTTGAGCTGAGATTTCTGCCTGGCTAGATGACCCTCGGGGGTCCCTTCCAACTCCACGATGCTAACTCACCCTCACCCCGCCTCCAAACGGAGCCAGCAACCGAGAGATCCTCCTTTCAGAGGATATCGAAACGGCCAAGGGAGGGCAAAGGCAGAGCAAAACTCCCCTCAAGGCTCCTTCCTTCCTTCCCCCCCTCGCCTTCCAAGACTGACCTGTCGGGCGCCCACAGCCGCGCCGTCCTGTCCCGGGACACGGAGACGAAGGAGCCAGCGGGGAAGGGAGAGCAGCTGAGGCCCCGCACGTCCAGCTCGTGGCCCACCAAGGAGCAGCGAAGCCGGTAGGTGCCCCCCGCGGCGGCCATCGCGAACAGCCCTCGAGCCCCCTGACACAGCAGCAGCAGCAGTGCCGGAGCCCGCCTCCTCCGCTTCCTCTCGCCCGCCCTCCGCCGGAAGCGCCGTCACCCCGCAGAGCGCCGGAAGAGGCGCGACGCCCAGAAGGCACCGCGGAGGGGTGGAAGGGAAGGACTACATTTCCCAGAATGCAAATGGACGCGTCGGGAGTCCTATAAGGGAGAACCTGGGCAGGTGGAGGGACTACATTTCCCAGAATGCTAATGGAGGTTCAGGTACCAGCCACGGTGGCGCTGCGGGTGACGCCAAGGTTGCAGGTTCGATTCCCGGCGTAGGTCACGAAGTTTCCCCCCCAAAAAAAACCTTTTCGAGCCCATTCTTTGGATTTAGTACCAAAATTTTTTAAAAAAGCTCTCAACAATTTTTGTGTAAAAAAAGAGGTCAGGAATCTTACTTTTTGAAATATGGCAACCCTACTTGAGCACCATATATATATATACACTCTCTCTCTCTCACTCTCTCTCTCTCTATTTTGCCATACTAACCGTACCCAACTCTTAACACTTGATTGCAAGTACCATGGGGTACATTCCCCCCGAATGGAGTGGCACGCACGCGCACAAGACTCGTTCTTCTGCGCATGCGCCAAAGTGGGAGGGTGTGAAGCGAAAGCTGCGCGTAAATCTCGCGATGGAATACGGGAGCGTGAGGGAAGAGGAAGAAGCCGCGCTCGGCTTGGCGCTAGAGCGACTGCGCGGAGGGAGCGGCGCTGGGGGTTGGCTGGCGCGGTTGCTAGGTTACGGCTTGCCGTCGGGCGCGCGCGGAGTGGAGTTCGTGGATGGGAGGCAACCGTTAAATTAACGGGTCTCGTTAGCCCACTGCGCGTGCGCGCGGGGAAGGGTCAGGTAAGAGGAGCCGCGCGGGTTGGAGCGCGGATGCGGGAGTGCCGACCCTCACGACCCCCGTACGTGGCATGCCTCAGCCCCTTCCCCTCCTACGATGGGCCCAAGTCCCCGCGTCACTCAGAAGGAGGCGGGGAAATGGTGCATGGAATTTAAGGCTGAGGGTGGTGGGCGTCACGTGTGAACGCTCTCCTTCGCGACACGCGTCGTCGCAAAGTGCAAAAAAAGAGCGCCCAGTAACTCAGCTCTCCTCCAGGGAGTTTTTCTTTTAAAGGGGGATGGGCTAAGGTTTGTTAAGGTTTCTGGGGAGTAAGGGACCGAGCTGCCCTTAGTATGTTGTTGGGCCATTTCTGGATTAATAAAAAATAAAACACAACATCAGGTTTGCTTTACAGAGGTTTTGCAATCTCTTCATGCCTGTATTGCAGATACCCACAACATGTTTCTGTCGAAATAGTGCTGGGGGGGGGGGTAGCTGCCACTCATCAATAAAAATACTTAACTGAGGTTCTGCCCCCCCTCCCCCCAAAAAGCCTCCCCCCAACAAAAATCCTGGCTATACCCATGAAACAGTGACTTGTATCTTTTCATCAATTGCTAGTGTTGTGTTTAAGATACTGTGTTCCGTGGTTTCACCCCCTATTGTAATTTCATATATGTAATCACAGAACTGCAGAGTTGGAAGGGGTCACGAGGGTCATCCAGTCCAACCCCTTGTAGTGCTAGAATCTTTGGCCCAACGTGCAGTTTGAACTCGTGACCCTGAAATTAAGGGTTTCAAGCTCTACCAACTGACCTATCCCAGATTCATGTCTTTTATTTTCTTAATCTCAACCACATACGTCAAAGTTCTTTAGACTTTGCTCCATCATGAAATGATTCATAGATGATCTCTTACCCAAATATTGACTAGGCCACAACACCCATACAGTGGTGCCTCGCAAGACGAAATTAGTTCGTTCCGCGAGTTTTGTCGTCTTGCGATTTTTTCGTCTTACGAAGCACGGTGTCGGGAAAGTTTTGGAAAAGCTTCAAAAATCACGAAAGTCTTTAAAAACCTCAAAAAAGGCTACCACACCGCGTTCTATGAGTTGCTCCTTGAAGTCAAGTCGCAACTGTGTTAAGAAAAAGGAAACAAACTTGCAAGACGTTTCTGTCTTGCGAAGCAAGCCCATAGGGAAAATCGTCTTGCGAAGCAGCTCAAAAAACAAAAAACCCTTTCGTCTAGCGAGTTTTTTGTCCTGCGAGGCATTCGTCTTGCGAGGTACCACTGTTGTTTTAGCAGGCTTGGTTCACCATGAGCTTACATTCCATGCTCAAGGACTGCAGGCAGATAAATTGTATTTTGATCTTCTGGCTACTGGACAGGGCTGGCTTCTAAATAATGACAGTGGTACATATGCATTTTATTTTATTTTATTTTTAGTCCTACCTCCTACTGAAGACCTAATTCTAAACACGCATTTGATTCCCTAGTTACTGTGTTGAAGATAGCTGTTCTAATGGGCATATTTACTCTGCATATATGGCATTATGATTCCAATTAAAAAGCTAAAGAAAATTCTTGTTTTATTTAAAATATTTTTCTTTATCCATGACTTAAAAGTTCTCTTTTAATACAGAGTACACATTTAGAGGATTCTAGTATGTAATATATGTTTGTTTCTAAAGAGAAATTTGAAGAAAAGAGGAAAAAATGGCAAGTAATCACAAGCCTCCTACAGCCCGCCCGTCTTCAAGAGCAGGACTAGGCCTGGGAGCCAGACCTCCCTCATCCTCACTACGGCCTCCATCCGCAGCTCTACTTGGAGGAGGAGTAAGTTAAAATAAATCTTTTTAAAAACCTACTCTGTTTGACAAGTGATACAGTTTCATTGAAGAGTTTATCTTCATTTTCTGATTCCTAAGCTAGAGCCTTTTCTCTCCAGTGCAGATTACTTTGTTATTGTCTCCGGACATCATAATATACACACTTTGTGGATATTGTTTAACATAAGGGATTGTGTAACACAAAGGGATGAGTGTCTGCTCCAAGGATTTTATCATCTAAAAGTAGCAGCTAAAAACCAGTCTATTCTCACAGGTTTTTGGCATTTTATTTTTCTATTTATCTCCACTGCTTTTTGTGGCTCACACTCCCGTTCCTTTTCCTTTTAGTTTATAAGCTTGTAGGCAGGGCTTCTGTGTTTGGGTGCTCGACGTGCTTATTGATAGCTTTATCTTGTTATTAATTGCTACAACAGTGGATTGGATCCTAACATGCGTGATAGAATCCTTATGGTTAGTGGTAGTGAATTGCAGCGGAGCTGAAGGGTTACTCTTTCTCCAGCACCAGCCACTTTATCCCTTTTCAGGGTTTCAAAATCACCTCCTTCTTGAAGCTGCTTTTACTTTACAAAAAGCTTGTGGGTCCTATTAGGTATATGAGAGTCTTTAGGGTGAAGCTGTTAAATTAGGACCTTTGAGACCAGGGTTCAGATCCTCAATCAGCTATGAAACTTCACTGGCTGACCTTGGGCCACTCATGCACTCTCAGTCTACCTCACAGGGTTATTGTGAGGATAAAATGGGAAGGAGGACTTTTCACCACCTCAAGCTCCTAGGAAGAAAGGTGGAATATAAATGTAACAAAAAATGTGTGTGCCATGTCATTTGGTTTCATTTAAATCTCAAGACCTCGGCCAGCTTATTGATAAGTAGATAGACTAGTTTTCTGATCCTCAGAATGACTGCATTCATTATTTTTTCTACCGATTCTGTTTTCGGTGTTAGATCCCTCCAGGAACATCAAGACCTGGTACACGTGGTGGATCCATAGGTACTGGTGTGGTTTTGTCCTCCCAGATTAAGGTTGCAGACCGTCCAGTGACGCAGCAAGGGCTGAGTGGAATGAAAACTGGAATGAAAGGTATTTTAAGATATGAAGGCATACAAACATTGAATAAGTTAGTCTTGTGCCTGTGATTATAAGGGGAAACAGCAGTACACTTTACAGTGGCTTTGGCCTCATAGAGACATGAAATGTGTCAGAACTTAGGACAAGGCAAAGCAATTTTTTTTAATCAAAGCTCCATCCTGACGTAAGGGCAGAACTGAGCCAGCATCTGTGAAATCTCAGGTGGAACTTGGAAAGCTGGAATAGCACCAGAAGCTTTAAACCTAGACAAGTCCTATACTGTTCAGAGCATATGACATTACATCATGGATTATTTAAGAGAATTACATTACATTATTTACAGAGGATTTATTTATTTATTTATTTATTTAAGCCTCTCTCTGTCTCTTTATGGTGATTTTACCACCTTGCATGAAAACAACCACTGGATTCTTTAGTAATACAATTGTTTCTCATTGTACTGTGGTGTTGGGTAATAATTTGACACTTGTTATTTGTTAGGTCCACAGAGACAAATTATGGATAAATCCTATTACCTGGGAGTGCTCAGGTATGTGGCAGTTATTTGTCACCAGTGTTTGTGCTGTTTTTATATGATTGTGTCAAGAGCTACTGCCTTATTGGCAGTAATTAATTGGCTGTCAGCTTGATCATGCCTAGCTTGCAGTGTTTGGCAGGGACGATAGAGGTTTCTTAGCTCATGGCTCCTTAGCAATCGCTTCTCGGCCTTTTGGCTAAGATCAAGTGTAGCAGTAGCTCTTCCTCCTTTCATAGTCCAGCCAGCCCATTTTTCCTGCACTCAGCACAGGTATAGAGGACTGGCCTATGTTTTGTTTCACGCTTGTCTTATCCCACTGCCTTCCCTACTGTTTGTCTGTACCAAATGCAGGCCTTTCCTTCCAATTATTTCCTGTTTGCTGGAGTAGATACTTGTGACCAATGTCCAACTGACTTTCTTTGCTTTACTGGGAACCTCACTGCTTCTAGTCACCCAGCTGTGCTCCACACAATCTGACTCGGAATCAGCATAGGGTTAAAACTACTTTTTGAAGTTGAGGTGAAAGAGATTTGTGTGGAACTTTCTACCTTCAGAAGTGCTGACCAAAGGAATGGTCAGGTCACTTAACAGATTAATACTTAACTGGCAAGTTGTCAATAGCAGGTCAAGTATAAACACAACTCTAAAATATTAGGGTTGGCTTCAGCTAATGAGTCCGTTAGCAAAAGCCCACACAAGGACTTCCACTTGTGCGTTGGGGTTCCCACCTCCTCCCTTGCACCCCCCTTACAAAAAACCAATCTGTTGTAGAAAACAACTATACTGATCACTATGTAGCTATTTTTAAAATTGGATTCAGCATCTGAAGGCTCCTAAACAAACTCTACCTTGAGGAGTTGTGCTGCCTTGCAACTCATTTGCCCACCTAAAGGATAAAGTAGCATATGTAGTGCACAGAACTTGCACCCGTCATCTTTTGGGGTAGTCCTCTTGCCTCCTCACTCTCTTCCCAGAGTGACCTTCCCAAAAAACCACTAGATACTGAGCAGAGTTTTAGCATTATGTGGGCCTTTAGAAATGTATTGTATAAATTGACTAGGCTGCACTGGGCCATAAAGATTAAACCAGACACCCTTTTTATTAATAGCTTTTGATTGGATTGAAGAAACAAAAACAAAGACAGTCATACAATGCAAAGAAAATTGTAATTCATCAAGACGTGTTCTCTGTGTACAACTGATGAGGCGGGGGGGGAATGTCTGGTAGTCCAAACCAACCCATTTGAGCAAATAGATTTGTATCAAGAGTCCAGATATCAAGGAATTCGCCATCTTTCTCGTGTTTATGGAAGATCACCTTCTCATATGCTGCCAGCTGAGTCATGTTCTCTGCCCACTGTAGGATTAGGGACTGATGAACTAGACATTTATCCAGTACTGATGAACTAGACATTTATCCACCATAGGTGCCCTTAGAAGCCAGTTAAATTGTCCCTCTGTCAGGTTCCAAAGGACTGGTGCATAATTCAATAAATCACCGAAACGTGCAAATCTGAAGAGGTGTCCAAAACCATATTTATGTGGCAGATGACCTCTGACTCAAAGCCTGTGGCTTTAAAACAGGCCTAAATTATACTTAACATAAGAACTATTTTTTTCCTACAGGAGCAAAATAAATGAACTCACCGCAGAAATTAACAAGCTTCAGAAAGAAATCGACATGTATAACCAGGAGAATTCTGTCTACCTATCTTATGAAAAAAGGTGAGATAGATTACACTTATTGTCATAGTATTGTAGAGTTGGAAGGGACCCTGAGGGTCTTTAAAAACTTTTGTGTTAATTAAAGTCAGTGGAATCATGTACACAAGTAAATTTGGATTTGAAACAGCAAGCTTGCAACTTATGTAGGGTTTACGTTCCAAGGATCATGCCTAAAGTCAAAATTACATATACAGTGGTACCTCGTTTTGAGTCTGCCTCGTCAAGCGTCCATTTTGTTGAATGTCTGTGGCAAACCCAGAAGTACAAGAACAGGTTACTTCCAGGTTTGTCGCATGCACAGAAGAACTAAATTGCACTTCGTGCATGAGCAAAAGCACAAACGGCTCCACATGCATGCGCAGAGTGGCACTTTGTCGTGTGTCATTTTTGTCTAGTGTCCAGGGCTCCGGAACAGATCCCAGTCGCAAAACAAGGTACGACTGTCGTCAGAACACATTGGGTTCAATGGCAGGTGGGATTGCCAAAGTCTTTTTTCCTGGATGTCTGCCCCTATTTATTTATTTATTTGCCCAGCACATAAAGCTTCATGCATGCAAGTTAAATACATGTAAGTTGCAGGCTTACTGTATGTTAAAACTTGAGACTTGCTTTGATTACATTTTATCACATAAGCTATGTTGTATAGTAACTATTCTTTTCCTGTTCTCTTAGGGCAGAGTCTTTAGCTAGTGAGATCAAAGAGTTTCAAGGACAACTAGCTGATTACAATATGGTATGTTATTGTTTATATTGCTAATATTTATATATATATTACATTGAAAATACTGGATCTAATTTTGAATTGCAATTGTATACCTATTGGGAATAAAACTAGCAATTAATTGGGTTTCTGTGTTGTTTTAGCTGGTGGATAAACTTAATACCAATACCGATATGGAGGAAGTAATGAATGACTATAACCTGGTGAGTATTAACATTGTTTTGTAACAGTATTAGTTTTGCCTGATTTGGTTATTGTTCAACTTGGACTGCTGCTAACCAGTGATGCTCAGTAGCTGCTGGAAAATGTTTGAAAACAATTGTAATTGGTTCTCAGGATGAGTGTAACTGCATATACTGTTGACCCAAATACATATGCAGAGTGACATTTCAAAGTAGCATCTTAGTTAATAGAAGGAAATATAAAAAGCCACAATTCTTCCAAACATTGGATCACAATAGAAAGGACCTACACAATTTAAATTTTCAATTAAGTGGTAGTCCAAACGGAACATTAAAAAAATTTTTTTTTTTACCAGTGAAATGAGTAGTTGATACTAGCACATGGAAATTTTACTGATCAACTGTTTGGGAGAGGGGAGCAAGAGCTGGTTTTAAACCGCCATCCCCACCCTCCAAAGGACCCCTTCCTGCAAAACATCTTATCAGTGAGATGCTTGCAATTTATTTGAAATTACTTGTGCTTGCAACTACATCTGTTGCAGTCAGCATCTGTAACTTCAAATTTGCCTGTGGCATACCTTGCTGTCATTACAGCGCAGTACCTGGCAAGGATCTTTTTATTTCCCCGGGTTGTTCAATCCTCTAAAAATTGCTGTTGTGGTGTTTGGTGTTTTTAATCCTGCTGACTGCTTTTAAAGTGCTCTTTTACTTTGTAATGTTTTAATGTTATCGTTTTAAAGTTTGTTTTATTTTTTGTTGGCTGCTCTGAGAACCTGTTAAAAGGTGGGATAGAAATCAAATAAATAAAAATAAGTAAATTAATATTTGTGGAGATCTGATACTTCATTCAGCTATGCCAGGTGTGGGGAACCTTTAGCCTGCCATATGTTTCTGAACTTCAAATCCTATCATCTCTCTCTACTGACAGTCTTGCTGAGGCTAATGGGAGTTTTGTAGTTCAGCAGCATCTGCAGCACCAAAGCAGCCCCTGAGCTATATAAACCTTTTACCTATAGACACATTCCAACCATTATGCATGTAAATTAGTACAGACGCATTTGAAACGGCCCTTAATTCTGATTTATGTTCCATGTCTCAAACATATTTTTAGGATCATGTTGTATTTCTTGAAAATCATTTTAAGACTGATCTATGGTGTATAAGCTATAATAGCAAATTCAATTGAATTAAAGACATTGGCTCTAGAAACGGGAAATTTATTTGCTGTAGATATAGCAGAGCTATTCTCATGCTGTTGGTGGCTGTGTCTTTTTAATAGTTGAAGGCTCAAAATGACCGTGAAGCTCAGGGCATAGACATCATTTTTACAGAAAGACAAGCGTAAGTATATGAATTTTTAAAAACGAAACTGGAAAATAAACCAATGCATAGAAATGTTCTGTATTCTGTTATAATGCCATTCATAAACCCCTGACACTTGTCTGGTCTTTGTACTCAAGCAGTAGCAGGTGTGTGCTGACCTTTCACACTTTAGGTTATTATTATTTATTGACTTTATATACTGCCCTATACAGTACCTGGAGGTCTCGGGTCGGTTCACAGAAAAGATCAACATAAAAACCACAGTATATATAATCAAAATAAAAACAACAACCCAATAACATCCCTCCCCCCCAAAAAAGAGCCACGTTTTAAAAGGGCATAGGATGTCAATCAGATCAACCCAAGGCCTGGTTAAAAAGGAACAGGAGCCACTACCACGAAGGCCCTCTACCTGATTCTCTGTAACCACTTATCGCAGTGAGGGAACTGCCAGAAGGCCCTCGGAGGAGGACCTCAGTTTCCGGGCTGAACAATGGGGTTGGAGATGCTCCTTCAGGTGTACTGGGCCGAGGCTGTTTAGGGCTTTAAAGGTCATCACGAACACTTTGAATTGTACTCAGAAACGTGCTGGGAGCCAGTGTAGGTCTTTCAGGAGCGGTGTTATATGGTCTTGGCAGCCACTCCCAGTAACCAGTCTAGCTGCTGCTTTTAAGGGTTTAGAGATCAAAACCAGCACTTTGAATTGGGCCCAGAAACTAATTGGCAGGTGGGCCAGGATTGACATTGTATTCTCAAACTGTCTTCCCCACTGAGCAACCTGTCTGCCAAATTCTGCACCAGCTGAAGTTTCTCAATGCGGTCACCACTTGTAATGTGTTACAGTAATCTAAACTAGAGGCTATCAGAGCATAGACAACAGAAGTTAGGCTATCCCTGTCCAGACAAGGACACAGCTGGTCCACCAGTTGAAGTTGATGGAAGGCACTTGGTGCCACAGAGGCAGCCTGAATCTCAAGCGTAGCAAAGGATCCAGGAGTACTCCCAAGCTACATACACGCACCTTCAGAGGAAGTGTAACCCCATCAAGAGCAGGCAGCGTCCCAGCCATCCAGTCTAGGGAACCCCCACTAACAGTGCCTCAGTCTTATCTAGATTGAGCTTCTGTTTATTAGCTCTTGTCCAGACCATTGCTGGTGCAAGACAATGGTCCAGGGCATCCACACCAGCCCCCTACTCAGTGATTTCATGTAGATGTTAAACAGCATAAGGGGTAAAATGTACAACAAAGCAAGTCAGTTTTAAATAAATAAAAATTCAGCTCACCATCACAAACCCCAGAAGTAGCATATAGGATAAAAGATTTAATTTAACATTGAACCCCGAGGAACCTCAAATTGAAGGCTCCAAGGGGCCAAAGAACACTCCTCAAACATCAGCCTCTGGAAACAACCATCCAAGTAGGACTAAAACCAGCGCTGCGTGGTGCCACCCACCCCTAATGCAGACAGCCACTCCAGAAGGGTACCCATGGTATCAACCTGTTTTTCTGATTTTTTGTTCATTTTAAAGTGCAAACAAGCATTTTTATTTAATTTATTTATCTTATATCGGTCATAGTTGTATAGTGCAACAAAAGCGAAACTTAGTTTCTGTTAATTAGAATTATTTTAATTAATTACATATTTCTGGATGTTCAGACACAGAAGATGTTATTTCTTCTTCATTGATGATCGGATTCTAAACTCCAGAGGATGCCTCCTTAATGATTTGTGTAATGACTTCCTTAGCATGCCAGACCCTTGTTTTGCCTGTTTTTAAATATACAGCCGTTCTTTGGAAGTCGAACAGAATTCATTCTGGAAGTCGGTTCGACTTCTGAAACGTTTGGAAACCAAGGCACAGCTTCCAGTTGATTTCCGATTGTGCAGGTGTGCCGGAAACAATAGCAGATGCCGCACCGGACATTTGGCTTCCAAAAAAAGTTTGAAAACTGGAAGACTCACTTCCGGTTTTTGATCATTCGGGAACCGGAACGTTCAAGTCCCAAGGCGTTTGGGAGCCGAGGTACGACTGTATAGGGCTATATTTCTCTTTCAGGTACCCAAGCAAAATGCCCTGATTTACATACAAAAAAACCTTTGATCCTCCAACACCATTTCACCAATAGTGGTTTTCTGTAATGATGCCAAGATTAAATAGTGCATATTTTGATTAATCACAAGCAGCAACAGTTTGGTTTTTTTAGCCCATTGCTTTATAAAGCTACAGATATGACAGCCCTTAGCACATATTTCAGAATGGGGCAGAGAGATTCAGACGGCAACATTCATAGTAACTCTTCATGTATCAATATATTTGTCTTCAATAAATCCATCTTCTTCTGGAACAAATGTATGAAATTGTTCAAAAACCACAACCGATTCTTCTTCATTGGTACCTGGTGTATGTGGGAATGCGCAGTTATGAGATGTGAAAGTTTCTTCAAACATCTCTGGTTCGTCTTCCTCCAAACGACTATGATTATAGCTAATCAAATAACGGTACCATACTGGGAATTTGATGACCATTCCAATCAGCAGTGAAATGCTGATAACAACAACCAGGACACCAATCAGAAAGGTCCAACTTTTGCCAGGACGATGAACATCTACACCTTAAAATAAATCAAGCATCGTTTTAGTACTTTTCAGTATAAATACAACTCTTACTCCATTTTCCCTCATAAGGTTACCTTTCAGAAGTTATCAAGTAACTTCCCTCTCTCCATAGAAAAATAAAGGGTTGGAGCTAGACTCCTTCCATTCACAGAAGTGAGTTAAATCCAGCAGAGGTTCCCACTCTGCAAATTGCCTGCTTCTGTGGGCAGAAGGGGTATAGGTGATTTTTGCAAAATCCCACCCCCACTGCAACCCCTGGTACCACCCCCTATTCTGTTTCTCAGGGTTCCCTAACCTTCCATATCAGCTTTTCAGAGGTAAAAAGAGCTGCAGGGAAAAAAGAATATGCAAAAGTCACTTTGCACTTCAATCCACTGGAGAATCAAGTTTGTGGTTTTGCAATTCCCACACCTGTGACGCCAACACATCATCTTTAGGACATTTGACTATTAGCCTTTTAAAAGCAGTGTTTTAGTAAAGTTTGGCACTTGACTGAACATGTTTCAGTAGTTGCTCTGTTAAAGAGTCCTGAAGGCATCTGTCATTAACATAATTGTGGGAATTCAACTGGTACAGTTAAATGGACATTGTGCTGTGTGCTTGGATCCCAGGTACCTGCCTCCTTCCAGGTCTAGCTATGCCTGTTTGTCTGTGACTAGTGACCCCAGATAGGCATATTCATCCAAATCAGTGGAAGAATTCATCAAGGTTAATGAGGCCCTGGGCAAGTATCTTGAATTAGATCAGCTGAGCTCTAGCTGTACCAGAAACAAGTTTAACAAAAGAATTTGAACTTTGTGCTCCCAATAACGCATGACTGTCTGGGTTAATCTGACGTTTACCACTATGTATAAAAAACTAGAAAAGGCTATATTGCAATATATAGTCAGCATAACTTTCAGCATATTACTTGTTTTAAAAGACCATTCAAAAGCTATTTTGGTACTACATCTAATATTATTATCAATATATATGCTAAATATTCTAATTTATATGAGGATAGCATAGAGACTGGAGTCTATAAACCAAGCCAAGGACTGGCTCCTTGTTGAATTTTTGCTTAAAATACACAAGGCTGTGCAAGTTCTTCTTCCTGAGAAATGTAAAGGAAATGGTGGAGCTGCTCTTAACAATGTTTAAGGAAAAGAATGCACAGTTATAAGTTTGATATAATGGCAGAAGAGGAGGGGAGCAACCTTTACCAATTGCCCGTTCACCTTGCAGACCTTTGCACCCTATGAAAATTGGCTGGAGAGGGTAGGGGGATTGTGGGAAGACTACAGAACGGGTGGGGATTGGGCAAAAATAATGTTCTTCCTTCCACCAGCAGGATTCCTCTGCTGGATCAAAAGCTATCCATGAACAGAGGGAGCCCTACTTTTAGCAGACAGCTAAATTTGGATTCAATACGCATTTGCTTTAAATTCTGTATCAGTGCACTAAATGATCTTTAGTATTGTTTTTGAAATGCATGGCTTCTATAGCCATATGGGCGCTGCCGGTAAATTAAATGGAAATATACCTGACTTTAGTGCTTTTCTATTTGTACCATTATGCAGAGATAGACTATCATTAGTTGGATTAAGAGAAGTGAAAGATAAGGTGGTTGCTTCAGTCGTCATCTCTCTTTTCTCACAGTCAGCTATAATTGCTGTCTTGATAGGTTGTTCTTTCAGGCTTCTTGGAGACGTACACACAGTACCGTTCTCATTTTCTGTAAATATAAACATTTCAAAAAGATTAAAGTTTTTGGTCTGCGCTGCCCTCAAAAACAATTTCAGACAGTATAGTTTAGAACTTTAAAAATAATCCATGAAACCATCTAGTGTTATAGGGTTGCCAGAGGCAAATATATTATTTCCAACAATTATTCATTCCATGAAAATATTCCTGGGCATAAAATATATGAATATATTCAGTATCACCTATAATACTCTCAGGCAGGTTTGACTGTGCTAGTCATCTGTTTAATAGGAGTCTTAAGGCTGGGAGCAAGTTGCATTGAACTCAGTGGGAATAATTCTTAGTAGGTGCATATAGGATAGCACTGTTATTTTTTTTCTGAAACCACGTTACTTAGCACATTTCTAGTTCATAGGGCAAACACCTCTTTTCCTATACAAAATCTGTTGGATGAATAGGCAATTTTCAGACATGACCTTTTCAAATACCAACTTAATGTATGTGCTCGACATTTAGTTCATATTTTATCTTTTCGGTGTGCTTTTTATTGACAACTCCTTTTAGCATTTTTGGCTCTCAGTCTAAAGGAATCCTTATCTCAAAAATAAAAGATGTGAGGATAGCTAAATTCATACATCAATGGAGTACACTTAGTCCTCCTGAAATGGAAATCGTATAGATTAAAACACCAATACATTTTTTGATACTTACCCATGGTTACTTTAGCGGCCTTCAGCCAACTCTGTAAACTAAGGAGGTCACATGAACAATTCCATGGATTTCCAATTAATGTGATTTTGGTTAAATTAAGGGATACAGTTGCATCAAAATATCTCAAAAGGTTATTTTTTAGGTTTAAGACAACCAAGCTCTTTAGCAATACAAACACACTGGAATCTAATTGCACAATTTTGTTATTCTGTAGGTGCAAAATCTTTAGTTTATTTAAACCAGCAAATGCTGCTTGTTCAACTGTACTGATAGAATTATTGCTGACATCTAGAACTGCTAATTTTGAAAGTTTGTCAAAAGTAAAATTACGGAGAATAGAAATGGAATTGTTGCTTAGGTATAATTCTGTAATATTCATGTACTTTTGAAGATTTGTGGTATCACTTTCATTTAAAGTGATGCTGTTGTAACTGAGAACTAGTATAGAAACATTTTTGTTTAGGCCAGGAGGAACAGAAGTATAGTTTTTTGCTGCTTCCTCGCACTTAACCTGTTAAACAAAGAGAGAGAAAATGTTACAAATACAGATTGGGGAAGATTACCAGGATAAAACAGATAATATGTTCATCAAGCTCTCATATATAGGGATATGAAAACTTTTCTAAAATATATTGATGTTATTGTTTGTTGTAAAGGAAAATTCTGCCCAGCTAATCTTCAGAAAGAAAATCAGAACAAGTGACATTGCAAAACACAATCCTATAACAACATTGAAAGTGTATCATCAATATAGAAACAAAAGCAGCAGCACAAAACAGCTATATAACCATAAATAAAGCTACAGCTGTTCAGATTTGTGGTCCTTCATATTAGAGTCAGCTATATGATCAATATGTGAAAGAAAATGTCCAGAAAAAGTAGTTCAGGCTGTAGGAAAACAGGCCTGCTCCTTTTTTGTTGAAATCTTGGGGCTCAAATAAAAAATGTTGGAGTTAAACTCTTTTCTACAGTAGAATATTGAGCATAGAAATCTGAAATAACTGAATCATTCAGGACTGAATATAAATGCTTTGGCAGAGAGTTGTAGGGCTAAAGGGAACTTTTATTAAAAAAAAGACCATCTATTTCCCCACCTCGCTTAATGCAAGGCACATCCCATACCAGCCTACAAGGACCAGAACAAAACTCATGGAATATTTCTTCTTGGTGTTAAGAAGGGAGTACCATGAAATAACTACCGTATTTTGCAGGTGATGAGAATCATAATATGATTGGTTAGGCACTGTATTCTGTGTGTTTTGGATCCTTCACATACTCTACTCTATCATATATATTATTGGCATCCATCTGTCTCGAAAGACAATGGAGTTCGCCTCCAGGGGTGAAGTCAAATCACCACGTTAGCTGCACCCAAGTGACCTCCCCAGGGCGCAAGTCTGGGCAGTGTGTATGGTATTCCTGGACTGCTCAGACGACCAGACCTTGCTGGTGTGGTCCAAAGGAAATCATAGCAATATGTTTGTCACCAGCTTGGTGGCAGGAGTTGCTGGAAGGAAGTACCATCCAACCGTCTTAGGGACTGCACTCCGGATTTGTGTAGGGTTTACCCACAAACCTTTCCTTCTGAAGATATCCCGCAAAGCAACGAAGGTCCTATCATCTATATGAATGTGATAATTTCTGCCACCCCACCCCAAAAGAGGAGTTAAAATAGCCTTAGGCTGCAGTCTTAAGTACGCATAGGAGTCAACCACATTGAACACAATGTGGCTTTCTTCATAGAACACATGTAAAGGATCGAGCTGTTAACAGCTTTATAGGAAAAGTAGCCAAGTAGCTTGATTCGGTTATGAAGCTTACCATTTGAGAAGCAGCAACTGGATGTAAAAAGAGAGCTGCAACCAGTGTCAGGAGCCAAGCAAGCTTCATATTCTGAACCTGTAGGTACACGTTATCACTTGAATAGTATTGAAGCTCAATTTGATGATGAAAAAGAAGTTCACAAAGAGCATCATAGTTGTGATTGCAAAGCCAAGTGAATCAACAGGATTTGTAGAACTGAGTAAAATATGGAAATGTAAACTATATATCATTCGTGCTATGAAATCAGGCCTTTGTCATCTGTCAATGTTCAAGAAATTATTTCACCTAGTGTTCTTTTTTTAAAAAAAAATTATTAAAATTTACAATTTAATATTCAACACATTTATCATATAAAAGAAAATAGAATGAAAGAAAACTCCCCCCACCCTGTGACTTCCCTCAACTTCTCCTTCTGGTTCTTTAACAATTTGCTACTTCTGCTTAAATTTTCTCATATTTTTCATCTTTTAGCTGAATGCTCTTACATTCTTATCATTTTTATACCAAATTTTCTTTCAGTTACTTCTTACATTTAATTAATTTCCATATTGTTGTTTCTTAACCTTTACTCTTGTTTTCTTAATTGTAAGTGTTTTACTCAAACCCTGCTAGTGAGTCCATTTCTTTACAATATTTCTGTAAATACATCATGAACGATTCCCAGTCTTTTTTAAATCTCTATTGTCTTTGTCTGGTTCACCTAGTGTTCTGATACTTTAAAAACGACATAGCTGTGCTATACTATCGCTATAGCTGTTACCAAATATTAAAGAAAGAAACTGCAACAGCTATACAGTACTTCAGATACTTAGAATATTTCTTCCTGCCCATCCTCCCTCCAGAGTTCTGAAATGGCGCCACTGATCAAGGCTACACAAGACATGAGCCATATCTATTGCACTGGTGCGAACTGCTTGACCCTTCCCTATAGGGAAAAGTTTGCAAATCTCAAAAGATAGAGAAAAGCACAGCCAGCAGTATCTAGAAACATTGGAGCACCCAAACAAGTAATATCAATAACCTCGCAAAACCCACACAAAAGTTGTAGTGTCTCTTGTGAAAACTTCCTCCTTTTAGTCCATGTATATATGTATTAAAATCAAGTAAAATTCTTCAGGAATTAACATTTATTTCTGAAGTGTTCCATTAAAGGCCCTCCGTTATTTAAGAAGAATAAAACGGGCAGCTTCCCTGTTTAAACTGAGGGGAAACATTTGAAAAATATTTTCCAAGCTTCCAAAGATGTCCTCTTGCAAAGCCATCGAGTGAATTCATACAGCTTTGAACCAATATAATATTTAAACTGTAATCTTAATAGTTGGATTGTGAAACAATGTATTTTATTATACATTTGTTAATAAAACAAACATCTATACGTTTGATAATACTAGCAGTTTACCCAATCACTTACCTTCTTATTTTTTCTCTGGAACATCATATACATGTTTGCGTGTATCCTTGTGGATTAAAAAAAGAAGAGTACAATGTGAACTTCACTTGGCTTCAACCTTTGTACCCTATTAGCAAGCACGTCGTTTAAAATAAGGAACTTCAGGATGCCTTTAGCAAAAGATTGACTTGGGTTCATATGTGACTTAATAGACTTGCAGCCAATAAGGAAGTTTTAGAATATGATCAGGTATCATGTTTATGACATGAAGTGAGGGCGAAAGAGCAAGTTTACCCACGGTTAGAGTTTCCAATAAAACATGATTGTATTGGAAACAGAGAGCCATGGGTAGAAGTTTATTTTTTAGTGGGGTACAGTTACCAAACATCAGACATTATAAATATACAAAGTGCATATTAAAAACGACTGCTAAAAGCCTTTGCAGTTGTTAACATGCTGATCAGGGTGGAGGTTAGGTATAAGTTACATTCAAAGAATTAAAAATCACCTTTAACTTTTATATGTCACATGTATCATTAAGTCAAAACCAGTGAGAGGAGAAGGCACTAAACATTTTGGATCAGTTCTGATTCAGCTGTGACTATAGTTGCTCTGATTCCAGTTTAGGCTAACAAAGATTCAGTAACCTATTTGACACCCGTGTGCCGGTTCATCACCAGTTCACATGAGAAAGTATAAATATTCATATTACGATAGTGATTTGCCTATGTGATAGAGTGGGTGTGATCATTGTGATATTGTGCCCTAATCTTCCTATATGATAGTTTTATCTTTCGGCAATGACTTTGGCTAGATTAAGTGAATAAATACAGTTGTACCTCAGAAATCAAACGGAATCTGTTCCAGAAGTCTGTTCGACTTCCAAAACATTCGGAAACCAAGGCATGGCTTCCGATTGGCTGCAGGAAGCTCCGGAAGCCAATCAGAAGCCGCGTTAGACGTTCAGCTTCCAAAGAACATTCGCAAACTGGAACACTCACTTCCAGGTTTACAGCGTTCGGGTGCCAAAACGTTCGAGTAGCAAGGCATTCGTCAACCAAGGTACTACTGTAATATGATACTTAATAGAGCAATTCTTTAATGTCTGCTCAGAAGTAAGGCCCATTAACTTCCATGGGGCCCAATCTCAGGTAAGCCAGTATCCTAAATGTGTTAGAGTGCTAATAGCTGAGAAGGAACACAGAGGAAATACGGCTGATAACGTAATATGGAAAGATGTAGTGTGATGGAAAAAATATGAAGAGCAATTTTTACCAAACTGATCCTGTTGCTCACATCGCTGCTGCTGCTGCTGCTGCTTGCCAGATTGTTTCTTTCTCTCTCTCTCTCTCTCTCTCTCTCTCTCTCTCATATTTTAATGCTTTTAATGCCACCCAAACTTGGATACTCAGAGCTTGCAGTTCTGTACAGTGCCATAGGCCTTACCAGCACAGGTATACAGACCGGGATTTTCCCCAGGAAGAATGTGCATGCTTCACTTAGCTCAAAGGTTAGGGAGAAGGTTTCAGTAACAGCTGTAGAGAGTAGCCAAGCTACTGCATGAGGGTCAGGGCACTCTCACCCTTCCCCTGCCAAGCTGTTTCCCCTCATAATCTTCAATAGTAAATTTCAGCCTTAAAGCTTCCTGCAGCTTCCCAACCCTTAGAGAAGGCACAGTACAAATGTTTTCCGCAAGCCCAACATATATAACTTCCTTCAAGATAGTGTATCTGAAGAAGTGTGCATGCACACAGAAGCTCATACCAATAACAAACTTAGTTGGTCTCTAAGGTGCTACTGGAAGGAATTTTTTTTATTTTGTTCCTTCAAGGCAGGAGTTCATGTGCTCAAGCTAGCCTTATTTACATAAGCACTGGCGCACGACAGAGGGAGGGGTCAGACTCACACCCACAATCCCCACTCCTGCCCTCTTCAGTTCTCTCTCTTTCTGAGATCTAGTATCTTGCAAAATGCAAATTAAATGGAGAAGGCTTATGCCCCTACAAAGTGTGCCTGTGGGCTCTGTTCAGAAGCATAATGCAGAAAAGGGTTGGAAGCAGAGATGGTGAGCATAAACCTGGATCCCCTTTGACACATTCACTGGGCTTGCACTCTTTATAAAGATTTGAGGATTGATATTATTGCCCCTCTATTATTGTGCATGCCAAGTTGTTCAACCATTGCCACTGTGTCCTTTCTTTTAGCAGATCAATATGATCAGATGACAGCAAAAATTGCAATGTTTTTAGCGGGGCAATTGATGTAAACCCCCAAAATGTATTTTCTATAGTTAAGTTTTTACCTCTTTCTTCAGTACATTTTATTGCATTGCATTGCATTGCTGTGGCTAGTAAAGGTAAAGGGGACCCCTGGCCATTAGGTCCAGTTGTGACCAACTCTGGGGTTGCGGTGCTCATCTCGCTTTATTGGCCGAGGGAGCCGACGTACAGCTTCCGGGTCATGTGGCCAGCATGACTAAGCCACTTCTGGCAAACCAGAGCAGCACACGGAAACGCCGTTTACCTTCCCGCTGGAGTGATACCTATTTATCTGCTTGCACTTTGACGTGCTTTCGAACTGCTAGGTTGGCAGGAGCTGGGACCCAGCAACGGGGGCTCACCGCATCATGGGGATTCGAACTGCTGACCTTCTGATCGGCAAGCCCTAGGCTCTGTGGTTTAATCCACAGCACCACACGCATCCCATGCTGTGGCTAGTAGCTGATGCAAATAAAGATGCTTCTGATTCATTCACTGGTCATGTGAATTGGACTGTTGTTTGGGACCAGAGAGTGTACTGGTCTAAAATGCCATATATATAAAATCAGTGACCTGTTGTTGTTTGTTGTGGTGATGGTTCTGTTCTGGTTTGAGCTCAAACAAAATCTTTTAATTGATGATTGAGCTTCTCATCTATTTGTGGGGCAGGGAGCAAAGTAAGCATTTGATTCAGATTTAGTTTAACTCTGACACTTTGGTTTTGATCAGCCTACAGGCTAAATAGGAAAGTACTTATGCTTTTCCTCCCTGGAATTTTTCAGCAGATGGGAGTTGAAGTAATTTCCTTGTTTCTGGTACTCATCTGGTAGTAACAGATGAGAAAATGGGCAGTGGCAGCAGTGGTTAGGAGAAAGGGAAATGGTGTTCTCTCCATGTTTCTTTAGCACCTGTCAGAACCAAATGCTAGTAGAGCAAGCTGAGTACTTCTGTGTAAATCACAGATTTGAATAACCTTTTTTAAAAAATGAAACAGATTTACAAAATATTTGCTTTTGTGATGCAGCAAAGAAAATCTCATTCAAGCTGTGGAAGATGACATCCAGCAGGAAAAGCAGGCGGCGGAAAACATAGTCAAAAATATGTCTGAAGAGGATCAAGCTAAATACATGGAGATGAAAGTGGCAAATGAAAAGCTCTTGCAGGTGACGCTTTCATGTCTGAACTACATCTTGATGAGCCCCAGCACAATCAATAAAGCATTGATAAATGAAAAAGAACTCCTGTAGTGGAAATCCAACAGCGGAAATCCAAAAGCTGAAATCCTTTTATGTAGGATAGCATGATCTTGACTAAGCTGTCAACTCCCCATATTTTTTGGAGGGGTCCATTTTCTATGCACGTAGCCTCTAGTAGCTTTCATTAACCAAACACGCCGGTCCTGCTTTCCAAACACAGTGTGTTCCTAGGAAATTGTTCGTTAAGCGAGCTTTCGCTTTATGAGCTGGTGATTTCCAGTATTTCCTATACAGTGGTGCCTCGCAAGACGAAATTAATCCGTTCCGCAAGTCTCTTCGTCTAGCGGTTTTTTCATCTTGCGAAGCAACCCTATTAGCGGATTAGCGCTATTAGCAGTTTAGTGGCTATTAAAGGCTTAGCAGCTTAGCAGCTAAAAGGCTATTAGCGGCTTAGTGGCTTAGAAAAAGGGGGGGGGGGGGAGCGGAAAAAATCTCAAGACTTGCAAGACATTTTCATCTTGCGAAGCAAGCCCATAGGGAAATTCGTCCTGCGAAGCGCATTGAAAAACGGAAAACCCTTTCGTCTAGCGGGTTTTTCGTCTTGCGAGGCATTCGTCTTGCGGGGCACCACTGTATGAACATTTCTGTTCCATGATTTGTCCTTTCTCTCTCCCTCCCTCTTCCACTGCCTCCTGCAGTTTGACCAAACAGGCAGTGGAAGACAGGAGTGCTTGGCGTGCTCTGGTCCAATAGGGTCACGAAGAGTCGGACACGACTCATCGACTAAACAACTCTCCCTCCTTGGTTTCTGCCTGAGACTACTGCCAAACAAAAGAAAAACCGAATTGTCTGATCCTTCCTGCTCCCTCATTTGTCTGATCTTTTCTGCTCCTTGATGTGCCCTATCTCTGTCCCTCACTCCATGGTTTCTGCCCAAAATGCTGCCACCGCCAAGATAAACACAAGGAACTGGACAAACTCCAGCTGTTTGGATATCTGAACCAGTCTTTCATTTAGCAAAGGTTGGATATAACTAATTGTGTTCAGGTAACAGATTTCTGGTAATGAATATTCCAGTAGCAGGACCTGCATACTAATTTATTTTACTCTTGTAGGAATTGTGTGCTTTACAGCAAGAACTGGATGCTGTGAATATAAAAGAACAGTCTCTAGATGCTGTATGTATGACATTAAATTCTTCTATTCAATTACAAAATGGTTGAAATTTGAGGGTGTTTAAAATTTTGTTAATAAGAAAACAAAAGCTGGCATAAGTTGTTGGTTTTTTGTTTTTGCTGTACCATTAAGAAAATATGGCCAAAATCCCATGATAGCTTATTGATTTATTTGGACACTGATATCAATTAATGCTTGTAATAGAAGCCATGGGCTTTGTTACTCAGTGGTTGTAGGCTTTTTATTTTTAGTTCTCTACTCAGTTTTATCCAGGATGTATAGTTTTGTTTTTATCAAGTTTTAAAGGACATTTTATTGAATACTATTGTTCGTATTTATATGGGGGTTTTTTTTGCAAACAGTATTCAGGGATATATATTTCTTTATAAACAAATCATAAATAAATTGTTACCTGGCAATTTCAACACATGAGCACTTTTGATGTACAAAAATTCTTAACAGATCACTTACATGACTTTATTCACAAATTTTTTCATCACTTTAGTAATGAAGTTTATCTCTTCAGGAAATAGCACACTCCCAGGTTAAACAGGAGGCTCTGCAACTGTATGAAAAGCTTCATGGCCTTGAGGAACATCGGAATCAAATGATGGCAGAGGACAAAAGTATGGGCTCTCCACAGGAGGAGAGAGAGAGATTGCTAAAACAGGTATGTAGAGTGCTAAAACAGACAGAAATGAAGAGATTTTGCAAACAAAGGGCAGTTGAAGAGTGAAAACTGGGAGGTCAAGTAAGCACCTCTGTCCAAACCACCAACTATTGATAATGACGCTAGTAACAGAACTGACAGACGTCATTTATTATTATTAAGTGGTCTCCATTTTTAGCATAACCGAGTAATTTTAAAAAAATCTTTATTGCATTTTTTAAAATTCCAGAGAAAATAATAAATTAAACATCCGAATATACAGAAAGAAAAATGAAATTTTTTGCAGAGACCAACCATCTTTAGTTTTCCATTGTTATTCAAGGATTATATATTTCTTTTTTTCTTTTTTTAAAGGTGAAGGAAGACAACCAAGAAATAGCAAGCATGGAGAGACAGTGAGTGCTGTTCCATATTGTTCTTTTAGACCCTGTTCTGAATATAAATGCAATTCTCTTATCTATTTTTCAGCTCAACTCATATAACCAGCTTGTATAGTGCAGCTGCTTATAGGCTATATAAAGGAACAGACCTTGTGTTTTTTGAATGCCTCGCAAAACACTTCTAGTTACAACGTATTTTGAACTGAGATATGATCTATTTGGGATGACTTGAACTGTTACTAAAGTGCTAAAAGCAAGTAGTATGTAAAGCCAGAGACTGTATTTACTCAACTAAGTTTCCCCCCATATCTACCTGTTCATCTCGTGGCAATTTACCTCATTCCAAGGGAAATTTGGCAGAAAGGAGCTTAGGCAAGGTGGAAGATTTCCAGGGTTCTTAAACATGCAGAAAACCTCTGCAGGCATAGAAGAGAAGTAGACCTCATATAGTCATCCCCTTCATGTGTTTTCTGTCCCTTGTTCATAATAGCTAAAGATGGCTGTAATCAGGCATCCCCAAACTCGGCCCTCCAGATGTTTTGAGACAACAATTCCCATCATCCCTGACCACTGGTCCTGTTAGCTAGGGATGATGGGAGTTGTAGTCCCAAAACATCTGGAGGGCCGAATTTGGGGGTGCCTGGCTTTAATGAGCAGTACAACTAAAACAATTGTGCATTCTTCTATTATAGCAAACAGTGAAATCCTATATATGTTTGCCCCATTGATTTCAGTGGGACTTACTCCCAGTAGGTGAATTAGTATAGGCTTGCAATCCAAGTCATTATTATAATGCTGATTAACCAGCAGGTGGACCCATTTGTTAAGTTAAACAAGGCGAGATCGCTCCTTTGGGATAATCAAGTTTCTGTTTAAAGTTAAATACATTGAGTCAGTCCTGGAATGCTAAGAACCTACGAGATGTTAGGGAAAGAAACTAAAAGATGTTGGAGTTTTACATTTGTTAACTTCACTCACCTTGCTATTTCCCTTCCAGAAAATGCCTGCTAAATGCTGTACTTTTTCAGTTTTCATCATTTAGTTTTTGCATGGTTTTAGGCTGACAGACATAAAAGAAAAAATCAACCAACTTAACGAAGGAATACGGCAGCTTGACATGGATTTAGAGGAGCAGCAAGGTAAAACAGACAGGACCTATTAACCTGGTTTTTTAAAAAACATTATTAAGGAGGGTATTCAACTAAGTTTTACTTATTTTCAATAGGTCTACTCTAAATAAACTTTATTTCATAAAAAATTATATACTGTTTGATAGTTTAAAAAGCCCTGAAATCAAAATGATCAAAACAATAAAAATATTAGTCAAAGCAGTTAAAACATTCAGAAAATTTAAACCAGCAATAAACTAAAAGCACATCAACATTCTAGGTATCTGGGTAAACTTGTCTGAACAAAAATGTTTTTAGCAGGTGTCGAAAATGGTACAATGAAGGTGTCTGTCTGATATCAATAGGCAAAGAGTTCCAAAACGTAGATGCCATCTTGTTTAGTTTTTCTTCCATGTAGTAGATCTGATTCAGAAGTGAATTTGTGATTTCCCCATTCATTTATGATCTCTGGATTGAGGGTACTGAAGATCCACGCGCACAAAAATCTGCTGTTGGCAGGAAGGTTTCTTCTTGTTTTGAAGGACCTCAGGGGGTGAGAATAGTGAGCGAAGATAACATGATGAAGTTTCTCCTAGTCAGGGCAATGTGTGCTCTGTACCAGAATAGGCAGTTCCTTTACTAAGTCCAGTCCAAATTCTGTGATACAAATCAGTTTTGCAAATGGAACAAGTATGCACATATTTGCTTATTTTGCATAGTATTGTTTCCAAGAATGGCTGCTTACCCAGACTGGGGGTGGGTGGCAGTTGTGGCCTGTTGCCACCGGAGCAGCAGCCACTAGGTTGCCGGCTGTTAGAAAATCCCCAGGCCAGCTCCTAGGCACCATGGGAGTTCCCACCTCATCACTGTCATTTGACTTTGGCCAATCCAGCTGAGCCTGTGGGGCAGGGCATGCGGGAACAGACTGGACTGTTGCAGTCTTCACTCTGGCCTGCTACCACCCCATATATAAGCAACGGTCCAGACTTCAGCGAGAACAGCAGTATCCTGTTGGCGTAGATGGGGTTAGCGTTTTCACTACAGAATGCAAGGTTTATGGATGATGATGATGATGATGATGATACCCCACCCATCTGGCTGGGTTTCCCCATCTACTCTGGGCAGCTTCCAGCAAAATATGAAGACATAATACAGGACCATTTGCAGAATGTGTATATATGCACCTCTGAGTACGTGTATATTATTGAGCCCTGGTATCATATATAAGATCATGAGAAAAAATATTTGAGATGTAGACAATTGTTAATTTAGCCTGAATATATCCAAATGGGCTTATTCCTAGTTCCTGCTAATCACTAATCTGTTAAGGAACTTAAATAGTATTGTTCTTTCTTAATTGCAAACTTGGTACTCCCATCACTGCTTAATTTGGTCTCTCCGTTTTCAAATAATAGTAACAATTTCTTCATTTTGCTTTTGTCCTTTTTTCTTTGCATATTGCTTTTGCATTATTTTCTTGTATCATTTGGATGACTATAGACGGTAAGAAATAGATTGCTTTGGTGATAGCTTAGCAAAAATAGCACTCTCCGCTTTTACACGAGTCTGTTTTGTTTCTTGTGGCAAGAGTAATAAAACAAAGAAGTAGAAATATTCTCTAGATTTTTTAAAATGAGTCCAGGAATATATTCATGGTCCTCTGAAAAGTGGGATAGACTTTTTCAGGGCACTTCTGGTAAGTTTTCCTGTATCATGAAAGGGAGAGTCAGCCAGGAACAGGCTCACAGCTGCAAGGAAGTTCAAGGAAAATCATGATCCCTTGGGGCCAGTTGCATATGTTTATAATTTGTATATGTTAGATATGAAGGAAAGCTGAAGGGATGTCGATACAATACTATTGGGGAGGAAAGAAGATGTTGGAATGCTTGACTCTAAATGTATCTATATTTAGCTTATCCTTTCAAATTTTTTGCTTATGAAACACAAGACATCCACTGGAATAATTTTTATATATTTTAAAGACTGAATTAACCCTATTAAAAGACAAACAAAGTATACAAGGTACCTCCTCTATCTCAAGCACTGAATATTTGCTTTAAATCAGATTTCCATACATGGTTTTTGGTCAGCTCCTAAATGTACAAGATTCATTGAAACAGGTCAAAGAACAAAAGGTATAGGAATGGATCGCATGCGGTACTAGTTGAAAGATGCTTGCACAAAGGGTATTTCCCATACCAGCTACTCACTGCAGCCCCTGTGCCTCCCTAAAGCCTCTTGGGATGTGATATGAGAGGTTGTAGTAAAAGGGAGAAATGGAAAATCAAACAGAGACAGTTTGGGCTGTGAGTTCCGCTGAGTTCAGTAGGGTTTATCTCCAAGTAAATGAGAAGATTGCAGTCTTAAATTATTAACTGTTTAATTTTAAAATGGCATTTTTGTAGGTGAGAAGAATCTGAAATACAAGGAGTTGAAGAAAAGAGAAGAAAGCATGGACAGTAAGTAGACTCAAATGTATGTTGACTTGCATTGTCAAAATGAAGGCATATCTTAATGCACATTTCATTTGCATTAATAGCTTTTGGTCACCTGGCATGATCGCTGTTCTTAATTTAGCAACCTTAGCCCATGACATTTCCCCACATAGCCACTGGCTTTGCAGCAGTGTATAGAGCAGGCATGGCCAAACTTGCCTCCAGCTGTTTTGGGACTACAACTCCCATCATCCCTAGCTAAGAGGACTTGTGGTCAGGGATGTTGGGAACTGTAGTCCAAAAACAGCTGGAGGGCCAAGTTTGGCCATGCCTGGTATAGAGCAATGATTGATTGCTATTTCAGGCATTCAAAGACATTCCTCTTGGTTTGTAGGCTGCATTCACTGTTTTTAAGAGCACAATTATTTGTGGGAAATTGAAAATAAAATATGTCTGGGTGTGTCGGAAAATGCTGTATCGATACATGAAAAAGATTGTGAAGATCAAATAACAGCAGTTTTTAAGTTCCATATGGCCTTCTTAAGCTGCTTTTGTATAAGGATGCATCTGTAGATTTTGCTTTTGTCAGGAGACTATCCTCAGAGGAGAACTAGATAAGGAAGGCGCACCTTTACAGTGCTCAGTTGACTTAAAAGCTGCCTTCAGCATGCAGGAACTCTGATGTAGATTTGGAGCTGACATGCATGCATGAGTCAGAGCAGGGGTCAGCAACCTAAGGCCCATGGGCCACAATCGGCCGACGGGGGTCGTTTAACCGGCCCACGAGCCACCACCGAACCAAGCCTCCCACTCGCTGCGCTAAACCGGCGCGGGGACTCGCTTCCACAACGCAGGAAATTGTGTCTGCGCAGACGCCAGAAATTGCAGGTATGCGCGTGATCTGACCCACACAGGGATCTCTGCTGGAGTGAACCAGCCTAAGCGAGGTAAACCTTGCCAATTCCTGAGTCAGAGCTTCCCTCTTTGGACAAATGTCCACTGCACCCACACAGCCACCTTCTCCACATTGGAAAGTTTTGCTCCTGCAAGGGTGACATACCGTATTTTTCGCTCCATAAGACGCACCAGACCATAAGACGCACCTAGTTTATGGAGGAGGAAAACAAGAAAAAAAATATTCTGAATCCCAGAAGCCAGAACAGCAAGAGGGATCTGGCTTCCGGGATGGCCTCTTGCTGTCCTGGCTTATGGGATAGCTGCGCGCAGCTTCTCCCGGGCTGGGGGATGAAGGCTCCCCCCTGCCCGGAAGTAGCTGCACGTGGCTAAGACAGAAGGCTCCCCTAAGAGCCATGCTCCCTTTAAAGAGCGTGCAGAGCATGTGTGTGGCTCTTGGGGGCTTTTCCCCAAGGAGGGAGAGGGGCAGCCCTTCTCCCTCCTCGGGGAAAAGCCCCCAAGAGCCGCACACACGCTCCATGCGGCTCTTAAAGGGAGCGCTGAGCAGAGCCTCCCGCCTGCATTCGCTCCATAAGACGCACACACATTTCCCCTTACTTTTTAGGAGGGGGAAAGTGCGTCTTATAGAGCAAAAAATACGGTATATGCACCGGAAGTAAACTATGCATCATGTTAATGGCATAGTCTTAGAATTCTGCAGGGCTCTGATGGAGCGCTTCAGCAGTGGCACAAGAGGGGGACAGGCAGAGCGGCAGCACTGACCTTGTGGCATTGGGACCACTGCAGTTCCCCCCGGGGCACAGCATTGTCCTCCCGGCATCAGCACTGTTTCAGCTTACTCGAGCCAGGGCAGTGACACGGTTGGAGGAGGTCCAGGCTGGCAGCATTGATGCCCGACAAGGATACTTCTCTGCAAGCGTAAAACATTTTCTGATGCATAGAAGAGAATAAGAGGGCAGCTTTTTATGTGGCTCTTCATGTGAGCTTTGACTGTCCTGTCATTGGTTGATCACCACATCGATATTAAAAGGTGAATAAAAGGCTGCAAAAACCAGCTCACATTCTAGATATTCCTTACAGATAAAATTTCTTGGTAAAGTTCCATTTAAATTGCTTTAAGATGTTTGTTTATATATATTTTTAATTGCTTTTAAATTCAGAATCCTTATAGCTATAAGTCACATTTCAGGACTTTTCTGCTTTTCCTTTTATAAGCAGCAGCCTCCCTTATCTTGTTTTTCAATCTTTAGACTTTCTTGAATCTTTTGAAGAGGCAAAGAACCAGGAACTAGAACGGAAAACACAGATAGAGGCCAGTATTGTGGCAATTTTAGAGCATTCAAGCAGGGTGAGTGGCTTTGGCTCCAATTATAAGCTTGGAAGTAAGTTCCGTTGACTCTGCTGTGATTTTCATTTTACTTTTATTGATTTTTATGTAAACAAATCCAAATGAAAGCAAACTAGAACCAAACAAAATAACAACCAACTTATTTTAGGCATTTCACTGGGAACACTTACCCAAAAAGTACATCATGTCAATCCAAGAGCATTAAATCACTTACTATTTACCATCTTTGCAATGATACCAAAGGAAAAGCATAATCTTCCTCACAGGTAATCCTATTTTCAAAGGAAAAGAGGATCAACAAGTAAAAAAAATTGGGTTGGTGTGTGGAGTCTGATGGTGTTTTTCATTTTATTTGTGTGGAATTCACTAGGATTTTTCTGCTACGTAAATGTGGCTAAGATAACATTTTTAATCCTTTTTTCATAAGAATACACATTTATTCCTTACTTTAGAATAAAGATGAAAAGATACTAATCACAATTATTAGTACTTTCCAAATAATCTAATTGTTTGGTGATAATTTAATTAGTTGCTTTTATTCTCCAGAAAGCATATCAAGTTGAAGCTTACAGGGGTTGCTTGACATATAAAAAGTTTACAAGTATGGCATTAACATGTGAGGGGGGGGGAGAGAGAGAGAGACTGTAGCATACTACCTTCCTGACCCCTCTTATTCTTGGGGCCAGTGCAAAGATAACACAGACTTCCTGTTAACTGCAGTTAACAAATGAATAGCTAGCTTTGGAAATGTATGCTCCCTAACCTCATTTCAATCTTTCCCTTCTGTCTTATTTCAGACTCTGAAACCCATTAGAAATCATTGTTTCGGATCCTAGTTAAGAGAATCCTGTTTAACCGTAACTTTGGTTAACTTTGATACCAGCACGTCACTTAACTTGGTATAGCATGGGGGGGGGAATCTGCTTCAGAATGAAGAGGGGTTTGGTTCCCAAGGCTGGCTCCTGTTTTGTTTTTTGTTTTTAATCCCAATTTAGCGAGAGCCATTGCATCTTTTTCTTCCTACAAACTCCACCCTCCTTTACAAACAGAACCACTCTTGTTTCTTCTGCCGACACCTCAGTCTCTAATTGCACTAATAAACCTTTTATGGCCACGAGAAGAAGCAAAACATTTCATAGTTTACTTCCATCACATATGGCACTAAAACTAGGCAGACGTAGTTACTTATGCTCTTTCTAGCTTAAAGTACAGTACAAACTGCACCTAGAATCATTCCCTGTTTATATAACCTCATATGTTCTTATTTTGTATCAAATCCCGCCCCCCCCAAGTCAGACAATTTAAGTCGATAAAACTATTATTTTAACATTATTACACCTTTGGCTACATTAACTAAGCTTGGTTCTCATGTGGATATGTTCATTGTTCTGTTGCCTTTTTATTCTTTCAAGAAAATGTCATTGTAATGGCTTTTATGTGCAACTTGTATGGGTTCAGCTTTTGTCACTCAAGGCTGCTTCATGGAGGAACAAGCATTTTCACTTTTTAAATACTGCATGCTACAGTAAAACAACTTAATTTACACTGCTGGCTCCTGCTTATAAAACCAGGATCTGATTGTCACATTCACAGTTTGGAGTTGAGTTGCCCTGGCTTTGGAAAGCAAGGTATTCCATAGCATGTAGAGGGAAAACATTTACTGGGAGCAAAGACTATCCTCACTTGAACTTCCCCAAATTGCATCGGCCTCTCGCCTTTTATTCACCCTTGGCCCTGTTTCCCCAATCATAGGTGAGACAATACAATGGTCTGTAAAACTACAACATTCTCCTTTTTATATATGAACTCCAAACAGCTAAAATGTTTTTCCTAAGGGGATTTGCTGTAGCTGACTTCAGTAGTATGGAAAAACACCAACCATTCTCATTGTTAAGCCACCAGTTGTAGCAGTGTATTTGGGGTGTATCATCTTCCACTACTCTTCTTTAATCACGCAGAATGTAAATCGCATGAAGCAGATATCTTCTGTAACAAACCAAGAGCTGAAAATCATGCAGGAAGATCTCACTTTCAAGTCAAGTGAAATGCAGAAATCACAGAGTACTGCGAAAAACCTGGGAACAGGTATGGCAAGCGACGTGTACATTGTATTTATTTACAAATTTCTCTCCCACCTTCTAGTGCAAAAAAATGGCCTTAATGCAGCTTACAAGAATAAAAACCAATAAAGCAAAATTCACTGCAGAAACCAAAACATCGTATCAGCAGATAAAGAGATAATATAAAACCAGCAGATAAAAGTCATTGAATATCTTGAATACCAATAAAAGTCCAAATGAACAGGATAGATGTTGTCTTGCACCTAAAGGATAATGGAGTTGGTCCCAGGCAAGCTCTGGGGAGAGGATTTTTTGCATGTCCCTACAGAAAAAACCCTTTATCAAAGAGCTAGCTGCCTGACTTCAGAAAGCAGTACTGCCCAGAGAATGGCTGGTAGAGATTATATTAATTGACAGTAAGGTTAGGATTTTTGAAAACTGGTTTTCATCTAGTCTGACCTTTGGTCCAGCTACTTCAGTATGATGCTGACCAGCATGGGCTCTTCAGAGTTTAAGACACGAATCTTTCCCAGCCTAGGGATGCTTGGGATTGAACTTTGGGACATTTAGCATGCAGGATGTGTGTTCTATCACAGCTACAATTCTTCCAATTCTACTTTGGAGAAGACACTTTTATAGAAAACATGGCCCTAGGCTAAAACCAGCAATGGTACTTCGTTTCTAAATTCTGTTTAAAGCCAGTAAAAATCTTGTAATACTTTGAGTGATGATCAGCAAATTTAGTCATTTTTGTCTTTTTTAAAAAAAGAATTTTATGAGATACATGATCTGTGTCATATGCATGTGCTCATATTAGTGTACGATTTATATTAAAATACCCAGATATAAACACATACAGCAACTACAGGAGACAAACTTCATTTGACACACCCAAGAGTCCAGATACTATCCAAACTGATTTGTTCATGCTGATAGAACTATCTACTTAGCACTATGTCGAATATATCCCTTTAGATGCATTCCAGTCCCCTGCTTATGTGCATAGAAAACAAGATTTGGTGCCTCCGTGCAATTGAAATTATTCCCCAAAGCTCTAAATCACGAATGGACAGTTTTGACGACAACAAAAAAAGTTGAAAGATAATTGTTGCTAAACTATTGTTTATATGTTTCTCTGCCCATGAGGCCTGGCAATTTGCTTTATTCTTCTTTAACATAAAGGAAGTTGGGATCCTGAATTCCGATTTGATTCTGTGCTCCGTGCAAAAGAGCCTTGTGGACCCATGTAGTGCTGTAGAAATGCACCTCGGGGCCACAACCTCACTCTTTGTATAAAGATAATTGCACAGAGCCTTCTCCTTCCCTCCCCAAAGGAAACTCCTGTGAGTAAACACATTTGCTGATGGCAGCATTTCCCAGTAACATTTCCCTGGGTCAAAGCACAAAGCAGTTTTGTCTCAGAATTTGCTACTGTGTACACATTTGCTTGCTGAAGTCTGACTTAGTGGCATATCAGAAGGAACTGGACTGCATCCTCTTCCTGTCTCTTCCCAGAGAGAAGGGTTGTTATTTTTTTTCTTTCCTTTTTCCCTTTCCTTTTTTTTTTTCCTTCACTGTAGGATGGCAGTTGGATTGAAGAAAATCCTTTACTTTCTCCAGATTATTTTACAGGGGAAGCCAACCTACAGCTAGTAAGGTCATTGTTCCATCTAGCTCTGTACTGTCTGCAGTATCTCATCAGGGGTTCAGGAAGGAATTTTTTTGAGTCTTGCCTAGAATGCAAGGGACTGAACCCAACACCTGCATTCAATGTATGTGCTTTGCCACTGAGCCACAACCCATCCCTTCTACAGCTCCTCCTTCTGTAGAAAGCAGGTCATGTTTTAAATGCATGCACAAAGACATATGAAACTGTCATATACTCTCAGTCTGCCCACCCAATACTGTCCAAGATCTCAGGCAGAAGGTATATTAGACCCTTCCTAAGACCCTTAGAAGTGGAAGCACCAGGGTTGAACCAGAAACCTTGTTCGTGTAAAGCATAGGCTCTTGCCACTGAACTATGGGCCATCCCTGTTGTAGCAGAGGCTATGAGTCTCTGAGGAACACTTACCTGAGATCAGAATCCACATACAAAGTCAGACAGTCCAGATGTTAGGAAATCCAGATGATCACAGAGCCAAGGGACAAGATCACTGGCAGCAGTAAGGTAGAGGGCCAGGAACCACAGGCATTATTTCCAGCATCTGACAACAACAACAACAACAATTTATTTATGCATACATAACCCACCCATCTGGCTGGGTTTCCCCAGCCACTCTGGGTAGCTTCCAACAAAAGTTTAAAAATACATTAAAACTTCATTTAAAACTTCCCTAAACAGGGCTGCCTTCAGATGTCTTCTAAACGTCAGATAGTTGTCTATTTCTTTGACATCTGATGGGAGGGCATTCCACAGGGCGGGCGCCACTGCCAAGAAGTCCGTCAGCCTGGTTCCCTGTAACCTCACTTCTCGCAATGAGGGAACTGCCAGAAGCCCTCAGAGCTGGACCTCAGCGTCCAGGCAGAAGGATGAGGGTGGATATGCTCCTTAAGGTGTACTGCTGCTGAGAGCTCTGTTTAAGAAGCCTGGAGCAAGCTGGTTCTCATCCGTGCCTTCAGCTCTGTGACCTTGAAGGCTGAACAGGTGTGTGTGGAGTCTTTTCACCTTCTCCCCCTTCAGGCTGCTGTTCAACAAGCAAAGCTGACTCCTGGCCCGTGACAATCCATATAAAGATATTCTTCGGTACATATATACTGCCTCTCCCTCAGTCATTTGGGACTTCTCAGTTTAGGAAAAGGAAAAGTAAGAGGGGATATGATAGAGGTGTATAAGATTATCGATTATCGGTAGTGACCATCCAGTGAGGAGGTTGTACATATGTTCTCTGTCTGGATTCCTGTGTGTCAGTGCACAGCTGCAAATAACAGCACTGGGTATACAGCCATTTGCCCTTAACAGTTCCTGGATCAATATGATTTCTTGAGCTTCTTCGCTCATAAGAAAAATTCACACGTTTCCCACCCTAAAACTGCACTTTGTTTCTTGCATATTGCATCTGCCTTCATCACACTCCAATAAATCTGTTCAAAGCAGTTAGGGAATCAGATACTAGCAAATCTATTTGGGGGTAAACTGTATTCACTAGAGCACTCCTTTGAAGAGGTTGCATGTATCAAACAACTCAAATACCTTGTAGGGAAAACAATAGAATTAAAAAAAACAGCCAGTGAAAATAATAAACAACCCTATTCCAATCATGTACCCGTAGTTTCTAAAATCTTATTACAGTGGTACCTCGGGTTAAGAACAACATTCATTCCGGAGGTCTGTTCTTAACCTGAAACTGTTCTTAACCTGAGGTACCACTTTAGCTAATGGGGCCTCCCGCTGCTGCTGCACCTCCGCCGTGCAATTTCTGTTCTCATCCTGAAGCAAAGTTCTTAACCCGAGGTACTATTTCTGGGTTAGCGGAGTCTGTAATCTGAAGCGTCTGTAAACTGAAGCATCTGTAACCCAGGGTACCACTGTACCCACTTCTGGGCCTATTTTTAAAACAACATTTTTTAAAAATAAAAAAGCCTGTAATACATTTTCATCATTCCCTGCCACTTTCAGATATTAGTTCATCACAAATATATCTGAGCTATACCTAAGAAGTCAACTTCCTAAAGAGCAAGTGATGGCACCCCAGGGAGATACTAAGTGCAGTTGTAATAGCAACTTAGCACGATAGCCACTATTGCCGGCAACAAGCAGTTCAAATAAAAGGGGACCGTGATTTTTGTTTGTTCAGCTTTTCCTGAATGCTTAGGGCTGGTAACAAAAATCACAATGCCTAATATAAGGCACCAAATGCCCCTAAAGAAATTCCTTGGGCCATATTTTATTTTTATTTTATTTTTTGCTTAAATCTGGATTAAGCTCTTATACAAAAATTACTCAAGGAGAAGAACTGCTTGTCACTACCTCTCTATGCAATTTTTCAATCCAACACATGGTGGAGAGGTTAGAATCATGCTGCCATGCACCTCTGTTTTACAGCATGCTCACCTGATAACTGCACATTAAGCACCATAGGTGCATAAAGGCATATACGTAAAACCTAATTATTATTTATTTGTTTGTTTGTTTGTTTGTTTGTTTGTTTATTATTTATACCCCGCCCATCTGGCTGAGTTTCCCCGGCCACTCTGGGCGGCTCCCAATCAAGTGTTAAAAACAATACAGCATTAAATATTAAAAACTTCCCTAAACAGGGCTGCCTTCAGATGTCTTTTAAAGAGAAGATAGCTGCTTATTTCCTTCACATCTGAAGGGAGGGCGTTCCACAGGGCAGGCGCCACTACTCAGAAGGCCCTCTGTCTGGTTCCCTGTAACCTCACTTCTCGCAATGAGGGAACTGCCAGAAGGCCCTCAGCGCTGGATCTCAGTGTCCGGACTGAACGATGGGAGTGGAGATGCTCCTTCAGGTATACTGGGCCGAGGCCGTTTAGGGCTTTAAAGGTCAGCACCAACACTTTGAATTGTGCTCAGAAATGTACTGGGAGCCAATGCAGATCTCTCAGGACCAGTGTTATGTGGTCCTGGCGGCCAGTCCCAGTCACCAGTCTAGCTGCTGCATTCTGGATTAATTGCAGTTTCCAGGTCACCTTCAAAGGTAGCCCCACGTAGAGCGCATTGCAGTGTGACATGTACACAGTTTTTCAGGCCTAGACACACCAGACTATGCCTCTAGGCCCCTTTGCAAACGCAGCCTTCAGCGTGGAGGAAATAAGAGGCCACACATAAGGACCCAGTTAATGTTCTGGAACCATTTGATCAGTCAAGAGTTTTCAGGGCTGGGCAAGTGTGATCTATAACATGAGTGGGAAAACCACTGGGAGCTCCCATCTAAGAGCTGGACGTAAGGGTAATAAATATGCCATCCAAATTGCAGATATCAAATAGACTCAAAGGCAGAGAGGGTCAGCATGACCTCAGTCTGTTACTAGACAATAAAACAAAAATATGCATGTTGAGATTGACCATGTTTATTTTAGCACATGCTTCATCTTAAGATACTATTGATGTGCTCGCCCCTACCCCAAATTATCAACAGAACCGTTGAGGGTGCTGTATATTATACCAGTCAAAACGATCCTTAGGAGCAGGTCACCTAGAGACTTTACAACACTTTTCATAGTTTAAAACTAAAAAGGGCAGCAGGATCTTTTTGCATAGTTTTATGGACAAATGTAAGCTAAGAACAACAATGCTAATTCCTCTTTGCCAGTTTTTGTTGCAAATATGTCAACACTAGTCTTAGCGATACCACTACTTCATCACATAATGGATATTTGTATGTAAAACTTAAGGATGTACTTAAGAGCTTTCCTGGACTAAGGCCAAGGTGAGCAAGGCAGGCAGGAGTCAGTTGTCTCCTTGAATAAGTAAATGTACGATTCACTTCTCTCTGTGCTAGAAAATAATCTCCATTGTATGTCAGTAATGCTTCTTGGCTCTTTCTGTTTCAGACAGCCAACGTCTGCGGATGGACCTCCAGAAAATGGGCCTGCTGGAAGGCAAGATGGTTGATGAACTGACTTCTCTCAAAGAAAAAATAGAGCAAATGACCAAAGACCTGGAACTTTACAACAATCTGCCAGCTCTGAAAACAGCAGGAGAAGAAAAGAAAAAGGTAGTTAACAGGCAAAACATATTAATAATACTTGCTTGAGACCAAGTTATTGAAATATTCCAGCTGCATCTTGTTAAATGTTCTGTCTTGGTGTCCTTTACATACTCGTACACTGAGGCATGGTGGAGCTGCTTCCCAAAGGTGTTAACAGCTTGTGGCTACTCACATGATCCATCCCCCAGTCAGGTAGTTATGGTAGCTGCATACCTGCCACATCTGCATGGAAGAGTGTCGTGTGGACCAGTAGCTCCTGTGTGGCTTCTCATTTCTCATCAAAACTGAGTAAAAAAATGCTTTGCTTTGCTTTTTTCTTTTATTAGAGAAAATAAATGGCACCACTGTTTTAGATCTAAAACTGAACATAAATTAAAACACATCATAGAATCTTAGAGTTGGAAGGGACCCCAAGGGCATCCAGTCCAACCCCCTGCAATGCAGGAATCTCAGCTAAAGCATCCATAACAGATGGCCACCCACCCTCTGCTTAAAAACCTCCAAGGAAGGAGAGTCCACAGCCTCCCAAGGGAGACCATTCCACTGCCAAGCAGCTCTTGCTATCAGAAAGTTCTTCCTGATGTTTAGTCGGAATCTCCTTCCTTGTAACTTGAGGCCACGGGTTCGAGTCCTACTCTCCAGAGCACGAGAAAACAAGCTTGCTCCATCTTCCATGGGACAGACCTTGAGATAAGTAACACGTAACATTTCCTGTGCAACTACAAAGATTCAGAGGCACTTGAGTTGAGTTAATTTGGCATCCTTCTGCCTCGGGAGACAGTGGAAGAGAGCACCTTCAGGGGTAAGGTCAAACCATTTGGAGCGTTGTACTGCTGTTACAGTAGAGACTAATATGGGAGAAACGTGTTTGGGGGCAGATGAGGGCATCCAGTTTTGCTGCTACAGGTGCGCCAGGGCATTTATTCTCTCTGCATTACTCCCAGTAGTCATTCCTCCTCTGATCTTTCTGTGGCTACACAATCTGCCAGTCTCCAGGCACTGCGATCATCTGCAAGCAATTCCCATATGGCGGGGAATCGTTTGTTAGCCTTAATGTCACATTTGCAGGGATCTTTGTCTCTGAGTATCAGTTGCTGGGAAAAACGAGCAGAAGAGTACTATGGTGCTAATGTCTTGCTTGTGAGCTTCCCGTTAGCTTGAGGTTTTCTACTGTGAGAAAAAGAATGCTGGACTAGATAGGCCTTTGGGCTGACCCAGCAGGGCTCTACATATGTTATTGGGCTTAGCATTTATTTTAGTTCTTCGTTATCTGCAGAAAGTGCTTTATTATCTGCATGCCTTCTATTGTCTTGAACAAAAGCTTTCAAGGGAAAGGTATAAGAAAGTAGCCAGAGTACAATATTATGCACAGAAAGAGGAAGTGTTTCACAGTTCAAAAAAAAGAAAGTGTATTAAAGAGCGATGGAGAACCTGTGGCTCTGGTCGATGTAAGGTAACAACTTCCATTAGCCTCAGCCAGCATGGCAAATAGTCAGGAATGGTAAGAGTTGTAAACTAAGAACTTTGGGTAGCCAAATGGTTTCTTATCAGTGATGTACAAGCCATGGGTTTACATTCCTAACGAAATAGAAAGCCTTTGTGTTCTCAGACATATCTTCTATTTTTTTCATTTCTGAAAGATTAGCCAACTTGCAAACCAGTCACTACAGTCAACATAACACAGTCAAACAAATCAGTCCATGCATCTTTCACACATGAACCGACCACACACTTTTTCCATGCCGTCTGTCGTATACACGATTATATGCTTTCATGGGAATGAGTGCCAGATGCTTAGATTCAAGCATAAATGCTTCCTCCCTCTCTGAATTTTAGAAATAAGCTAGAGCACTTTTAAGATGAGTGCTTTTTAATGTTCCATTTTTTATTATTTCCTTACTCTTAAGAAACTGCAAGAAGAGAAAGAAACACTAACGAAGCGCAGGAATGCTTTCAAGAAAACTATGGAGCATCTGAATAGAGAATATGAAAGCTTGAAGTTGCAGCTGCAGGAGAACGAGACACATTCACAGGTACAGTTGAAAATGCCTATTGCCTTTTGGTGTTGCCTTTTCTCCACCTTTTTGGAGTTTTGAAACTTTTGTATAATATGTCTATGCATACATAAATTGCTTTTTTACAGCCTCTTTAAATAACTTCAAAATCTTTAAAATGTGGAAAGACGTAATATCTCTTTCCAAGAATTGCTGCTTGCGGCAGGACTAAATTTGAAAAAAGAAACACAGAACTCTTCCAGTTATAAACTAAAGAGCAATAATATTGATATTACAGTAGATACATAAAATGATATTAGAGTAATTGAGATGATTTTGGAGAAACTAGTCCATACTGGAGAAAAAAGTGTGAATGTGAATATGTACCAACCATGCCAAATCTCAGGCAAGTCTAATATTTCTATAATTCTCTGACATTTGTGCTGTTTCACTCCTGCCATTCTATTAATGTCCCTGAGATTTTATTGTTGTGGAAAATGACAGGTTTGCTGGGGGAAATTGACAGGTTTGCTGGGGGAAATTGAGAGCAGGGGTAACATGGGGGAAAGAGATAACTCTCCCTCTTCCATATCAGTTTTGAATTTGGCAGAATTAAGAATATTCAGCTCCCAAATAGTTGTGTTTTCTTTTTGCACATTCATGGTTGAACAGTTGAGAGTCAGTGATGCAATATATATATAATAAGTAGGACCTGCAACAACTTTTTTGCACTGTGAAATGTTCCCTGTTTAGGATTCCATCCACTTCATCCCATTCTTCCCTAACACCAACACCTCCAACCAGCTTTTCCTCCCAGAGTTACTTTTGCAAACCTCGGGTTTCCTCTGATCCTGCTGATAACTCCCTTTTTTACATGAGTGTTAACTACTTTGGCTACATAAACAACCACACTCAGAGACTGACGACGGGAAAGTAGAGGGAACGGAAACCAAATGGGATTTCACGATACAATTTGTTAATTTGAAAGGCTCAGCTGTATTTATGCTGAGTGTGGCACACAAGTCACCCTGTAAAATGTATTGAAGCTTTTCTTTGTCACCTGTTGTATCCCAAAATCTACTAGCCATCAGAGGCTCAATAAAGTGCATTGAGCTCTTTTTCTGAGCAGAAATTGTGATGGGCAATTGCTGGTTTGGAAGGTGTACCAAATAGCACTACACTCACATACTAAATGTTAGCTTCCACACAGCTATTCTGAAATATTCATTGCAAATAGCTTGCATGTCTTGATGGCACAAACTTTGAACAGTAGCACCAGCCAAGCAAATCAATGCTCTACAAATTGCATTGTTAGGAAGCAGCCATCAATATAATAGCCATATTGCCTTCCTGTTGATGCTTAAAGTGGTGTTGGAGTCCCAACATTTAGCCTGCAGTCTTACAATCTTCTCAACGCAGTCCTGCTCTTATCATAGCTTTTGGCATCAGACAGGAAATTTAGCTATGGAAATGAGGAAGTTTCTTCTGTGCAGTTCAGGGCCCAATATAGTTTCAAGATACGTTGCATGATAAGCTTTACATAGTCTGAAAACAGTTGTTAACCAAAATGAAACGCAGATAATGAGAGTTCAGTGTCATGCATAAATCAAAGTCTCCACACTGTAATTAAAGACAATATTCTCATGGCTTGCAAGGATTGCAAACTATCTTTTTGATGCAGTGTAATTACAAACTGCATGTCCTTTGCTGGAATCCTTATCAGTTCTTGTAATTTCTCTACAGCTCTGCTTAAGCATATGAAAATCGGTGAGACTTAACTGATTTAGTAAGGCTACTGACATAGACATACTTACTAGAGAGTAAGCCCTAGTGAACGTAGTGGGATTTCTAAATAGCTATATATAGGTTTGTGCATGTTATCTGAATTGTTCTTGATCTTATTTATTTGGTAGAATGGCAGAATATACATTTAATAATCATTAAATTAAATTAAGGGGGGTTAGTTGTTATGCAAGTGACTATTTTTTGCTATCATTTTTTTTCATTTTGTAATTGCAGCTTACGAATTTGGAAAGGAAATGGCAACACCATGAACAAAATAACTTTGTCATGAAAGAATGTATCCTTTTTAAAAAAGAGAGAGAAGATGCTGAAAATAATCATGGTAAATCAGAACATAAGCAGGTGCTTAAGTCTCTTAAATCAGTTGGGCTTGCTTAACATTTTCTGAATCATGCCCATTCTCAGCATTTTACTCTGAAAGCGTGAGGTACAACGACTTATTCCACATGCTACAGATGACCATCATATGTCTTAACGTTTACATATATAGATAATTATATCCAAAGAAAGGGACTGTTTTATTTGTTCAACAGGAGACAATGGTTATGAAGAGACTTTTGCCAGGAAATTATGGATGATATCCAACCTTAGTCATAATCTGAGTAGATACATTAAGTTGTTTAAGTCAACTGATTTAAATGGGTTTACTCTGAGTATGACTAATGTTAGCTCTCACCCAGTATCTCTTCCGTTATAGTTTATCTGAGGCATTTGACAACCTTAAAGCAGTTTGGTTTGCTGAGATATCATGGGGGGGGGGGGTGGAATTGCCTTTCTTCTGTACACTCAGAGCCCACACAGATGACCAAACTGCTTTTCTCACTCACGATCATCTGTATCATCCTGCAAAATCTCAATGTGAATGGTGCAAATGTATAGTAAAATAGCTGTTTTTCCAGGTAGGAACTATTGTACATGGAGATTTTAATACCTATAACTTACGACACAATCCACCTAACAAACTGAAATCATGCACAAGGGCTTCCACTTGCACAATGGGGTTTCCCCCTTTCTGCCCCCCCCCCCAATTTTGCTTTGGGGGTTGCAAGGACCCCCAGAATAGCAGGGGGGGTCATTCTGTCTGGCAAGCAGATATGCTTGTGCAGACCAAATGTTTATTTTAGCGTGACATTGAATTCTACCCTCTGATGCACGTTGGAGAATTTTCCTTATCTTTTTATCATCAGTTATAGCAACGAAAAGTCAGGAAAGTGATTACCGGCCTATAATGAAGAATGTGACAAAGCAGATTGCAGAATATAACAAAACTCTCATCGAAGCTTTACAGAGCAGCAGGACCTGAGCTTAGGCACTTCCTTCACATGTCCGTGGACCAATGAGAATTATTATTTATAGTGCTACACACTTCCCCATTGCACAACAGCAATATCTATGTGCATTTTTCATTCTGGCTAGTTAACAACAACCAGGAATTTGTTTCTTTAAAATTAACTTCACTGGATTTAGTCCTCTATTCTCTGCCAATGGTTTATTGGAAACAATGTAATTTACATCATTTTGGCCTTACTAAGTTAAGAAAATAATTCTATCCATCTTATTTTAAGAATTTTTAATAAGGGGAGAGGGGTGAATTGTAGGTATAAAATCAGATATGTAGCAATAAATAATTTAAAAAACTCATGAGGGAATTATCCAGCATTATTTTCAAGAGAATATTATTTCATAGGGATAACATGCCATAGGATACAAGTTCTCATGCCTCAAAATTCAAGAAAATGGGTTTTGGCTCGACTGTGAACATAAAATTGTTTCTAAATTTATGCATGCGTAAAGGAGAAATGTGTTTATTTTACCTTTTAATGCGAACCTACCTAATTTTCAGTTCCCAAACTAAAACGTTAACTGAAACACAGCTATCCTTCACCCTTACCTGAATCTTTCAGTGCAGTTCTCCAGTCAAAAAATACTTCATTCTCCAGGAGAATTTATCCTTTGAGTATCAAAGATATCAGATGTCTGATCCACGTTAATTTAGAGCAGGGTTTTTAGCGTGGCTGCCCCTGTTATGTGGAAATCGATTCCTGTTGATATATGAAAGAAACCCACTATCTGCATTTTCCGTGGGGGGGGGGGGTTCCATTTGACTTCCAAGGTACGACTGTACACCCTATAATGCCCTCTATGACATGTGAATGAATGAACTTTATTACGGTCACAGACCAGGATAAAAAACAAACAAACATATAAATAAATAAAATAGCAGTTAGGATTTTTTTAACTGATACATGTTGAAGCAAATAAGGAGAAAGAAACAAGCATAGGAAAAAACCTCTGAATAAAATACAAGATTAAACACGGATAATGGATGGATAAAAACTGATAATTAAAACAGATAAAAACAAAACAAATAAAAACATGCAGTTAAAACAACTGTAAGGGCGTAAGAACTAAAAGACTCACAGTTAAAGCAACTATAAGAGGCTGCAGAGTAGAAGCCTCTGAAATAGAGGACACTCACAGCATTAGAAACTGATGTGCAGATATGGTTAAAACAGACAATTAAAACAATGTGCAACAATAAATTTAGAAACAATGTGCAACAATAAACTATCCCAGGGAGTTGACTCAGAGTCACCCATGGAACAGAGTTTGGGGATTTTCATGCCGGACTATTTTGAGTTGGGCGATGGTCTGCGTCTACAGATTTGTACACAGAATCTGGCGACCATCCAGGTCTTCTTCTGATCTTTGCCTAACAGCAAAAGGTCAAATTTTTGCTTTTGCGGGAGGTCAGCGAGCCTCACCAGTAGGGGATCAATGAACTTACTACGTGCCTCTTCGTAAAAGGGACATTTAAAGAACAAATATTCTGGTCTTCCTATCTCTCCCAATGGACAGGTGCAAAGTCTCTGGGCATAGGGGACTTTTCTAAAGTCTCCATCCAGGACCGGCGAGGGAAGAGCCACGCTTCTGGCGAGTGTAAAGGCCCTTCTTGCATTTCTAGATACGAGAAAGAAGAGATATGCTGCTGGTGCGGATATGTATCTCTCGATTTCTCCAATTCTATAGTCGGGGCACTTTGCGCAGTCCTGTTGTCTCTCGGTATCTAATATTCTTTGCCTGACCGTGGCTTTTGCCTGGCCCAAGCCCAGAGTTAGAAGGGCTTGAGGGGCAAAACCCAGTTTCTGGAGGGTGTTCAGAACTGCAGTCTGCCAGCCTGAGTGGAATTGGCCGCAGAGGATCAGTGGGGTTATCCCTCAGGGGAGCAGATTCAATGTCAGCCATTTGTAGATTGATGGTAAGCAAATGCTAGCCTCCACTCTCATCATCCCTGTTTCCAATCTCACCCATGCATTTGAGACACATCTGGGGACTTGGAGGAGAGCTCTAAGAACTCTAGATTGGACTCTCTCAAGGGAGAAAGCAGAGGAAGGCGGACCCAAAAAGGAACCATACAGGAGTTGTGCCAAAGTTTTGGCCTTGTATAATTTTAGAGCTGTGGGAATGAAGAAGCCCCCTTGTGCTCTGAAGAATTTAAGAATACAATTTGCATTTTTTCCCGCTGAACTCCCGATGGAGTTTATGTATAGTTTGTTGGTTCCTGAGTTCCACCATTCCTAGATACTTGTAGTTTGTGACTTGTTGTAATTTATGGCCTTGGAGTTCCCAGCTTCTAAGCTTTGGTTTTCCCCCAAAAGCGAGTATCTCGGTCTTTTGATAGTTGATTTTGAGACATTCAGATTCACAGTATGCTGCGAGCTTTCTTAGTGCTCTTTTGAGTCCAATGGGGGTTCTAGATAGAATTACCGCATCATCGGCATATAGCAGGACCGAAATATGCTGATTTGCAAGCTTCGGCGGATGGAGTTTTGAGTCATTGAGTGCAGATACTAAGTTATTTAGGTAGAAATTAAATAGTAGAGGGGCCAATAGGCACCCTTGCCTGACTCCTTTGAAGGTTTTAATTGGGTCCGTTAGGTGTCCTAGGCGGCTGCACCTGACTCTAAGGGCCGTGTTTGCGTGCAGTGCCTGAATTAAGAGCGTATAGTGAGGCCTGCCCTCCTGATTTGTATTTGTCAATGAGATGCTGTAGCGTTAGGCAGTGATCTGTTGTGGACCTTCCGGGTCTGAAGCCCGCTTGTTCTATTGCCAGAATATCTTCATTCTCTAGCCATTCTGTAAACTTATTAAGGAGGTGCTTTGCGTAGAGTTTACTGATCACACTTAATAGGCTAATCGGCCTATAATTTGCTGGGTCGACTCTGTTGCCCTTTTTATAGATTGGAACTATTATGGCTGTCCCCCATTCCCTTGGGATGCGGCCAGTGTCATCTATATAGGTGAAGAGGGTGGCTAAGAAAGGTGCCCACCAATCCGCCTGTGCTTTTATCATTTCTGGCGTAATGCCGTCTGAGCCTGGGGCTTTGGCCATTTTCAGTTGATTTATATATGATTTCACTTCAGTTACTGAAACAGGCGGCCATTTAGCCAGTTGTTCTATATTATAATTCCATAGTGGAGGTTCAGCGTCCTCGTACAAAGATTGGAAGAATGAGACCCACAGGCTAGGGGGAATTTGTGAGGTTAAGGGGGAAATAGCTTTATGGATGCCAGAAGCTACCAGTTTCCAGAATAGTGTCTGATCTTTTGCTTTTGCCTCACTAATTAATTCTAGCCAACATTTTCTGGTATAGGCTTTCTTTTGGTGGAGTATTAGGTCTTTATACTCTTTTTTTAGGGAACGGACAGCAAGATAGGCTTGATGTCTGACAGAATTTTCGGCTGTCAGGGCAGCTTTGTAAGCATTTTGCAGGGCTTTCTTTGCCTCAAAGCAGGTGTAATCAAACCAGGGTTTATTTGATGTTATTGGTTTAGTTGGTCTTTTCTCTGTGGTATTAAAAAGATAGGGTTTTAATTGTTGGAGCAGGCTCTCATACTTGGAAACTGGGTCCTCAGGCCTAGGATTATCCCCAAAGCCAGTTAAAATTGTATGGAGTTTTTCAGAGGTTAGAATCTTCTTCAGTTTGGAGTCAAGTGCAGGGGTCCATTTGACTCAGCAACCAGGTCGCTCTAATGCGGTGATCTCTGCAGGGTATACTGTTCTCAGGAAGGGTGACTCGTTTAATGGAGACACCTGGAGGTGCACAGGGAAATGGTCCCCCTCTACTCTGACCTGTGATTTATCCCCTCATCCACTGGCAGATTATTTACACAGAATTTGCCTTCCAGACCATATTGGACACCCAGTAGGTTTTATTTTTTTGTAAAGTGAATTCACGTGTACCATTTAGTTAACTTGAGCAAAGTGAGAGCACTATTAAGAAGCGAAAACATACATATATTAGCCAATTTCCTGCTCAACCTAGTAAATCTGTTGCATTCTGGGTTTTCTTTCCTTCATATTACAATATATCTAGATAAGACACAACAGGATTTGTATAGGCCTGAATCTGTTATCTAGGGGAAATTCCCACTAATATCTCTTCCTTCCTTTGGGGGAGAGCTTTCAGTTATTGCAGTGAGAGTCTTTTTCCCCCCTTTTTTGCTGAGGTAAAGTTGGTGTCTAATATCCTCACAGGCATCTTCCTCGGCCGCTCGGTTTGCCCACTGAAATCCCTTCGCGTTTAAAACAACACGTTTTGATGAACGATGGAAAGAACCCACCTACTGAATAAACATAAGGAATGAAATTCGCTTCTGCTCTTCTCATGGGCTTCTTACAACATAGCACTGCTTTTGCAAAATAGCATGGGAAAGTTCACCGGCTTTTGTTCTGTCCTTTGCAGGACTTCTACCATAAACAAAACCCTGCCTGTAGAGTTATATGTTCGTATTTTCTTTTCCCATGAAGCTTTTCTCATTAACCTATAGGTACTTCAAGAATGACTGTCCATTTCCTCCCTCAAAACTTCCCTCCGAAAGCAACAGGTTCTGAGGCTCTAGAACAAGCAGTTTTGTGTCAGTGTAGCCCAGAAACCCCAATTTTTGATATAGTTATCTGCATAATATTTGAGACAGGAGAGTGGGGAGGAGTTGCTCCCCACAAGGCTTGCCCTACTCCTCCCCACCTAATATTTTTTCTCTCTTTCTGAAATTTAACATGTGGAACATAGTTCACCCCCTCATCAGAATATGCCCCCCTATTAATTTACCCCCCTCTCCACCTGGTCTGCATATATTGCTGTATAGTACCGCATATATGTCAAAGTATGTGTGAAAATTCATATATTTTAGCTCTGGGCAGCAAGAAATAGACAAGTTTACAAATTTGTGTGTGTGACAAATTCCAGAGGGGCCATCCTGTTAGGCTGCAATGGATTGTGTTGGGTTGTTTTGAAAGTCCTTGCACCACGAGGTGGACAAAAAGATGCCCTCCGTCCTGTCCTATATTTTGCCAGAACAAAGATGCCAACCTCAAATGCTTAGGAAAGCCGTGTCTACTACTGCAGCAAACTGCTGGGAGAGGACAAGAAAAGGCACTATGGGACTCAGTAATTTTAGATGACTTAATGGTCTTATTCCACAGGTGCTCTTTAGAAGGTGATGTGTGGGGATATTTTTCCAGCTGGAACGCTTTACTAAGCATTCATTCTGATTTGTTTGCAAAGAGGTTAGACAATGTTGTTTCAATCAGTTGATGTCCGACCGCTTTCCAGTGCCTTTTCCCACCTTATCACAGAAAAATCTGAGCATTGGAAAGCACCAAATCAGCTGGAATTGCACAAGCTGAATTTGCTGGTATGCAATTGAATCCCACCCCAAAATAGGAACAAGTGGGATTCACTTGTTCTACTGCATTTAGTAGTAGTAGTAGTAGTAGAATTTATTA